CTAATAATGATTGTAAAATCATATTTAAATAACTTGATTTAAATGATGATAAAAGTATCTCATTTGATGAATTTGCTGAGTGGTTAACAGATAATAATACTAAAATTAAAAAGGCATTATTAACTAGAAAATTTCATCGTTAATCTACTTTAAAAAATTCTACATCCCCTTTAATTTAACCATAATAACCCAAATAAATCACTCCTTAAAGTTTAGTCAATATTTAAACACCTATTGTTTGTTTTGATAATTAAATTAATAATCCTATGATTACTTTAGAAGATTTAGATTCTAATCCATTTGAAGATATATGTAATTAACGATCTCCTGAATAAACTATTTTATTACTTAAAGATGGAATCAACCAAACTAGACTTAACTTAAAAGATATTTTTATTAGATTTGATCAAAATAGAGATGGATTTATCAATTTCTAAGAATTTTTTACGATGGCTAAGTAAATTAATTAATAATTTACTAATGAAGAATTAAGAATAGCATTCAAAGTTTTTGATTTAAATGATGATAATTATATTAAATTTGAGGAATTTAAAGATATACTTGCTATCACAATCCAAAGAGTATATTAATATATTTATTTAATTTAGCCTAATAAATAAAATATCAATTTTTCATCATTTCCATTGTAGAATTAAAGTGCTCCTTTTTTTGGTACATAATATTAAACTTAACCATAATAACCATTATAACCATAATAACCATAATAACCATAATAATTATACTAAAATAATATGTATTAAAATACTCCATAATATAATTAATTCTAATAAGGTGGATAACAATAATATCCTTAATAATAATAATTTAATTCTGGAATTAACAATCGCGTTCCCTCTTAAAAGGATTTAAATATCGCTTATTAACTTATGAATTATTGATTAATATAACTTAATTTTATACAATTCTATATATTTATTAGTATATAATTATTATATAATTAATCTATAATAATTATTATTATTCTAATTTCTAATTTCTATTTTTGATTTGTATTACTAAAGCATCAACTTTATTGCTTACTTTATCCAAAAAATTACATATCTTATATCAAATGAGATTCAAATCCAAATATCACAAGAATATTTGTTGGTTTGATATCACAATGAGAGATATTTATAAATAAATATACAAGAGCTTTTTCAGCATTTTAATTTATTTTTTATATCAATAAGAAAATGGGAATCATCCATATGGTATTTAATGAGGTCCATAAAAATATATTATATAAGATTAATTGATATAATGATTTAATGAGAGAGAATACAAGAATCAAGATATTTACCTTTATTAAGATGATGAAGTGACTCTAACAATCAAATTCATTTATTATAAATTATTGATTCTAGGTTTCAGTTAAATCTTACATTTTGAACCTATTAAACATTTTAGTATTTTTAACTTATTTACCCTCTGTTTATTTATTACTTATGAAATATTTTAGAGTCTAATACAAATCTGATATATTATTAAGCTATGAACAGAAATTAAATGTTTTTAATTTAATCGCTGATATCATTGATTATATAAAATTATGTAATTATCATATATTCTTTGGTTGTTTTTTGGAATCTTCATAGCATACAATATTAAGTTGTATATGGACTCTAAAGTCTATTATGAAATGAGAATTGATAAAGATTCAATCTTTATCAATTTATTTGGGAAATCAATCGGAAATTATGGATTAGAATTGGCTTGCAAATAATTCTAGGATTATGTTAATGTAACGAAATTTGACGCAAATTTTTAATTAAATGGACTTACAAACATTTAATAGCTTTTATTGACACTAAGTAGGTTCAAAAAATTAAAAGAATGTAATTCTCCATAAGTTTTATTATCTTAGTGAATTTACAATTAGGAATTAATCCAATCTAAAATACAACAGTACCAAATATTTAAGCACTTTTGATATAATTATAAAATTTAGAAACTCTTAATTTAGGGTTAGATAACTTATTTAATCATGAAGGAAGGTCTGAAATTATTAAGAGTATTTCTGAAATGAAAAAAGTTCATAAGCTATAAATTTCATTAATAAACACTGATTTAAGTGATGATAAAATTAATATGCTATTACCATTAGCATAAATGAGATAATTAAAATCATTAGAATTGATATTAATGGGTTGTAGCTTAAGTTCATCATCTACAAAATCTTTGTAAACATTATTATACAAATTACCAAAATTAGACAATTTAGTGTTAAATCTATATGGTAATAAAATATAAGTAGATGGAATTGATGATTTAAGTGCTGGTCTTTATCATTAAAAATAAGTTAAAGAATTAGAAATAGAATTATATTTCAATAACATTACATCAAATGGAACAGAAACTTTAATGAGTGTTACAGGATAGATGACAAATCTCACTAAATTACATATTGGTTTAGAATTTAACTACATTGAAGATTAAGGTGCTAAATATATTGCCTAAGCTTTAGGAAATCTATAAAACCTTAATGATTTATCTATTAATGCAGCATCTAAAAATTTTGGATTCTTAGGGTATGAATCTATTTTATTAGCCATTGAAAAATTGTCTACTTTATAATCTTTATAATTAATAATTGGTGTAAATAAATGTGGTTCTAGAGGAGCTGATTTATTAAAAAAAGTGTTGTATAAGCATGATAAATTAAAAACTTTAATTTTGGATTATACAGAAAACTATATTGGAGATGCAGGTGCTTCTTTTGTTGGAGAAGGATTATTATCTTAAAAAAAATTAGAATTTTTAAAACTTAATTTAAATTTTAATTCCATTTCTGATAGAGGAGCTGTTGATGTTGTTAAATCAATTCATAATCTAAAACATTAACCAAAACATATAGATTTAAGATTAAGTTAAAATAAAATTACAGATAAAGCATCAAAAGAAATTCTTCGTTATATATCTAATATTACACAATAAGGTGTTGAATTATTTGAATTTGAATTTTTAGGAACAGCTTTAACCAATGCAACCAGAGATGATCTTGTTTAAACTTCTAAAAATTTAAACAATTTTATATTTATTGTAGACACAATCCCACCAAGCTATTGGGATGAATAATGAGTATTTATAGGCTATAAAATTAATAAATTAATCATCTAATTATAAAATTGTTAATTAATATATAAAAAAGTGATAGAGAATATAATATAATATTAACAGTATTAAATACTATATATATATATTAAATAATATTTTATCCATATATCCATATAATTAAAATCAGCATTATATCAAAGAAATATTTAAACAATATAAATATGTTTTAAAGTAATTATTTAAATTAAATCTAAAAAAATTGTATATATGTTTGATTAATTATTTCTAAGTATGATTTGGATGTCTTATGTAAACCATTTAAAATAAATTGTAAATATATATTCATATAATTTATGAATTAAGTTATGACTTTAGGTTTGATTTCTAAGAAGATGATGGACACATATGCTGTTTAGGTATTTTGTATGAACACATGGGATCATTGTTGTTTAATTTATCACAAAAAGAAAATGTTAATAAAATATCATTATTTGGAATAGAAGATTGTTAGATAAATTTTATGGTGTAAAAAAAAATCTTATAGAATATTTGACATATCAATGTCTAAAAAGCATAGATTATACTTTTTATTATGCTGTGATTGGTTTATTTATTTTCTAAATTTTGAATTTTAGATTGTTAACAAAGTTCAAATGGAATGCAAATAATTTACAAATCTGTTATTCTTAGATCATTTGAGTACTTTTGTGATGATATAATTCAATTCAATAAGTACATTTGAAATTCAAATGAAAGAAAAATTTACAATAATAAAATATTAAGAACTGAGTGGATCTTTGGATTGGAACAGATAATGTAAATAATTAGATTATTTTTACATTGTCTACAATTCTTAAAATATAACAATATATGATTTGAGAACTATTAAACATATAGGATCAGTTTAATTAGGATTAACAATTTCAGATGTTTATTATATAAATGAATTATTATATTTAGGTGATGTATATGGAACTTTATGGTGTTATGATCTAAATGGCACTCTATAATATTTTCATGAACATGCTCATGATGGTTTGATTGTAAGTATGACTGTTTATAAGGATGAAATCTTTACAGTAGCAAATGATCTCTTTATTAAAGTATGGAAATTAAAAAACCTCATATTTTGTTAATCTTATCCAATCTATTAATAATAGATACAATATTTCAAATTCATAAATTATTCTAAATATTTTCTATAATCAAATGATGAGTTATTTATTTGTGAATTAAATCATATATTGTAAGCTTATCATTTACATAATTCATCAATATCTGCAATGTCTAATTAATGTATTGCTTTTAAAAATCATGTTTACTATTCAAATAACACACATAAAGTATTATTCGCACCAAATTCAGTTTATTAAGTGCTATAAATAATTGATAGTCCGAAAGAAAAAAATACATTTTATTTACATTTATAAAATTAAACATTAGCGAAATGGGTTGATAATTAAGAGAGAGAAGTACTTAATTTTGATAAGATTAGAACCATAAATGGAGATAAAATCAATTAAGCTATAACATATGTTTAAATCACTGCTTTATCACCTCCTCTATATGATGTTGAATTAACTATAGATTCAAAAGATAAGAACAGAATGTCTAAGATGCTTCAAAATTGTGATTAATCTTTCTATTTTATTATGGGTTGTTCTAAAGGTGCTGTTTTATGTATACCATTAGAAGTGAATACCTTTATTTATACTCGAATTAATTATAATAAAAACTCTATTTCAGATATTATTTACTTTAATGATTAATTAGTTATTAAAAGTACTGATAATATAATAAACTTTGTTTAAATTGAATCTAATAAAACATCTTTAATTAAATCAATTAAAATTATTAAATTAGGACCACTCCATTTAACTAAAGCTAAACATTTAGCAATTGCTTAATCAAATGAATTATATGTATTTAATACTAACTTAATTGCCTATGAAAATAATTAAGGACATGAAGCTGATATACAGCAAATCACAAGTAATGAAACATTCATCATCAGTAATTCAATTCAATAACTCAAAATATGGACCAACAATGGATTTTGTATTTATACAATCAATTTTCATGTTTAAATAGATCATATACATTATTTAAATGATGAACTGATTACAAGTCTAAATGGAGGACTTTGTCTATTACCTATTCCAGAATATGAGATTACAAACATTGATACTCAAGATTATTCTGAAATTCATATCGCGGATCTAGAAGTGAGTAAAAAGAAGTCATCATTTAAAGAAGAATCTTGTTAATTACAATAATAATAATAATCATGTATTTAATAAAAGTCATTTGAATTTAAAAAAACTTTAGAATTACCTAAAATTTAATTAAAAATTAAAACTCAAATTTCCTAAGGTAATCCTTAGACTCCAGTCAAAATTCATAAATAATGTAATTCAATCTATTCTACAATTAATAAAAGTACTAATGCAAGTACTTATAATACATAAGCTCCTATAAGTTAAAGTTTTGATTATAGCATTCAACATGCAGTAGATAGTAGTTGTGTATTACCTGCAATACCATAACAAAAAGAAGATAACTCATTATTAAATTAATATTTGAATAGAAGAGCAAAAAAAGGATAACCTAGAAATAGAAGGGAATGGACTTTGGATAAAAAAATTATGGGAAATATTTTATCATAAATTTGAGCAAAATTATTTTCAATGTTCTACTTTTTATTATTTATTATTTATCATAATATACTATCCTTTATGATTAAAAATATTAATTCAATAAATTCTCTAAGATCTTATTTACAATTCTAATTTAGAATGTAAAATATTTAATTTTAAATATTGAGTCAATAATAATTTATATAATTACTATATTTAACAAAAATTTATTTTTTTAATAGAATACTTAAATTGAAAGAGAAATTAGATAATCTAAACTCAACTTTTGATCGAAAACTAAGATAGAATATATTAGTATCATATAATGTTGTATTTAATAAAAAATGAAATATATTAAAAAGGACATAAGAAATCTAAAAGCAACTGTTCTGATAAAAAGTAAATAGTGGTTAATAATTTAAAAATTAAAGAAGGGAATAATAAAATAAAATAAGAATTGAATATAACAAAATAATAATGATTAGGGAATTGAATATTAATCAATTATAAACAATCATTATCTTTAATACCATCCAATTTCACATTTTCCAGGTTTATAGCATTAATTATGTTCATATTCTAATTATCTTTTGGTTTCTTGAATTTTTTGAGAATTTAATTTTTATTTATCTTAATCTCTTTTTTTCTAATTTTTTTTTGCTTATTTATCTGCATATTTTTCTTTTCTTTCACTTTCTTTTTCAAGCATTTATGCAAATTCTTCCATATCTTTTCTAAAATTATCTTTTAAATCCCACCAAATAGGAGTCTTATAATCTTCTTCAGTCAATCTTAACCATAATACTATTATATAGTTAATATTAATACCAGGTTCAATTTTAGTTAGATTGACATACATAGTTCCTACAGATTCAACTTTTTCATAACTAGTAGCTGGATCAATTGGTTTATATAATTTAATAGCATATCTATATTTGAATGGAATATGTGAAACAATTCCAAAAGCTTCGATCAATAAAGAATCATTCTTTATTTCAACAATTTCTAATTTAGCATTCAAACAAGCTGGGGCATCTTATCTATGAGAGAACTTAATATTAATAAATGTAGCATTTTTAGATTAAGCCCATTAAACAACTGGTTAAACAACCTAAACTTAATTGCTTTTAGCCATAGCCAATTTGAAAAGAGTTTACATTTCTCGTTGATTCAAATATTTATCATTCTTTAAGAATTAACTAAATAGATTAAAGAATAATAAGAATACACAATTCTATCAGTGATGTCAATGTGATTCAATAGAAAGTAATTCTCATAGAGACTTAATGCAACTTTATAATATCCTCTTGAAATAATGAATTCTAAACACTCATAATCGATTTAATGATTCTTAACAATATGATCTTCAAAGTAGATCTATATTTTAACTAAATGATTATAATAATACATTTTACCTTCTGGATCCCCAATAGTGAATTGTTCTAAATAACATTTCTTGAGTAAGCCTTGGGAAGTCATAGCAACACTAATCAAGAATGTAAGAAAAAGCATATTAAATTACGTGTATTTTAATAATTAAGAAATTTCTATATTAAATGAAGTAGCTGAATCGTACAGAAATTGAATAAAATCTTGTGCATGATGCAATTGTTTAAATTAGAAAATAATATGAATAAGTAGAATCAGAAGAAGTCCCTTAAGAATTACTTGAGAATAAATACTATAAAGAATATGAATAACTTGATAAATTAGAATTGTTAAAGGATTAACACATAAAATATTGTACAAAGAGATTACTAAATATTGGATATTCCATTCTTTATTTAGATGTAGGATAACCATGGTGTATATATTGGCCATTAAATGCATTATGTATTTTATAAGAGGATGTATCAAAATATGAACAAAAAATAATTTAATATTTAGAACAATGCAAGATTGGTGGTTTTGGAGGTGGTCCATATTAAATTGAACATTTAGCTCCAACATATTCATCTTTATTAAGTATATAATAATAATGGTAATGTATATAGCATTATTCATTCTTGCATCTCCATCTTCTTTAGGATTAGTTGATAGAAAAGGATTAGAGAAATTCTTTTGGTCTGTCTAAGATCCAAATGAAAGAGGATCTTATTTAATGCATGTGAATGGAGAAGCAGATATGAGAGCTGTTTATATAGTGGTTATTATGGTGATCCTTTTAAAATTAGAGTATAGAAATATCATAATTATAGTCCTAAATTATTGGATGGATGTGCTGAATATATTGCATCATGTTAAACTTATGAAGGAGGTATTGGAGGAGTTAGGTATTCTGAGGCACATGGAGGATATACATTTTGTGGATTTGCTGCTTTAGTTTGTATGCGAAAAGCACATTACATTGATTAAGAAAAACTATTATATTGGCTAGTTAATAGATAAATGGAAAATGAAGGAGGTTTTAATGGTAGAACAAATAAAGTTGTAGATGCATGTTATTCATTTTGGTAAGGAGCTATTTTCAATCTCTTAATCTTATCTGGCTATCTAAATCAATAATTAATGAATGTATATGAATTATAGAAATACATTCATATATGTTAAAGTCCTACTGGAGGAATCTTTGATAAACCTAGTAAATCTCCAGATGCTTATCATACATCCTATGGATTAAGTGGATATTCATTATCAGATAACCAATTTTTAAATCCAATTTATAATATTCCAAATAAATCCATAGAATTTGTGAGATAATTCTTTTAATGATTTTTTTATTTAAAATCATTGCATAAATGTATTTATTCAATCAATCCCCTCTTTTTAATCATTATCTCTTATTTCCAAAAATTCAATTAATTATAATATACATACTAATCAAAAAAGTATTTATAGATAATCCACTTTTAATTATCTTATCAAATAACTATCATATATATATAGTTACCCAAAGTTACATTTACATCCAATAAATTTACATTTAGCCTCTAAATTATATAATTTATAAATACTTATTCCATGAATCAAAATCTTTAACTTAAAAACATCATTTCTACATATAATAGATTTAAAGAACAATCATTTTAAGTTTTAATTTAATTAAGTTGAGATTTCTTAAAAATATTTATCTAATTGAATAAGCTTTTAATTTTCTTTAATTTTATTTGAAACTTTAATATAAGCTTTCTAGAAAGAAATTATTTATTAAATTGCATTAAGAAATCTTAAAAATTTGAATCTAATAAGAGTATATAATCATATAAATGAGTTTTATCTTTGAAAATCTTAAAATTTACATTTTGAGAATAGATTTTATATTCAATCTATTTAATATTTTTCTAATTTTGTAATGAAATAAATGAATACTAGAACTTTTTAATCTTGATTGCAATAATAGCTTTGTCTATTTATAAATATTTATAAATAACAAAACAGACCTATTAAAAAGATGTCAACAAAATTTTAAATATATGTCGAGGAAATTGATTCTCTTTTAATTAAGACTCTGTAATCTATTGCTCTATCAAAATTAAATCTTTTAACAACTACAATTTAAATTTCTTAATTATTGGAATACTATTTAAGTATATCATAGACTTATTCATAGTAAATGAATATAGTTTCATAAAATTGATTATTCCTTTAATTTTATATTTATTAAAAGATTTGTGTAATTTAGAATATTTATAAAGAATGTTTGATACCTTCTTAAAGAATTTGAATTTTATTGAAATAATTTAACAATAACTATTGTGTTTTAATTGAATGAATCTGAAGATTTGAATAGTAAAGATATTGTATTGTGTTTAGAGATTCACAAATGTCAATAAAGAATGTAATTGACACATATTAATTTCTAAAAAGTGGTTATTATTTTAATAAAAAATGCCTATAATTATAGAAAATTTTGTTAATTAATGAATTTTTCAATAAATAAAGCAATATAATTAAAAAATTATAAAGAATAAGAATTTTTATTTTAATTGTTTTAATGATATATGTATTAATTTTAATATGAACGAATTCCCTGATTAAATAGATATTTCAAAATTAAGAGTTGATTTAGGTGATCAATGGAATGAAACTGAGTTAGAGGTTTTTCTTAAAAGTAGTTATCTATACATGAATGAATATTAGTCTTCAGATAACAAAAATTAGCTGGAGTTGGAAGAATGTAGGAAATATTAAAACAACTTGGATATTAAAGAACAATCACAAATTTATTGTCGATTTATAAAAAAGTAAAGAAATATAATAGAAATAGAACAAAAACTTTTTAGAATCAAACCAAAATTGTACAGCTCATGATTTGTATTTGATTTTATAAGATCATTATCAATAAGATGAAGAAATTAGTTATGATTAAGGATAGGCTAAAAGGATTAAGAAAAATAAGAATTGTAATATATTCTCTCTTAAAAATTAGGTCGTAAATCAATTCCTTAAAAATTTGAAGTCTTTGAAAATGAAATTGATTTAACTTATTACTTTACAACAACTCTTTGTAATTAGAATAGATGCGTTAGTAAAGGTTAGGAAATGAGCTAAAATGTATTGATTTTAATGATTTCAAGTTTTGTAAGTGGATTCAACATGAATACTTTTATTCTCATTTAGATTATACATATTTTAGTCTAAATGAATTTAGACAAATGTTAAATAAAGCTAATGTATAATTAGACAAGAAATCAATTTAAGAGTGGAGATAGATTAAATTGGTATGTATATATATATACAAAAAATTTAGGCGATAGGATAACCAAGGAGATTTTCATTTTATTTTTTATAATAAGAGATGAGTAAATTAGCAAAGTATCGATCAGTGATACGAAATTACTTATTTGATCACAACTACCCAATTCATAGAGATATTAAAAATTTAGATTTAATTCGAGACATTGTAAGATTGGCTCCCTTTAATATTGGATAAATTGTATATGCTGTTCATCCTGAATGTAAACATATACATCCAGGTTAAATTGTATCTACTAATTTACCTAGTATTACAATCAAATTCTTATAACCTGAATTAGGAATTCATAAGATTTTTGATTAGAATATTTAGTTGTAAATATATAGAGAAATATAAAAAAAAGAGAGGATAAATTTTTAAGTAAATAGATGAGTGATGATCGATTTGATATGTAATAATAAATGAGTTTGAATCTACAAAATGAGAGTAAAAATACTTTGATTTCAAGTATTGTATAAGAATTCGATTATTTTGCTGGTTCTTTTATGATAAGGATTCTGTAGAGGTATTTTACTATAAAAATAATAAAGAAAATATGCTCTTGTAGGTTATTTAAAATAACTAAATTATGAATTAGAGAATAATCAAAATCTTAAAAACGATATAGAATTTAAATCTCTATATAGTTGGACTTTTCAATAGATACGCAATTTTGATTTGGCCTCTAAACATGTAATTACTAAGTTTAGAATGAGAGGTTTAAATGGATATTGTATATAAATTGATAATGATTTTAATTTTAGCTCTCAGATAAGTGAACAATAATCTTGATAAGGTTCTAAGTATGCCATTAGCCTATATGGAGAGGGAATTAGATCAAAATAATGCAAAAATTGAGGAAGAAAAAAAAAATAATGAAATTAAACAAATTATTTATAAATAGTAAGATGTATGATATTAGTTATGATTATAGGAGAGAATCAATTCATAGTTAAGTTAATTATTAAATAGCAAATTTTAATTTTTAGAGAATGATAATTGTAAAGATAATTATTTTAATTAGAATATAAACCATTGATTTCTTCTCTATTTGGATTACTATTCACATTGAATAATAATTCAGATTTAAATATGAATACAAATACATATTGGCAAACTCTTACATAAAATATTTAAGATTCACATCCTTAATAATTAATAGAAATTCAAGAATCGATACTAAGAATAGTAGGTAATTAAAGTAAATGAATATATATATTTTATAATTGAATTTCAGATTTCAATGTGAGAAACTTAATTTTTAATGAAAATTGGTTTTAATTTTAGATGGCTTAAATAGGGTCGAACATCTGGCTTGGATTTTCTTTAAGTAAGGGGACTTTTAACTATCAATTTATTTGTTAATTATTATTCTTAATCTTTATTCAATTAATGAACAGTAACTAGATTTAGCTAGAGTTACCTATTTCTTTTAGGTTATTATAATGTTTTATTTTAGAGATACTATCCTAATTTGTTTTATGAACTTTATTTTGGTTTGATAGGACTTAATCTTGTAGGAGACAAGTTATAAACTTGAGAGAGTTAAGGTTCTCCATACGTATTCATTCTTGAATGATGTCTCTAAAATATTACAGATCCTCTACGAGATTAATTTCTTTAAAAAATAAAAGCGAAAATTACATTAATTTCACCGATTAACAAATTTAGGTACTTTTTAAGTAAAGATTGTTTTATCTAATCGATGTATTGTTATTTAATTATTTGAATTGAAAATTGCTAAGTTGACCACATTCGCTGCAATAGCAACTCTTTCTTCTTATCTATGTTAAAGTCGCCAATGGAAAATCATCTTCATTCTATTTGCAATTTTTTATTCTTAGACTGCTTCTCTTTTCTTTATTATGAGAATACAGTGATGAGGTAGATCCAGTAAGACATATAGGATTAAAAGAATTTCGAAAGCTAGATTGACTTGTTGATATTAGCATTATAATATTAATTTAATTATTTCTTTAATGTCAAAAATTTCAACATACTGAATTCATAAATAATGTTAACTATTATATTATTTCATCTAAAATTTTGTTAGTTAAAAAATGCATATCTGATAAAATAAAATTCACATAAATTTTCCAAATCATAACTATTTTATCAAAAAAGAAATTAAATACCATCAAATTAATACCACTTTTAATATCGTTTTGACTTATTTCTTTTTTGTTGAGTGAATAATAATTATTTTTGTTAAGTTTTTAATTTTTTTTTATACTTTTATTAATAATTATGAATCAAGTTTTCGATAACTTATATAAATTATTTAAGATTTTTAAGTATTAAAAATAATAATTAAGAAGGAATTAACTTAATTAATCAATTTTTATTTATTATCCCTAGATTTTATGGAAAAACAAATTTAATTTTTCTTTGAGGTTTAGATTCTTTTTAAATTAAAATTTATATTGCTAAATTCTAAAAGTGCATTTAAACTATTTTTATTGAAGGTTTATTTTTATAAATATCTAATAATGTTTAGAAATTGTCTTTCAAAATTGTCTTATTGATTTGAACCATTTCTTATTGTTTTTTTTCTTTTAAAGTAATATTTTGTTTATGTACTTATTTTAAAAAATACTCTATTATTCAGATTCATACAATAACAATTTTTTCTTTGAAAATTTGTTTGTTGTTATTTAAATGTAATATAAATGGTTTCATTTTTTTAAGAAATTAAGGAATTTTTTATATTAAGAATTGAAGTAATATTAAGAGGTGATTTGATTAATAAAAAAGTGTAAGTATTTTAGAGAAAATTAATTGATTTGATTAAAAATAATTATGATGATAAATTTATGGATATGAAACGATTAAAAATTTGTTGAGAATCTTTTGATTCACATATATATTATAAACTCAAAATCATTATTAATAGAAATTATGGATATGAGACTCTAATTTTAATTGAACATCCTTTCCACAAGTCAAGAAATCATCAATTTGACCTGATTAATAATTTAAAGCTTTCATAAATCCTACAGCAAAAATAAATTTAATAGCTTAGATATTATAAGTAGGTCTTCCAACATTATGTTTTTCATTTAGAGGGTCTTATATTAAAAGTGTAGGGATTTGATTGGTTGCATTTTATGGATTGAAATAAATAGGATAAGCAGATACTTGTTAATCAGGTGGGAATACATAAATGGTCTTAGCAATATAATCCATTTCACATCCATATAAATATAAGAATTCAATTAAACATTATGCTAAAGAAAGTTGTTGTCCAGTACGAGATTGTAAAAAGGAAACAATCATTAAATTTAAACCATAACTACTTAACCCTCCTTGATATGGATCTAGAAGTGATGATTAAGATAGAAATTATTTTAAAACCATAGTCAAAGGTCTTAATTCTGGTAAATAGTTGAGGTATGATTTAATTAATGAAACACATTGAATACCATTATGTCTAGGTTCTTGAAAGGAAATATCAATTCTTTTATTAAAATAATAGTTAATAGACTTTAATTTAAGGACAGGAATAGCAGTAAATAGAATACATTTAGTTTCTTCAATGAATTTAGTTTTTGAAAATTCCATTTCTAATTTTTTCATTTGATCAACAATATACAATTGTTAAGTAGTCATGATTACAATATCAATATCACTATTAGGTAATGAGAGTTAAGTTGCAAAGGATCCATATACATATGCTTCTTAATTTAAAACTCTTCTAACAGTAGCTTTAATTTTATTAATAAGTTCTTCAAGATTTTATTAATGTTCTTAGTTGTATTAATCAACTTATTGAATGTATTAATCAATGCTTTGGTTGAGTAGTTTAAGTGAATCTTGTTTAGGTAGAATTTATAGGATTTTATCTGTTTAAACTTCCATTTCAACTTTTTATTCTTTGGGAAGAATGTTAAGTAGACGTAGACGTTCTTTATTTGATTTAGTAATGGCATCAAGATCGGAGAGATCAGCAATGGTATGAAACATTTTGGACATTTGATATAAATAAAAAAGTATTTATAAATATTCGTTTTTGTTTTGAATGAATTAAGATGTTTTGAAGTAGATTCGATAGCATTTTCCAATGATAGATAATATAATGTTTCGAAATATTCTGTCGTAATAGAAAGATTAGAACCTATTGATAACTTTAGTATATATATTAAAGAGAGTGAGAGAAATAGTTGGTCATATGGAAGATGTTACAAAGTTTGCATTATCTTTATGGGAGAAAGAAGAGATTTAGATATCAAAAGAATGTATAAATAATGAATTCTAGATTTAGTGCATGATGAAATAATATTGAATTTGGTTGAATCTAAATTTTACTATCAAGCTCTTTTGGCAAATAAGAATAGTCAATTTTTGAGTAATATTGCAGTTAAATATTAGATAAGAATAAGATTTATAGTGAGGTATAGGAATTGTCAGAAAAGAGTAAGAGAGTTAATGATATATTGATTGAAAACTTTAGTGCATAGAGACCATATTAATTGTTTGTAGAAGAATAGCAAGAATTATAATCAAAGAAGACAGCATAGACACCTAAGATACCATAATTATAGAAAGGATAGAAATTATGTTCTCTAACATTGAACATTTAAGATCGGGATTAAGTAGATAAATTATACAGAAATAATAAATAATATTTGTAATAATTAGGAATTAAAATGGAATATCCTAAAAATACAACAGCTACATAAACTGAATAAGTTGATGGATTAATGCCTTTAAGTAGTAAAAAAAATAAGAATTAATCAAAAGAGTAAAATAAAGAAATGAAATTCTATGAATATCAATTAGAAATGGGTTAATGTACTTAATATTTACCTACTTATGATACAGTTGAATTATTGACTCAAGATATTAAATTGTTTGTTTCTGAAATTGATTAATATAATAAGAAGAATAGAAATGCATTCTAAAAATTAATTGAAGAAATATCTGCTGTTGTAAGTGATACTTATGCAGGAGCATAAATAGATGTCTATGGATCATATGCAACAGAATTATGTTTACCACACTCAGATATTGATTTAGTCATTAAAATCTCCAATCAACATGAAAAGTTTGTTACAGATATTTTATAAAGAATTGAAATTGAATTGAAAAAATGTAAATTTATTGAAGAAACTAAATGTGTAACTTAATCAACCACTCCAGTTCTTAGAGCTAAGTGTAATAAATAATATATGAATAAGAGACTTGATATCTCTATTCAAGAAACTAAACATAATGGTTTATAATGTGTCTAATTGATTCGCAAATATATTAAGAATTATGAACCACTTAAACCATTAACACTTATTATGAAACAATTCCTCCATAAAAGTGATCTCTCTGATACTTATAGTGGTGGCTTAAGTTCATATGGATTAATCTTGATGATTGTATCCTTCTTATAAAGCTACCAAAATTAAGATAAGAATTGGCCTACTATAGGTACTTTATTAATAGAATTTTTGAATGTTTATGGTTGTGAATTAGATTATGCTGGTAAAACTATCTGTCCTGATCAACCTGAAGTTTTTGAATAAGAAACAACCATAATATTTGATCCTCATAATTTTGCTTATTGTTAATAACAAAGTCTTGTTATCATTGATCCACTCAATCCATAAAATAATGTCGGACGTCCTTCCTATAATGTTGCTAAGATCAAAGTATATATAATCTTACGTTCTTTCTAGCTTGCATTCACTGTTGCTTTCTCCAAATTATTGACCTTTGATTCTACAACTCAATAATACCCACTAAAATTCTTTTTCAATTCCGCTTAAAATATTCAATGTTCCCTTCATTCTGTGCTAGTCAATTAATATAAAGCCTATGCTGATTAGATCATGTTTGGAACATCTACACGTTATTGAGTATATAAGAAAATATATCTAGTTATAATTCAATTTATCCTTTCATTATAAATCAATTTATAATCCAATTTATTATTTTATATGAATTGGGATTTTATAAATAGAAAGCTTAAAGAATTCTTTGAACAAAGACGACAACAATCTGTTGATAAAATATTCACACTTAATAATTGTAACATCCCAAAAAAATAATTTAATGAAATGGAAACTTAAGTAATTGATGATCCTAAAATTACATAAATGTAACTAACAATTCCCCTTACACTTTAAACTCCAACAAAAACTAAAACTAATCCAAAATCATTTAGCTAAATCTCCCATTTATTCTCTCCTCATGGACCTGCAAGATCAACTACTTCCATGTAAATGAGATAAATTGTAGCTAGTACTTTAAAAAATCAAAGCAACAGTTACAATAGTGTTAGAACCAAAGACATTAAAAAAGTTTAAGAATTGGTTGGCCAAACTACTAAAAATACTAATAAACCTAATTTCAGAAAACTTAGAAAATAATAAACTTTCATTTCATAAAAAATTTTAAAAGATTTTGACAATTTATTTGATCAAGCACCTAATAATAATATTAAACAATCTGATTCTCTTAAATCCTTTATTACACAAACCAAAAATATAAATACTTTAGCTATGCGTGCCTAATTAAAAATTAAATCTTATGGTTCTATTAGATAACTCAGTTAACCAAGTCCCACTATTCATAATTTCACTAAAATCAATTTTGCTAACAATTCTAATCCAAAAGTAGGTTTAGATCGCTTCCTCAGTAATAAATGGCTATAATTTGTAATTGAATAGAAATCTATGAGGAAAGATGATTAATTTAATTAATAACTCAAATCTTACACAGAATCTCCTCAAAAACTTATTAATATACAAAATCTTAAACAAAATTAAGAAGTCAGAGAATAATTAAATAATAAATTAAATCTTTAAAATTACAAACCTCATAGATATACACCTTAATCAGCAAGAAATTAAGAAATTAAAAAAGAAACACAATCTTTAATCAAATCGAATTCTTAAACTATTCTTGAAATTGAAAAAAGAAAAGATGATGAGGAATTAATCTAATTTGTACCTATTTATTATGATAAATAAGTTAAAAGAAGAAGAATTTTGAGGAAACTTAAAGTTTTAGCTAAAATTGCTATAATTAAACGCATTTTTGTTTATCAGGTATATTTTAATTATTACATTATAGTTATTAGAATAATATTAATAGCTGATATCATATAAGTCTCCAGGCTCTAATGCTTTCTTAAGATTTGTTAAATACAACAAAATTTAAGATGTAAAATAAATGCTTGATCAAGACAAAAAATTGATTGGATCTTTTGATGAATTAGGTTAATAAGCTATACATCTAGCTGTAATGATCTAATCAATTGATATGGTTAAATTACTACTTTACTATGATGCAGATGTCAATTCAAATGATTTCTTTCTTTAAAAACCATTATATTTTGCTCTTAATACTAATAATTTAGAAATTGCTAAATTACTCCTTGCATGTAGAGCAACTCCATGGGATCAAAATTTGAGAGACTACTTTCCTTGTTGCAGAAGTCAAAATGCAAAAGACTTAATTAAATTGGCTTAATATCTGAAAATATATAATCGAGATCCAGAATGTTTATTGAATATAGATAATATAAAGCAATAATTGAGTTTATATTGATTAATAACATATTAATTATGTTGTTTTTATGAATTAATTATCAAAATATATTTTTTCAATTTATACTTAAGCTTATTTAAATCAATTAATTAAAATAGATTTTGAACTTACTCTTATTTTTTTATCCCAACTTCCGCTAATTATCAATTCTCTACTAGGAATATACTCAATACAGCTAATTTAATCAGTGTGTCTTTTAAAAATAAAAATTTACTTACCTTTTTCAATATCCCAACATCTTATTGTCTAATCAGCACCTCCAGACCAAAGCTAATTATTTTCACTATCAAAAGTCAAACATGACACATTATCTTAATGCCCAACCAATATTTATAATTTAAGTGCTCTATCCAAATTCCAAAGAATAATCTTTTTATCTGAACTCCCAGAAGCGATTAAAGATACAAATTCTCCATTTATCATATCTTTTAAATGTTTCAAACAAAGCACATTTCCTGTATGACCTTCTAATTTATCTCTACAATATCCATTTAAAATATTATATACACTAATTATACTATCACCTCCACTTACTATTAAACCTTTATATGATACATAACAAAGAGCTAAGATCTTTTAATTATCTTATATGTTTAATTTTATTTTTGGGTTTTTGAGTGACCAAATTTTAATTGTTTGATCTAAGCTACCTGAAGCCAATTAATTTACGTCTTGCAAATAGATTAGAGCTTTGACAGATTCTTAATGTCCAACAAGAATATATTCGCATACTTTTCTTTAAAAATTCCATATTCGAATAGTTTGATCAGAACTTGCACTACCAAAATTTGTATCATTAATTTTTACTAATGATAAAATATCCCCAGAATGATCATTTAATTTTGTTGAGGTTAAGGCATTGTCTATATAAAATATTCTAATTGTTCCTCCTACACTTCCTGATAAAATAGAAGAATTTGAAAAAGCACAAATACATAAAATAATATCAGTGTGTCCAGTTAGTACTGTATTAATAGATTTTGATTAAAGAAATCTAGATCCACTTAATTCAATCATATTACTATTACTTTAGGAAGCTTTTAAATCATTTGTTCTTTCAGATTGCTATTTTTATGATTAAAATAAAGATATATTTTTTTATAGATCTATTTTTGGAATTAAAGGTGATCTGATTCTTTTTTATATTTCTAATTTTTATTGATGCATGGGAGTTTATGTTTCATTTGTATAAAATAGATTATTTAATTAAAATGATTTAGAAATGTTATTATTTAATATTGAATGAAATTTTTCAGATAAAATAATGAGTTAATTATTTGAGATTTATTGTACAAACATTTAAACCTATTAGTTTAATGTTGGTAGAATAACATCAACCATTTGATCATTTTATTAGATTAACTAAGTGAATTAAATTTCATTAAGTGATCTATTTGTTTAAGGTATGAATATATGTGAATGTTCAGAAAGTTTATTGAATAAAGCAGCAATATCAGATTCAAACAATTTATAATAAGTATTTGTATAATCTATTGCAGATGAGCAAAACTTATTAATTTCAGCATTTATTCCAGTTTTAAGTAAATCTGAAAGTTTGATAATCTATTTTTTTAATAAATCTTTGTTTAATGAAATTTAAGTTTGAGCAGAATTTAATTGAGAGCTAAGGAGATTAAGATTTTGTTAAATGGATTTTGGTATTTATGTAATTTAATAATCAAGGTCATTTAGAGACTGAATCATTGAATAATGTTATGGATCATGCTTTTACATACATTAATGGCATAGAAACTTTTTATGACAGTTTTTGACTTAACAAAGAAGTGTATAAGGTGAATTATGTTCTAAGCAATTCATTTAATAATTATATGTTTACAGTTTTATAAAATCAAGCATTATTATTTGATGGGACTTTGTTATTAAAATTTTCAGTTGTAGAGACTTAGACAGTATGTAGTTTATTTTTTCTGAAAATTAAGTAGATGATGGTAAAAACTAAGATTACAAATCCAGAGCAGAGTGTAGTGATTTCATATCCAATTTTTTCAACGAATGCACCACAAATAATTGGACCAAAAATATCACCTAAAGACCAACCAAATTAATATAGATTGGCTCCTATTAAATTTGCTTTGCATATTCCAACCTTATCTATACAGGAATCACTAATATTAGGAATAAAGAGGGCACATCCAATACCTAAACTTATTCCTCTAATAAATTCTCCAAAAAGAATAAAGAAAATTGATTGAGGGAGTTTAAGTACTGTAGGACAATAAAAAAAGAAACTTATTCCTAAAATCCACATACCTATTTTAAAAAGAGTTTATTCTTGAAAATAAGTTTAACGTGCTACTAAGATTGCTGATAAGAGGTATGTGAAGATAGGAATCATAAAAAGATAAGAAATGTTATACTCCGAGAGACCATAATAATTCCCTAATTCATTAGCCTATATATAAATAAATATAATTAACCAAGAAAGGTCTTAATCCATTTTCTAGTGCAGAAAGCCAAAAGAAAAAGATGAATGTAACTTATAATGACTTGTTTTTGAAGATATCTATATAATCTTTAGTTTCTAATTTGCTATCATCTTCAGTAACTTCTGCTTATTCTTAAAGAACTTCTAGTTAAGTGCTATTATTCATTTTGGCACCACTCTCAAAAAGACTAATATGATTGATTTATTAACTGTGATTCATTTTTGGTGAATTATGAATAGATATTTATTTTGCTTCTCTTTTTTACTTAATGATCTATCTTATTTAAGTTTACCATTTAACTATAGCCTTTTTCCCATTAAGAGAATCTCCTTCTGCTGACTTTTCTTCTCCTCCACTGGAACTACTTTTTCTCATTACATTTAGTTGAGGTACTTCTAAAGTTTAGATTGTTGTGTCATGTCTCTATAATTAGCCTTCAACTTTCTCTGCATTTTAAACAGACTAATTCAACACATCCCCTGGTTATAATTATTATTAAGACTAATTTAATTCTTCATTTTATTAAAGTAAAGAATTATCATTTTAAATAACACATTCAATAGGCGTTATAGATTAACTCTTTGTAATATTTATTGGAGGATTATTATTAACTGAAATTCTCTCTTATTCTTTTTATTTCTTCTTTGGAGATATCCCTTCTGGTACTTCAGGTAGATAAAAATATTTATGAGTAATTAAATAACTGATCACATATATTGCTGCTAATCCATAACAAGGAAGCTAATAAGTATCAAACTATATTAATTAAGCTATTAATGTAAAAAATCTAGTGCTTGTTAATCTACCTATACAATGTCCCATTTCTAATATTGCAATCTTTTATGTAACATCATCTTTAAATAATATCGGTAATGCTGCATAAGATGGAATTAATAAAAATGATGCTCCCTATTCAAATATTATAATTATTATTACAGATCCTATTATGACTCTAAAAATGCAAGATAATGCAAAAAATAATCCACCTTCAGTATATTTTGATACACCCATACCTACTGTTGCTATAGAACTTTGTATCAATCCTATCAATATTGCCTTTCTTTTAGAACTACATAAAGAAACAAAAGGTGTTGCTAATACGCTTCCAATTGGATAAAATGCTAACATGATCCCAATTTCAGTCTCACTAAATCCTTTATCTGTTGCCACTGGTGAAAAATATGGTAATAATGCTGTGTAAACACTGTCTGATATTGCTACCAAATCAAAGAGAATTATGAGCAAAGTTATTTGTAATTGCATATTTTATAATATTAGTTCAATCTATGAACATCATTTTTCAAAAATATTTAATTTTTATTATTAATCTGACACAATTTATTTATGAAAATGACATCATTTTTATTATAAAATTTAACTTTTTCGCAATCATCTCTTTCAACTCTTTTAAACTCCTTTTTCAATTCAACTTTTTTATCTTACTTATAAATTTACAAATCCCTACAAAATCTATCTTATTTTCTCTATCTATTTATTAATATTACGATTTTAACGTTTCAGTTTTCTAGATACTTTAACCATTGAAATCTAGTAAAATGATAATTTATATATATTATTTATTATTAACTTAATCAAAACTATCACTTATATTTTGAAATTATATCAAATTTTGAACTTGTTTCTTACATTTTCTATCTTACTCTTTCCATATCCTCATTTACTTTCTACATTTCTTAATATTTAGTTGATATCATTTGAATCTCTAAATTGCATCTCATACATATTCTTTTCTTCTCCTCTCTTTACAATATTTATAACAATTTTACATTTAAATACAATTTTAATGATATTGATGTCCACAAATAAAATGAAAAGATGGATTAACCAAAGCATTATCACATGCTGTACACTTTCCAAATTAAAAAACTTAAGCTTATGTTTTTATCTATTAAAATTCTGTTCTTAATTCATTTGTTGATTACATATTCTCTTTTATAACATTTTAATTATCCTTTATTTCTGAATAATCTCTTTCTAATTATTACTTTAAAAAATCTCTCATCTAACCAAATCTAACATTACTATTCTCTTTCATGATATCTAAAATCAAAAAAGAAGATATAGACTCCAATTTATTCAATTCCTACAATATACTTGGAATATATTGAGTAGCCTTATTTTCAGGTCTAGCAAAATATTTCAAAGCTAATACCCATAAATTTTACTCTTACTCACCATATTCAGTGCATAACTTTAATATTTCATCATTATCTTTCTTTGTTATATAAAAATTCAATAATTCCTCTCTCATTTGTAGTTTCTTTAATAAACAAATTATTCCCTCTGTAAATTTGTAAATCTTAAACTATACCAATAAATGATTTTTATCATATTTTTATTCATACTTATCATCTTATAATAAACTCATTATTCTTTTTTCACTCTCCTAAACTTCTTCTTTTCTTTCCAGTCTCTCCAAATGATAACTAAAATATCTATGAAATATAGCCATTTCATTAGGCAAATTCTTGCATTCTTCTATAAGAAATCTTAGATATCTTTCTAAATAACTATTATATCCTGCAAAAATATGCAAAAACTCATCTGCTTTAGAAAATGTTATTGAGAATACATTTGATAATTAATCATTACTTAAATTGAAGTATTTCCACACTTTTTATTACTCTGCAGTTAAACGATCTAATGAATCAATACCTTTTCTAGAATCAAATTACTTTTTTAAGTTTTGTGTAATATTGATTAGCAAGACTAAATTTTCAATCACTTCTAAAGTAAATTAAGGTTCACTTTTCATTAATTCAAGACCGAATTCTTTTAGATAATTAGCCTATTATTTATGAAAAGATCTCAATTACTTTTTCCTCTAAATTTATTATATCTCTAATATATTCTAAAGCAGCTCCACATTCTAATTTGTCATATATATAAATTTATAAACAAGCAGTGTAAATAGATTTTTTATATGCCATTTTTAGAGCAATATCAACATAATTGGAAGATCGACACTCTTTAATAGCAGTTTCTATATCAAATAATTCACTTTCAAATCCAAATTTTTCTATTTTGTCTATAAAATTGTCAAATTGTTTTAATTTAATGTAGCAATTTAATAATAAAGCTGTATGATGTTTTTCTACTTTTGGTGATTTATGCAATTTCTCTAAGTATTAAACTAATTATTCAATATTAGAAATATCAAGAAAATGAGTGGCAATAGCTTAAGTGGGTTCTAAACTATCAATTTTTTACATAATTAATGACAACTAATTATTATATATATTAATTCTTTTATTTAAATAACGTCAAATGAATAACCTATTTTAGAGTTATTAATATAAACTATATCATAAGAGGAAACTGGAGTTATAATTAATTTAAAATGGATAAGATTATTATTGAATTAGATATATTAATGATTATAGCCAATTGTATTTCTATAAGTCAAATTATTGAAATGAGGAATGAAATAATAAAAAGAAAGATAATAGCAAAACATTCTAAATGTATTTGATATTGATTTAACAATTATTTTTGTTTTTAATATTTTAATTTAAATGGAAGAATAACAGCAAATTGAAAATACTATAATAGAAGAAAGATATAGGAAGCCTGATGGAGAGACTGGATTTCGTAGATACTAGAAAGGAAAGATTTTAGGAAAGGGTGGATTTGCAAAATGCTATGAAGTAACTTCTATAGAAAGCAAAAAAGTATTGGCAGCTAAGATTATTGCTAAAAGTACTTTAAAGAAAGGGAGAACAAAAGCAAAGGTATAATTTAAGTATATGAAAGTTAATAACTGAGATAAAGCTACATAAATCACTACATCATCAGAATATAGTTTAATTTGAAGATGTATTTGAGGATAATGAAAATGTATACATTCTTTTGGAACTGTGTTAAAATCAAGTGATAAAATAAATTGTAATATTTTTAGACTTTGAATGAATTGTTAAAAAGAAGAAGAAGAATAAGTCAAATAGAAGTGCAATGTTATTTGAAGTAATTGATAGGTGCATTGAAATATATCCATTCTCATAGAGTGCTTCATCGAGATTTGAAATTAGGGAATTTGTTTATAAATGATAAGATGGAATTAAAATTAGGAGATTTTGGTTTGGCTACAAAATTAGATTATGATGGATAGAGAAGATATACAATTTGTGGGACTCCAAATTATATAGCACCTGAAATATTAGAAGAAAGGATGGGTCATTCATATTAAGCAGATATATGGTCAGTTGGAGTGATTATTTACACATTGTTAATAGGGAAACCACCATTTGAAACTTCAGATGTAAAGACAACTTATAATAAAATATCACAATGTTAATTCAATTTTCCAGATCATATTTAAATATCTGAGAATGCTAAAAATTTAATTTCTAGAATTCTTGTTCTTGATCCTTCAAAAAGATTAACATTAGATGAAATTTTAAGTCATCCTTTTATGACATCAAATCCAATACCTAAAACTACTCATATTTCTTAATTAATTAGTCCTCCAACTGCTGCATGGTTATCTCAATATTCTTAGGCTGCTATGCTTAATTCTAAATAATTATAACCTGAATTGATTTCTATCAAGAGTAACTCATTAATTCCAAAGATGAATAATCTATTTTCCACTTAACCTAAAATGTCACAAGCTTAACGAATAAATAGTATTATTCATATATATATAATTTGTAGCATTGACTGAAGGTATTAATTATTTAAAAGATAATCATTCAAACCTAAAGCTTTAACGATCATTAAATATTGATAATCAAAATTAAATTGAATTTGTAAGTCTCCAATTATAATTTAGAGTAAAGAGAATGATGGTTTATATGTTACTAAGTGTTGTGATTATTAAAGCAAATATGGAATTGGTTATGTTCTATCAAATTAATAATCTGGAGTTCTATTTAATGATTCAACTAAAATTATCTAACGCAATAAACTATAATTCTATTTTTTTGATAGATTCAATCAATAATCAAATTATGAATTCGAAAATTACCCATCAGAATTAAATAAAAAAGTTACTCTACTCTAAAAATTTACATAATATTTAGGAATTAATGAAAATATTACTATTACTAATTCGTAAGAGTCTAATGTTTTTGTGGATAAATTCCTTAAAACTAGGAATGCTCTTCTTTTAAAACTCTCTAATAATGTGATTTAGGCTGATTTTATAGATAAAACTGTCATTGTCATATTACCAAACTAGAGTATACTTTACGTTAATGAAAAAGGTGAAAAATTTAGTTATAATTTGGAATAAATTATTGATAAAGATAAAATTTAAAGGAGGTATTAATAAATATTCTAATTTTAGATATAATTATGTATAGCAATTGAGAAAAGGTTGTTAATGATAAAAAATTGTTTACTTTATTAATAATTAATTTATAAATATTCTGGAAATTTAAATGGACAATCCAAAAAAAGAGCATTCTTATACTTATTGGGTTAAACATGATCCAAATCATCCTAAAATAGATTGTTAACCAAAAAAAGTGGAAGATCCTTCTTAAGTTTAATAACCACAAACTTTAGGATCATAATGGAATGTTTCAGGGACTTGGGAGGAAAAAAAAGTACCTATGAATGATATAAAAAATTCATTGGAAAATATAATAGGAGTATTTAGACTTAAAATAAATTATAATAGATGAAAATTGGATAGACAAAAATATCAGCTGTAGAATCAGTTGAAGGAGAAGCACATTTATATTTAAGTAGAGGTAAAAAGAGAATGGGTTATCATTTAAAAATTACATACGCACTTGAAGATGATGGATAAATCAAATATACTGACTTTACAGATGATGGAGATAGAGATGTAACAAAAAAATATAATTAACAAGTATAAACTTGAAAATGTAACTGATGAAACTGTTTAACATTAAATTGAAGACTTACATGATAGAACAAAACAATATGTAGAAGTGTTTAAAAATTGATATTGATATATATTTAATATTTAGGTTATTTTAACTTTTTAGAAATTAAATATGTATAAAGAATTCTATTTTTTATAATCATATTTAGGTATTTCCTTTAAGTATAATTAATTCAATCATATTTTATAGGTCCAACACAATCTGCAACATCTCCAACATAAAATCCATTACTACCTTTTATAACTTTACATGTGACTTTCATAACCGATCCTTCTATTTATCCATCATATTTTATTTAAGCCCCATCTTCAAATGTAGCAATACAATCTAAAATATCATTTTTTAGACTTCCTGAATATAACTTTTTCATTGCTCCCTCTTCATTATCATTTTTATTTCCACCACTTATGATTCCATTTTATGACAAATCAAACTTCATTTCCCATCCAGTTGTTGTTACTAATTCTTATAACTAAACTCCTCTATAAACTTTCCATGTACAGGTTCCATTGTCACCTCCTCCTACTTTTACTTTTACTTACTTTTATTCAGTCTCATTATTACTTTTACTACAATGGCAAATACCCATTAATTAAATAAATATTAAAATCTTTTTCAACCTATATTGTTACCCCCATTTACATTTTTCATTATAATGATGAATTTAATCTTAAATTCTTATTTATATTTATTTCTATTATAAAATAAATTATTAAATTTTCGATAATTGATACTATAAATATATATTTGTAGGTATTACTATATAGATGAAATTAGTTTAATTCAAATTTTTAGAAAAAATGGATTATTAATTTCAAGTACTTTTATTTAGATCAATATACAAATTTAATTAGGATATAAAATTCACTTATTGTAAATTTTTGATTACTCTTTTTTAATTGTATAAAAATATATAGTATTTTCAATCATTTTATATATTTAGAATAAATAGGATAAATATACTTAAACTGATCTAGAGTCTAATCTAAATAGATTTCAAAGGAAGAAAAGTAAAAAATATTGTAGATTAATATATGTTTTTTAATATTCTAATGATTATAATTATTATGGTGATTCATGAATTTGTATATAATATAAAGAGAAATTGTCGATGATAGAGAATGAGCACATAAAGGAGGTAAATTATTGTTTAGAGAATGTATTTAGAGATAAGCTTATATAATTTAGTAAATAGATTGAGATATGTAAATTTATGTTATATTGATGTGAGAATTGATAGTATAGTAAGTAAATAGATGATTAAGAGGTGATGAGAATAAGTATTATAAGATGTTAATGGATAGTAGATAATGTATGAAATGATAAGAAGGGAGAGTAGTATGGATATTGTATTTACGTAGAATACATAAAATAAAATAATTAAAACACATGTCGTAAGAATAGGGAGTTGATCTTTAAATCTTAAGCAAGGTTCGCCATTTAATACCTGAAAGTTTTAAGATAGAGAGATAAAAGAAATGGGAAGTATTAAAAAGAAAGGGGTACTCAATAACTGCATATTATTATAGTTTAGTATAAACAATACTGCTAAAGTCATCAAATAGATTTAAATTAGAGTAGACAGGGAAATATGATGAATTCTGTGATGCTTTGGATTAAGCTACTTATGGTAATAATATGGATGTGATTAAACAATTCGAAAATTTTAAAGAGAGCATAAAACCAAAGATTAAAGGAGGATTCTAATTTGGAACAATAAATGGAGTAGAGAGTTTGGATTTAAAGACATTTGAAACTAAGAAAGGAAGCTTTAGAACAAAATAAGGATCAACAGATTTAATAGTATTTTGGGTATAAAATATTAATAAATTAATAGTCATCAGAGAATGAGAAGTCAACAAGAGCTTTGAATGAATTAAATACTTGGTTAAGTTTGAATTAAAATCTAAAATTATAGATAAATCCAATAGCTGTATCTTTAGATGATGATACAAATAATTTTAAGAATCATTTGAAGTCTAATTAATTGAGTTAATTTGAACATTATCGTTTTTCTTTAGGTTGGGATTCTTCTAATTCTTTTTAAAGAGCCATGGAATTAAACTATTTACCAAAGATAGCTGTTGTAGGAAAAGAAAACTTAGTTATTGAAGTAACAAGAAAAGCAAGAGATGTAGAAAATATTATTAAGACTTATTGGGAAGCAGGATCTGAAAGTGAAGATGAAGGTAAATATAGAGAACTTTTGGATTAATAAACATTTAGATTTATAAAGAAAGCTTTATCTTAATAAATTGCAGATTTATTATCTTAAAATAAAAGTTTTGCTAAAAGTGATTTTATAAGATTATCTTTAACAAAATGTTATAAGATTGCTTAAGATGGTTCTAAAGAAATAGTAGAAAGAAGTCATTTAAAGGTATCTTATGAGGTTTCAGTATAATCATAATAAGCTATAAAATTATTTTTAAATAATGTAACATCAGTATTAGGTAAAGATAATGTTCATGTTAAAAGATCTATCGTAAAGGATCCAGCAGGAATGTTAGATATGATTACAAGTGGATTTTAAGATGTCCTTAAGAAAAATTATAAAGTAATCTAAGAATATATAGTACGATCAGAATATTTTAATTATGTTCATGAGAAGGAAGAATTTCAACCTGATGTAAAGGTAGTTTAAAAGAAAGCAATTTAAAATCTAACATTTAAAGAATATTAAACAATATATTAATAAGTGTTACCAATTTTTAAGAAATATGAATAGGAAATAGATGATAGTGATGATGATCCTGATAATGATGAAGAATAAGAAGAAGATAAAAAATTGATTTTTGATAGAGTAAATGAATTGACAGATTGTTTAAAATCTGGTTTAGAATTAAGTTTAGGTTAACCATTTTAAACATTATAAAATTATCATCCTTATGGTAAAGATTAAGTAGTTGATATTGAACATAAAGAAGATTAAATATTAATAGTAATGTATTGGGATGATAATCAATTATGTAATCGATAATTTACTTAAATTCTTAAAGTTTTATTAGTAAATGAAGAAAAATATAAAGATAAATATAGATTTGTTGCTTTAAGTAAACATAAATATGAAACTTATGAATTGTTCTTTTTAAACAATTAAGGAATTGAAGAGATAATTGAATTCTATTTTCCTAAAGAAGATAATTAAGCTGATTAAGTTCAATACAATGTGAAATAATTCCCACATTTCATTGTAGTAGATAAAGTTGGATCAATTAGAATATAATCTTAGATTGAAGATTTAGAATCAGTTTTAACAACTTATATAGAAGAATCTATAGAAAGTTTAAATTAAAAAGGACCATTAAATGATGATGAATATAGTGAAATAACCTAATTCTTATATTCAGATGCTCGAAAGAAATTAAATCAATTAAATAACAAGAGATAATTTTCACTTAGTTTTATATTTAAAGAAATTGATTAAGGTGAAAAAGTACTTAGATTTCCTCCTATTATTGAATATACTATAAGAGAAGGTAAATAAAAATATCTTGAAGCCTTCCTTGCTTAAATGAATAAGGTAATACCATTATCTAATTTTTAAATTAATTAAACTGTCTAACGTACTTTAAATTTATTATTTCCTGGTAAAACATGTAAATTATGTTAAAATGAACTTAATGATTAAACATAATAATATTATAGTCCATTCTCTGATGAATTCTATTGTGTTAAATGTGCAGAAGTGGTTGATACTAAAGCTGCTGGATATAAAAAATTTAGAGTTTAAGATAATTTGATCTTCTTTAATGCTCCTCTTGTAGATAAATCTGTTTTAAATGATATTGATGTATATAGAATTGGAAATAATCAAAAAGTTAAAAGAGGAGAATAATATACATAAAATCATCCTTTAGATTGTAATGGATGTGATAATGAAGTTAAAGGATTCAGATACATTGTATTAAACTGTTTACCAGGAAAACTTACTGATTTAGTATATTTTATTAATTTATTTTTAAGGCATTAGTAGATTTTTGTTAAGATTGTTTCAATCAAATCAAAACAGGAGGACCAAGACTTGAAAGAATTGTCAAAAGAAATAAAATTTATGGTTACAATCCTTCCATGCTCTTGCTCAGAGTACCATTTTATATGGGATATTATGATTATTGAGTGTATCACTCATTAAAAACAATTTACAATCTTTATCATGAAATCTCTGAATCTTAATCTTCCTCTATCTATTCATATTTTCCTGTCGACTTCTCTTTAAATATCTACTTTATTATCAATCATTTACTATATAAAGTCCTAATAACCATTATAAAACAAAGAACAGTATACAAAACACTAACAATGTTATATGGTCATCATCATAATAAATCCATATCCATATTGGAAAAAATACAAATTGTTAAATTATTTGTTTCTTATCTGATTATAACTTTATTGTTATTTTATTATCCAAATATGTAATTGCTGAACTCACCATTATCAATATCACAAATACTATCACTGGATATGCCTTTTCTATATAATACATAATTACTATATTATAATCATCCTAATTTGCAAAAGTTTAATTAAAATATCCACTAAAATCACCTAAATCATTATTTTATGGACACTTTTTTTTAATTGAAACTGACTCTTTAGGACATGGAATAAAATTAACTATTACCATCACTATGATCCATATAATAAATTGTATTAAACCAGTATACGAAATATACTTAGAATGCTAAAATATATATCTTTTATTATTATTAATTCTTATTACTAAGACATAAATTGTTCTTTTAATTTTATTGTATAAATATTTGTTCCTATTTAAATCAACGTTGCTATCAAACCTATGTAACATTCATGATTCCCTTCAGAATACAATGCTATTGAAAAAATGCCTGCTAACAGAACTACTCCTGCATATATTAATTTTAACTAATCTTGCTTATTTGTATATAGAATATAAAATACAAATACAACCCCTTAACACTATTTTTATTACTATTTTAACTTACTATTATAAATAATCCAAAATTCATATAGAATAACTCAATCCCTAATAAAAATATGTCTGCTGTTTCAATTGATGCATTTATTATATACAATTTCCATGGTATATATGTTTATTTGTGTTCACTAATCTCTTCTTCTAAAAGTTATTCTCTTTCTTCTTCATTATTTTATTCCTCTTTTAATAAAAATACCATTGATAAAATCTTTCCAAAAAACCACAACCAAATCCACTCAAATAGATAAAACATTTAACTGTATTCATATAAGCCCATCATTAATATGCTCATTGCTAAAAAGCTCTTAATAAATAAATTTTGATACATGACACCATATAAGAGTAAAAAAAACATTTCTTTTTTTATTATTTTTAATTCCATAAATATATTAATAATTATTGAAATTTAACTCAAGAAAACAAAAACAATAATTATGGAATAAGATTTTAATCAGTTGCCTCTATAATCCAATTATTCTTCTCTACCATTACAACCCTAATGTAGTTATTATTTCCATAAGCTGCTCCTAATTACAATATTTTTTAATTCATTACCATAGTAATTGTTTACTTCAGTAAATCGTATTTTCTTAAAGGTTTCCCAACCTACTTACAATCTAAAAGGTTGACTTTAATAAAACTGCACATCCTTTACTTTTATTTAATAAATCTCTGGTCTTAAATCTACAAAATCTATAAAATTATATTGGCTTGTTGGCAAAAAAACATTAAAGAATTAATTATCAATCTAAATCTTACAATTAATAAGTTCTTTGCATTCATCAACTATTATTACAGATTATGATTCTCTCTCCAAAATCTTTTTATTATCTTATTTTATCCAAAATTTAGTTGCTGATTGTTATAAATTTATAATTACATTTATCTCCTTAAAATTTTATATTTATTGACAAATTTTAATCAATCTTATTCAAAATATACATAGATATTTTTAAATAGTTTTTATTATTTAATACTTGATATTATAATCCAAATGTACAATAAACTCTAATTAGTTCATTCTCAAATAAATTTCCTTTTCCTAATAAACATGTTTTCTTCCAAATATCGATCATCTTTTATGTATATCCAGATCGACTTAATTTTTGTTACATATCCATTATTTGACTATTTTATTTAGATCCTGAATATGAAACACCATATTCTGGTTACTAAGGATACTTTTATAAATCCTTCAGTTCTTTGTATTATACTTAACTTTATATTTTATTCCTTTAATCTTATCCTTATTCAATACTATTCCCAAAAGTTAACTTCATTCCTTAAGGTTTCTAAGTATACTAATCTTAATATTATTCTAAAGAATTTTGATTATCTTCTTATTTAACCTATTATTAATAATAATCTTAAGCAAAATGATTTTTATGTTATTGTGGTATATTTTATTCAAATTAAGACAATTCAGTTTCAAGTAAAAGAGTATTACTTTGATTAGGTGGTTTTATATATTTTGTCTAATTCTAATCTTATTAATTATGATAATGCTATTATTCTTGAAATTGATTTTATAATAATTATTAGTCATTTTAATATTATTAAAATTAATTTTGTTCATTTAAAGTATCATACTCATCATATTAATTGTATTATTATTTAGCTACTTTCTATTTTTCAACATATTTAGATCTATCTTAAAATTTTGATTAATCAAATTATTTTTATTATTCTAATTCTTTTTAATAATTAACTTAAGAAACAACTTTTTCTTTTTTCTCAATTTAAGTACTTGTTATATCATTTTATCTTGAAATATCTTGAGTATCATCATGTCCATTTTATCTTGCTGGAGAAAGAGGTTAAATTTTAGATTTTTAATAAGCATCAGATGGAGTGTAAGTTTTTTTAGTAATTTTACTAGCCTCAGTTAATACTGAATGTTGAAATTCTAAGAATCCATTTTTTGTTTTATTTCTCTCAAAATGATTAAACTTCAAATTGAAAGTCTTAATGAAATTACATAGTAATTCAATCTAATCTTTTTATTATTAACTTAATATTTCAGTTAATTCGTATTCTAATTATTTTAATTTAGCATCACTCTCTTTAAAAGTATCCCAATAAATCTTTAACACTAAAATCATAATTTTTAGATACTATCTTTTGCCCCATCTGGATCACAATTTTAATCATTAAGCATATCCCATATTGTATCAATCTACTCATTCATTTCTATTTGTAATTCTTCTAATTAATGTATTCCAGTTTCTCTATTTGATTCTATTTATTATACTTAAGGCTTTTTAATTGGTTAATTTTCTTAAACAGCCTCTTCTATATCATTAATTTTAGCTATTAATTCTATATTTTCTGTTGGAAAGATTATTCCTTATTGAATCAATCTGTCATATAGTAATTTAAATTTTGTAGATTTTTTAGTTTAAGTTTCAGGATATTTTTCAGCCAAAAATTTGATTAGTTCCAATATCAAATTAAAGTATTTTATAGCTATCTGTGGAGCTAATAATAATTATTATTATTACTATCATTTTCAAATCTATAAATCCCTTTATATTCATCATCAGAACCTGGTTGAAACATTACAATTTCTTAGAAGTAATTTAAAATTGAGCTATTGCTAGCCAATTTATTTGTTACAGATCCAATTTAATTTGTATAAACTGATTCTCTTATTATCTAAAAGAAACATATTCAATTAACTATACCATTAAAATCAGATATTTCTTTAGTAAAATTTCATCACTTTAAAATATTTCATTTGCAAATTAAAGGAAATTTGGAGCAAAATCACTTTTTTTATTTCAACAATACTATACTTCTCTTTTTTCAATTTATCTAACACTTTATTTATATTAAGTTAAAAGCCCTAAGGACTTGAAATGCAAAGTTTTATTTCTTCCATTCAAACTTTTTATATTATATATAATTCTGTTATGAAAATATTTATCAATTTTTTCTGTTAAATAGGTTATCTTTGATAAGTTCTGCCATTTTCAAAAATAATAATATAATATCCCAATATATAGTCACACTTCCACTCACATCATCTGCTGCACTTATATCATAAGAATCATCAGAACTAAATAAATGATATAAAATAATAAAAACTTCAAATTTGTGTAAGTATCATAAAGCAATAAAAATGCAATTAAAAAGGATGATAAAGAAATAATCATTATCCAGAATAATGAGATTTTAGAAAAGATAGTAAACATCTCAAATACAATTAATATTCCTGCAGATAAAAAAAGAACAGCTCCAGAATAAGTTATCTTTCTTCTAACAGTTGAAGAATACAAAAATAAAAAGAATATTACACCTAAAATATATATGTTTTTTTGATACTTGCAAAATTCACAAAAATCATTAATCCAATTTATGAATTACCAAATGCTACTAAGCAACCACACAATGATGCCAAAGAAATAGTAAATAAAATAAAACATAACCAATTCATTGGAGCAGTTTTTAATTAATTCCTATATATAAATGTCAATGTTGCTATTACTATACAAACACCTAAACTTAACCAAAATATCCACATCTATTTTTCTAAAAAATTATCTAAATTAGGTAATGAATGCACAATCCATGCATAAATACCTAAATTATTATTTAGAAATACAAACAATAATTAACTGTAAGAATAATTTTGAAAATAGATTTCTTGCATAAATAACTCTGCTATTGAAGGATCGATCATAATTATTTGATACTTCTGTTGCTTATCCTGATTTATTTCTATTAGAAAGACGAGGATCCCCTTATTTAATAGAGCTTTCAAATAACATAATAATTTTTAACAATAAATAATTATCAAACTCTTTCATAAAATAAAATATATGCTTAATTACTAAGAGCTTATTTAAGAGATACCTCCTTAAAATTACTATCACTAAAATAAAACCAATGATCTTAATTATTTTCTTTATGTTTCACATAAGATACATAATGTCCTCCTGTCATAGTTCCTTAATGTACAACAACTCCGTATAATTAATATTGAAATTTCTATGATTTGATTTCTTCAACAGTTTAACTTGGTTCTCCTTTTAAAATAGTATAATCCTCTAAATAAATAGTTTCTGGAATTTCTACTTATTCTGTTACCTTTTCAAATCTTCCTGCTGATTTTTATTGAAATCTTTTCAAAATTATTGTTGCCACTTGTGGTAAATCATAAAAAAAAAACTTTCTTAATGCTCTACCTGATTTTTTACCTTATTTAGCGCATTATTCACACTTAAAATAATTATTCTTTTAATTTAACTCTTCATATTCAGTAAAAGCATCTAAACAATCTATCACACTTAAATTATATTATTTTTATTAATCAATCTTTGGTGGATTATTATTTTTTTAAACTAAAATTGAATTGTGTAAATAAGGAACAATAACATCCTTCAATTCCTCATTTGTAATTTCTGAATATTCTTATTCAAACCTTTAATTTATTAATCCTTTAGACTTTCTTATTTATACTGTATAATCAAGACAAAAATCAAACGTTCTACTAATAAAACCACAGTCTAAACATTCCACTAAATAAATCAGTATAAATGTTACAGTAATTGCATAAATAACTTCCAAATATATTTTCAACAATAGTTCTTTTAGGTTTACCATTTGTTTTAGTTTTATTAATTCTACCAATATTTGTGTTTTCTTCTCCAGTAGATAAAGCATCTAATAAACATCTAAGTAATTCTGAAGCATCTTATTAAGCCATAGATCTAAATCTTCCTTACCTATTCATTATAATATCAATAATCTTACACAACTTATATTGATTTAAATAAATCGATTGGATCAACTAGTCCCTTACTCTTTCTACTATTAAGCAAGAAATTCTAATAAATTTAATTTATTGATTATTTTGAACTCTTTGGTCTCACTTATTATTTTATTTATTTATTAGTTTCAACTGTTGTCCAATCATCATCTTCATCATTTTATATATTGCTATTATTCGAAGATGAAAAATTAAATTTCTTATAATCCAAATAAAATTAATTTAAACTCTCTGTTGCATTTAAACATTACATAACAGAATTAAAAAAACAAGTATTTCCTAAATTTCTCAATCCAAACACTTACTTTGGAGTATAATTTAATTGTTATGTTATTTATTGTTTAATCTCTTAATTTGAAGGTTATTATTATTAAATCTGCTAGAATTATTAAATACTTTAGATTGGTTTGTTTTACTTCAATTTTTTGAATAAAAGATTTTTCATGTTATCAATAAATTTATTAATTTTTTCTTTCTAAGCCTTATTATCAGTTTCCTCTACGATTGTTTCTAAATCATTATCACAATTATAACACCATATAGAAAATGAATTATTATTTATAGATATAGGATGATTTGTTTATTAATTATGTTTTAATGAACATTAATTATTACTATTTCTACTGCATCCAAAAAATCCACATTCTATACACAACCATTTTTCAACATCACTTTCACATTTTTATTACTTAGCATTATCACAATTTGTAAAATTAGTCTTGATCAAATTACCAATTTATTCAAGTTTGTATTTAGTAAAATGATTACATGAAGCTTATTTTTACATGAATTAAATTATTAATTAAAGAATTAGCTTCTCTATTGTTTTTAATAATACTATCAATTTTTCTCTAAATTTATTGATTTTGTGAATAAATTTATCAACATAACTCTGTAAGAATTCATTAGATAGCAAGGGATTATTAAATTAAATTTTTTAGATACTTAAATCATAAATAAATAAAAATGGAATTTTTAGAGAGTAAAAATGAATTTTTTGTAAGCTTTATTCTTTAATCTAGAAACCAAAACTCATTTAAGAAATGAAAAGAAAGAAAATAAAGTAATAGCGTTCTAGTCCTAATTGGGAAGTAATTGAATAAGTTATTAACAACATCTAATAAAAAACATCCACAATCCATACAATAAAGACTCTAAATAATGATTTGCTTAAAGCTTTAACGTTTTAAGATCTATGTGGATCAGATATAGCTTATCATTTAATAATAAATAATCAAGAAGAGTTATTAATTGAAATATTAGTATAAGTTGAATAAATTTTTACTTCGGATTTCAATTAAGTCATTCAATCTGTTCTGAAAGGAATTTTGTTGATAAAAAAAGAAATTAATCATAAAAAGTTATTGGTATTTATAAAATAACTAACTCAATTATTAAATCCTAGACGTGAAACAGAAAAAGCTTAAAGTATCATATTAATATAATATTTTAAGCATTTTAATTTAATTTTGATATAGTAATAAGTTCAAGATTTAATTATCTCAAGAATTTTTGGGATTTAAAATTATTGTTAAATATTTATAAGTTGCTTGGAAATTTTTAAGTTGAAATAGCTAAACTAAAAAACTTAAAGAAAGATCTATTCATTAAATATATTATTAATTCACATCACTAGGAACAAATTTAATTCAATCATTTAAAAATTGAAAAATATTTTTAAACAGATTCCTATAATTACATGTAACAATTAATAATTTATTCAATAGTAAATTGATACACCTAAAGCATTGGGATCTGCTTTTCAAATTAAATCCTTCTTCATTTTTTGTACCTCTCTAGGATGGATTTTCTATTTATATGAGATTATTAAAATCTGCCCCTTTTGATTATTTACTAGACTTTCATCAAATAAATAAATAATTAATTTCAGACAATCTAAATACATAACATAAGGGTAATTATAATATTTTGCATTGCATATCTGAAAATTATAATTCTTTTAATGAGCAATTCTTATCACATTTATAGTAATTGAATTTAGATCATCTTAAAACATAGGCATATTTTGATTAAATACCTGTAGTATTATATTTAAAGAAATAAAAATCTATTAATCAGAATTTTTTAAATTATCTTTTGGCTGGTGTTTAAGATTAAAATAATTAATAATATGAAGGTTTATAATTATTAATTTAAATATATGCAAGAATAATATTTTAATAACAAAAAGATAAAACTAAATTCCTTGAAAAAAGAATTGTTAAAAAGAGTAGAAATAAAAAAATAAAATACAACTACAGACTTAAAAATTATAAAAAAATTAAATCAAAATATAAATTGAGCAAAAAATAGAGCAATGAAAATGTATAATTCAAAACATAATTAAATTAATTTTCAAATGACATTAAGACTTGTGCTTAAAATATTTATGAAAATATGGCTGCTGTGCATAAAATATTAAATTTAAAAGGAATTAATTTAGACTTTCATATCACATAATACAGTTTCTCATTATGTCATTTTGATTATAATATATTTAAACTGGATTAACCATTAATCTTGTTTAATAATGATTCCAAATTGTTAGATTAATTTTTAGTCTATCTTAATAATGATTTTTGCTCAAATATTGATTAATAAATTGTTCAAGCTATAGAAACTTTATTAAAAGATCAAAAATTAACAATTTCAATAGATGATTTAATAGTCTAAAGAAAAATTATTATTTTGAATGCTTTATTATAGTAGAATAGAACAGAAGAAGAATCTTAAAAAATAAAAAGTTAAATCATGAATTTATTGGAAAATAATTAAAATAGATTTAAAAAACCTTTCTGTAGCTTTTCTAATTATAAAGTATTCTAGGATTATTTAATATGTAATAATCTAATTACTTTTGAGGCATATTAGGTTGAAGATGCATATGATTCAGTTATAAATCTTCTAAAATTAAAACATGAAAATGAAATCAATATTTTGGGTTTAGCTTAACAAGTTTAAAGAGTAGAATAGTATCCAAGTTTGCATAATTTACTTTAGATATGTTTTTAATAAAAGAAATTAAATAAACTTAACATTTATTACAAATGGGAAAGTTAAGAAGATTTCCTTGATGATTTCTTTCGATAGAGTTCACTTAAAAATAGTTTAATCAGAACTCCTTAAGGAATAGAACTTCTTTTTTAAACCATTAATAGAAGATTACACATTTATTTGCTTAAGAGTATTCTTTATAACTTCTAAGAAGAATGCATTGTTAAATTCTTTTAATTATTTTATAAAATTGAATCAAAAAATACCTATAAAAAAGAAAAAAGACATTTTAATTTAATAGTATGTCAAGTGACTTAATAATAATTAGGATTGTTATTTTATTATTAATTATAAGGAATAAGAGTGCAGTTTAATTTAAGATAAAAAAAGAAACTTAACTTAAAAGCAACTACTATTTAAGAAGAAGTTATTTTATAATAAATTTATGAAAATAAAAATTTTTTATAAGTTTTAGTTTCAAATGATAAATATTCAGAATTTTTATAAGTGAGTTTGAAATTTTATCCTTTATTTTAAAAAGGAGATAATCTTGATTATGTATTGGAAGCCTTAAATTAAGAAGCTTATAAAAATTTGGCAATTTTGGAATAATGGATTTTTGAGAGATTTGCTAATTGCTAAAATTACAATAAATATAAATAAACTATGTTTATTTTTTTAAGAAATTATAGTTTTTTAATATATGGGGTTTTTGGAAAGGAAGCTATGAATATTGATAGAGTAAAATTTAATAGATAAATATAAAACTATTGTGGTATATTTGAAAGATAAATCAAACTTTAATAGAGTTTAAATCATCCTACATTTTTTAACTTTGATGCTCATAAAAAATTTGCAAGATTCTTTATTATTTATATGAATGAAGAAAATACTCATAAATTTAATGAGTTCCTCAAATTATTCTTTAATTCTTATAAATCATCATTTATGATAAAATATATTCGAAATTGTGAAAAAGCATTTATACCAGAATTATTGAGTTTTCATAATAAAAAAAAATTTTTTGATATACTTGCTCATTGGGATTTAATTACAAAAGATGAATCTGAAATAAAATTAATTATTGAAAGATTCAGAAACTTATAAAATGATGAAGAAGACTGTTTTGGAATCTATGTATATCAATATATTGTTAATTATTATCTAATTAATTTTGATGATATAAAATTTATAGAACCTTATTTTAAAAAAACTCAATTCTAAAATTATTAAATGGAAAAATTATTTTTAAAATTATTAAAAACTAATTAAATTAGAAAAATAGAATTTATCTTATTAAATTCAAACATCAAATAGAAACGTTATTCAAAAAGATTAATTGATTAAAATGAAAATTATTTAAGAGCTTTAAGATTGCATTGGAGTTTAGCATTAACAACCAATTAATTTAAAGATTTAGTTTAAAATAATGTAATCTAAGATGAAGTAAAAGAATAAGTTCTTGAAATGTTAACTAATTCTGGACATTTTGAAAAATTAGAAATTGTTTCTGATTGGATTGTTAATAATGATAAATTAATAGAATTAACTTCTATAGCATGTTCGCTTCTTATTAAAGAATATATTTGGTAAAATAAAAAATTTATTTCTTTATCAATTCCAACATTTACATATCAGAAAACTTAAATGAATAACACTTTAAGTAAAGAATCTAATAGCTCTATTGAAACTCCCTACTTATTCACTAATCGGATGAAAACTGCTAAGGTTTTATATAATTTATTAGATTAAAGAGATATTGATTTAAGAAATTATGATTAAAATTATATTTTATTCTAAATTCTTTTCCCAAATACAAAATGGACTTTTGATGATTAAAATTGTTCCTTGGTTACTAAATTTTTGAAAACAATGAAATTGAATTTATTGAAAGATAATTGGAAATGTTATATGGAGATAATAGTAAAAAATGCAAAATTTTATTTTGAAGTTGAATATGATTTTTTAACTGTTAGACATAGTAAATATACTGAATCATGGAATTATTAAAAAAATTTAATTGATATGTTGGTACCCATCTATTAAAATATTTCTAAAGATAGTCCAACTACAATTTATTTAAAATAAATTTAATCCATGTTTAATCAAACTAGTAAGTAAAAAATTAAATTATATAATTTTTCAAAAGAACTTTAAAATGTGTTTGAAGATATATAATTAGATTTTTAAAATATAAATTAAAGATAAGCTAATATTTATTATGGACTTCCATTCGAAATTGCAACATTTAACGAATTAGATTTATTTTTAGCTTTAATGGGCAGATAATAATATTCAATTATTAAAATACTCAATAATCCAAACATTCATATTGCAACTCTAGTAAATAAATTTCATATTATTTAATATCTAATTAAACATGGATATGAAAATACAGTTATTGAAGTTTTAAAACTATTATCTTCAGATGAAATTAATGAATCTTAATTCTTTCATAATGGTTTACCTCTACTTACATATATTGTTTTTAAAAAATGGTATAAATTATATCAATTTGCATCATAACATTTAAATAATTAATGGACTTTAAAGCCAAAGATTCTTGAATCAACCTTTAATGGTTAAACTAAAGAATTAACCATACATCAATTTGCTTTATTAAATTAATTTTATGTATATAATGAATTACCTATAGAGAAAAAATTCATTTTAAGAACAAGTTAATTTTTAATACCTAATGCTCATAATATTTAACTCAAAGCCTATAGGATTTATTCAATACTTAAAATCTTATTTAATAAAATGTCGTTAAGAAAACTTGAAATTATTAGTTTATAATATCTATCTCTTAAAGATGAGACTTCAAATAGTTTGGAATTTTTGATGAAGAAATTTGGTAAAAACCTATTCATCGAAAATTTATTTTTATCAATTTATGATAATACTAAAAATTAAAAAAAAGAGCTTGTATTAGATTTAATGAATGAACTAGGACTTAGTTGTTCAACATCTTTAGAATAATTTAATTAAGTTTAATTGGAATACCTATTTAAATAAATATATAATAAACAAGGTCATTATCATATTTTAATGGATTAAATTTTAAGATTAGCTCCAAATTCATTTATTAATAATGAAATTTTGGATTCTCCTAATTTAGCTTTAATTGTTGCATAACATGGAAAATTTGAAGCTTTGTAAAATTTAGTTTCAATTTAAGATTTTGGTCAAAATTATACAAGACTTGTATCATCTCATTTTATTAGAATTATATTGATGATAAAATATGGTTAAAATTATGATCCATTAATTGATCCTAATCAAATAGATAATATTCATATGAAATACTATGTAAATGCATTAGATTAAATTGAATCTGGATAATAAGGTTCTATTAGTATTTAATTTATGAATTAACTTGTACCAATGTTACATGTTGAAAATTCATCAATCTAATATATTGATCAATTTTTTGTATAATTAAAATCAGAAAATAATTAAATTAAAAAAGCATTTAAAATAATAATCAAATTGAAAGAATTAAATTATGAACTTGAATAAATAGAATTGAAAGCAATAGCTAAATCTGATTATCTAGTAAAATAATTTAAATTTTAATTTGGAGATAAATTTAATCTTGTTTAAAATGGAGAATCTTCAATAATTGTAATCCCCTTTAATTATTAAGAAGATGAACTTTAAGAATTTTTAAATATTTTACCATGCTTTTTCAAAGAATAATATTAAAATGCAATTTTGAAGAAAGCATTTTAAAAGAAAGGATTATATAAAAAGAAAAAATAAATTGATATCAAATTTGAAGAAAACAATTTGTCTACATTATATAATGATTTGAGATATTTAATTCCACTATTATTAGAACAAAAAAATCCTGTTGATGAACTTGATTATAAGAATTAATATTAAATAAAAGGATGGTAATAACTCTCAAAAAAAGATCATGATGAAAACTGTTTTGTCTATACACAAACTGTTTAATTTACATAATCATGGGCATAAACTATATTTAATTAAGAACCTCAAAAATCAGAATACTTTAAAAAATATCCAAATCTTATATTAGTTTTCTTTAATGAAAAAGCAATATTTAATTAAGTTGAAATACAAGCCTAATTAACTCATTCTTTAAAATAGATTATATTTCTTTCAACTTAAAGTTTAGATTTTAAAGGAAAAATAGAATTAGAATCATTTATGTAAGTTTTTTTCTTTAACAAACAAATTTACTCTATTTTTGATAATTGGTACAATCTAATTAATTCAATTTCAAATTATTAAACATTAATAAATACTTTATAACATATATTATCCTTTATTTGTTAAATTAAAGAGTTATATGAATTAGAATCGGAAAATTAAATTATAATAAAATTTTAATAAAGTACAAATGAAGGAATTTCACCTAAAAATAATTATTTAGATGATTACTTTTACTTTTGTAAACCTTCTATATTTTTTGAAACAAATAAATTGATAATTAATATTCCTGTAAGTTAAAATGGTCAAAAAGTAGAGGTTGAAAATTATTTAGATCAAATTTTTAATTTGAATGATTTAGATTAATTTGTCAAAGAATAGTTTTCTTTACAAGATAGTTTAGATGCTTTGATTTATAGATATTAATTATAAAAGAGTGCAAAAGAGGCTTGTGAAAAATTTAGAAAATCAAATAATTTTGATATTTTTATTTAATTTGATTAAAATGAGTTAAAATAATAAATAGAATCACTTAATTATGAATAGCAATCAGATTATCTTAGTAAATTCAAAACGTATTTTTAATATACTTTAGATCTAGATTTACAAAATTTAATAACTGGTAACAGATTCTAATAATTTTATAAAGAGAGTTTATGTTCAGGAAAATATTTTTAGAAACCATTAGATATTGGAAATTTCTCTTAATATAATATTAATTCATTAAAGAATAGTTTTGGTATAGTATTAAATAAAGAACAATTTTTTGAAAATGTTTCAAAGAAAAGAATTTATCATGTATTTTATACAAAGAAAAATAGAAATTATGCAGTATTTTGCTAATATATTAAATCATCAAAGAATAGAAATTATTTCATTTAACTTGATAAATAAAAACTAAAGAAAAGGTATAATAGGAAAGCTAATTTATAAATAAAAAGTGAATATATAAAAGGAGCAATTTATTATACTTACGAATACAAGACTTTAATTCCATAACAAAACTAAAAATTAATACTTATAGACAATGAAGGACATTATTATTTAAATTAAGATTTAAATTTTGCAAGTTAAATATAAGAACATACAACATTATCTGATAATATAAAAGTTACAAGATTATGTTTTAATCTTTCATTTTAGAGATAAAACATTGGATAAAATATTCTATATTTTAATTAAGTTGATTTTAGATTAAAAGATTATTTAGAAACATCTGCTGTTGAATCAGATAAATCTTATGGATTGAAAAGATTAAAGATGGATAAATCTGTAATAAAAATAGATCCTTAATTAGCAGAATATGATAGACATTGTGAAGAATCAACTAATAAGAATAAAGAATAAATCAATAGAAAATAAAATAGAATGTTTTTAACTATTTTATCGTATGCTTCTGACAAAGTTGAAACACAATTATAATATGATATTCCTAATGAAAATACAAAATTAAAAGAAGAAAATTAGGATTTATTAACAGAATATTGTAAATAATATAGAAAACAATAATATTAATCTCGTGCTGGAGAATCAAGATAGGATAAAATACACTTTTATGATAGCTTAAATGATCCTATAAAGGATTAAAAAATAATTAATCAAATAAAATGTTATATATAACATGAAAAATTTGATGAAATAGTTCATTATCCAAATATTACTTATGATAATGGTATAATTTTAAATTGGATTCCTTATATTAAAGGATAATATAAGATATTTGTTAATGGTTAAAAAATGAATTTTAAATTTGCTGTAATAGCATCAAAGGAAGTTTCTTATTAGAAATACAAATTAATAAAAGATGTATAAGAATTTGAATATTTTGTTGAGTAAGTTATATAATTTGAATTATTTGATAACTTTAATAATTTAATTACAAAATCAGATGAATTACCATCTACTTTATCTGTAAAAGTCGTTAATTTAGATGTAAGTGTTAAATAAAGATCTGATTATAATGATAGTAGTTGTTAATTATTTATTTAGTTTTGCAATTTTTCTAAACCTAATGAAAAAGAAGATGAATGTAAATTAGAGATAAATTTAAATGATGAGACTATTATATAAGGTAAATTAGTCTAGATAAAACCATAACCATTAACACAAAAGAGAATTGATAAATTTGCATCTAAATTTACCTATAGAAGTTCAATTTAGTTTTTAATAATCAGAGCAAACTTCCTAAACTCATTAGCATAAATGGATAATCATAAAGGTTAAAAAGTTATAAAGATAAATTTCCTTTAAGAAATTGCAAATGATTAAGGAGGACCTTCTAGAGAGTTCTTTTGTTTATTGGGAAAATAACTTAAGGATCCAGAAAATAATTTATTCAAAACAACTCCTAATCATGGATACTATTATCTTAGTGATGGTATATTATAAGTTAATGAATCAATATCATATGCTATTGGAATGTTGATTGCTTATGGAATTGCAAATAAATTAAAACTTGGAATTTCATTTGCATTACCTTTTTGGAAAATTATATGTGAATTACCTATAGAATTTTCTGATTTAAGTTATGTTGTTGAACCTTAAATTTATTAAAGTTATCTTTATTTAAAAAATTTAAGTGAAGATGTATTACTTTAATAAGAAATTTATTTTGTTAATCAATCAGATGAAACTTAATTATGTTTTGATGGTAAATCAAAAAAAGTTGATTGTAATAATTTAGATGAATATTTACTCTTATCTGCTAGATATTTAATTTATTAAAAGTATGAAAAAGTTTATAAATAAATAAAAAAAGGATTCTTAGGATAATTTGATCCAAAATTATTAGTTTAGAATTTTTCACTCTATGAAATAAATTAATTGATAGACATTATTGATTATTAAATAAATAAGGAAAAGTTACTAAAATGCATTCATTATTCAAGGAGAAATTAAATAAATGAAAATTACTTTATTTAGTATATCAGTGAAGCAGATCAAGAAAAATTAGAACATTTCTTAACATTTATAACAGGTATTTAAAAAATTAATAATTTTAGGTAGTAAGTTTTAGAATATGGAGAATTTTAAGATTGATATATAAACAAATTTAGAACTTTAGAAAACTAGACTTCCAGTATCTAGAACATGTAGTAATGTATTAATAATACCATAATATCCTTCATATAATGAATTTAAAGCCAAAATGGATGTAGCGTTAGATTGGGGATTAGAATTCTTTGGATAAGGTTGAATTTTATAGATCATTATAAAATTATAAATAAATTTCGTATTTTTTAATGGATTAAGAAATAATACCAAAGTGTAAAAGCATTATAAAGAGATCAGCAACCCTTGATAACTAAAAATAAGTGGAATAAGACTAAAATTAACAATAACATAAAGATTTACATGTTAAATTTGGAGAAATGCATGTTGATATGATTCTAAAAGAAGAAATACCTTAGATAGAAGTAGATAATTAACATAGTAGTAAAATGAATTTAAATATTCAAGTATAAAAGCCTAAATTACTGGAAAACCTAAGTGAGGCTGAACTAATCAAATTAGCATTAAAGTATATAATATCAACTAAAATATATAGAAATCCTGAAATATTAAAAGAGGATGAATAATGATTGAAGCATAAATTCATATTAAGATATTAAGTGATTTTTAGTGTGATGCTTAGATTTCACTCAAATAAGGTTTTATCATAATTAATAGTATAAAATAATTCTCTTCATTTATATTAAACAAAAAATGAAGACAATATATTCAATATCTCTCTATCTTCTTAAATTTTTTTTATCATTTTAAATCTTCTTTCTTAAAATTCAACTTCAATTATTTATAATACAAATAATCTAATAGCATAATAAGCTATTTTTGAACTTTATATTCATTATAAATGAATTAACACTATTTATTATTAAATGATATCCACTATTTCATTAACTAGTTCTTATAAAAATGTGGATATTTTAATTGGAAAATTAAGGATTTCTTTTATATATGTTATAAGAATTCTAAATTAGTAATAAAGAACGCGTCTCACTTTACTGGAAAAGGAATTATCATGCAATGAATTTCAAAGAATAAACATTATTATTTCTACATTAACTTAAATAAGACAATTAATTTTATTTTTTATTTTTAAACAAATCTGCATTTACTTCAATCAAAAATCAACAGATAAGGTACAAGTGCTCCTTATTTTTTATTACAAAAACACATAATAATTTTAGTAATTATTTTAATTAATACCTTCTAGATTAATTAAAATATAATAATACAAAGTAAATTTATAAATTAGATATATAAATTGATAAAATATATTTTTTAAACTTTAGAATAATTTTTAAATCTTTATAGTATTTCACACTTTTCTCTAGATATATACAAAAAATTGAAATTTTATCTATTTCATATTATATAGGTTAATTTACTTTGTAAATTTTGTTTATTGAAACAATAAATTTAATATATAAATATAAATTATATTAAAATGAGTCAAATGGAACCCTATCGTGAAGAATTTTTAGAAGAATTAGATAAAATTAGATAATAATATAGTTTCGGTTAGACCTAATAGATGTCTCAGAGCTAATAGAAAAAGGTTAATTTATAATTTAAGGTGACTGATACAAATGACATCTGGAATACTAGTAAATATTCTGATGTATTTTATGATTAATGATTTTAGAATAAATGGAGAGGGAATCTAACCACAACATTCTACAATAAGGAACACAATGCTAGTCATTATGAAGTGAACTCACTTTTGAATCCGGAAGTTACGAGAAAGAATTTCAATATGAGAGCTACTCAAATATCTGAATATTCAAATGCAAAACATAACAATACAGTATTTGTGAATCCAAAGTTTACAAGTTGCTGATTTTAATATATATATCACATTATGAATCAAGACTCAACCTTATTGACAATTTCTACCTGTACTGCATAAGTTTGCACATGCATACAAATCTAAATTTGTATACAAGTTCATAGACTAGAAATTGGAATGATTATTCTCTTACCAATTTCAATCATGATTTCTTTTTACACCATGTAATTTACTTTTTTGGAATGTCAACTTCAATAATAATTATATCACCTACACCAAAATCAAAAGATTTATATGCTGAATTTAAATCTTTCTACAAGTGAGACCATGAGTAGCCATTATTAGATATTAAATATGATTTGCATTTATTTTATAAAAGTATACCCATGACCTATATTTGTATAGTTAAATTTATAATTGCTACTAGCAATAATATCTCCTTGGCAAACACCTATTTCAATCCATCCACCATATTTAATAACCTTAAAACCAAATTTGTAAACACCATTTTTACTAGGTTCACAATTTATAAATCTTTATCCTTTAGATTCTGATGTTTTTTCTTCTGCAATCATATTTTAACCACTTAAACTAATATTTGCACCTTTAAATGTTTATGATAAATGGAAAGAAATTAATTAAACTAAATCTGTTGCACTGATAGGTTGGGCTTTAAAAATGTTAACTTAATTTTCAACTCTAGTATCTATTTCAATTTATAAATCATTTAATTAATCATAAGCTAAGTAATTTAAGACTTACAAGCCACCATTATTTCTTAATTTATACTTTATCTGCTAGCTAAACCATTTCCAAATGAATATTATTCTAAAATTTGTCTAAATATGATTAATGGAATTTAATCAATATTTTTTTTGTACTAAGGTCATTCTGCAGGAATGTTAAGAGAATCAAGTAGAAATTAAATTGGAGTTTTAGAGTTTGAAAAATAAGTAATTGATTTTTGAGATCAAGATAGTATGTTTCAACTTTCTTAGACAACAACTTTGCTCTATTTAGAATTTATTCATTAAATTGATTGATCTATATTTTATTACATTATTATACTGCTCTTAGGCATTCATTATAGGATTTATCTAAAAAAAGGGAAACATCTAAAATGCTTTATTAAGTTAATTCACTATTATTATTAGCTGTAAGATCAACTTATTAGAGCATAAGTTTTATTGGTAAAGTATTTTGTGATTAATGATCTGTATTTTCACATATGGTTAGGATATCAGATGAGATTCTTACGACAGATTAAAGAGTTTGAATTACAAGATTTGTCTGACAAACAAGTGAAAGAAAATGGCCATTATGAAGAGGGCAAGCAAAATAATTCATATATATTAAATGAATTAATTGTTTAAACTAACACCTCAAGAATTGGCAACTAGAAAGGATATTGTAGTATTAAGTGATAAAGGATTACGTTTTAGAGAAGAGATAAAATCATAAGAATAATATGATTTAGATGATTTTCATTTGCCTTAAAGTAATTTCTATCATTGTACATTTAAGTCAACTCTTAAAAAGATAAACCATATACTAGAAGATAAGTACTCTAAGGAGAAAAACCATCAGAATTATTAGTAGCTGATTTAAAAAAAGAACTAAATATCAGTAGACCATATATGGAGAAAGCATTAGAGAAAATGACTGCAAAAATTACTCAAGAAAAACCATCTGCAGCAATAAACTCAAAATTATAAAGACTTTATCAAGAATTAGATAGACATACACGTTTATTAGAAAAGAAAAAAGTTAAGTTTCAAAAGAAGCCAATTGAATAATAAATACAGGATTAAACTTCAATTTTGGAAGAATCAGAATTCTAAGATAAAGTAGCATCTATTAATGCTTTAGAAGCAAGATTATGGAGAATGCAATAAAACTATTAGAATGAAATTAACATTCGAGAGGATACTTTAAAAGTAGCTATAACTATCTTACTTGTAGAAAGTTAAGCAAAATTTAAATGTGATGAGGATTTAAAAGGAAGCTGAAATAGAACAGGTTCCAGTCCCTGTCTAAGTAGAATAGCTTTAATAATCTTAATATCTCGATAGGAAATAAGTTAGACTTAAAGATTATTAAAAATATAAATTTGAAGTAATTTATACTGTTATACATAGAAAATATGGAATAAGTAACCTCCTCCATCTTATACTTCTAAATAAATTTTAATCGAAGAGGAGAGAAAGAAACAACTTCAATTAATAAAAGAATAATAGGAATATGAGTAAGAATTATTGCGAAGAAATGGTCATTCTAATATGATTGGTAATTTTAATGATCATGTCTAAGAATAACATGAATAATGATTTAATATGTATTTATCAATTAAATCCATAATTACTCAATCTCTATTTCAATTATTATTATTTACTGGAACAATTAGCATACCTTTAGGATGATGCAGATCTCTTGAAAGCTGTTTGAGGTGAAAAAGGTCTTTATGAAATTTAAGATTTATCTATGGATTTATCTTTACTTATTGGTTTTCGATCGGATACGAATGATTTTCTACATTCAATTTCTTATCTTAATTAAGATTATCTAGGTTGTTGAAGTTTACGAACAAAAGGCTTTTTCTATCTCTATTCTTCTTCACTACTTTCACTTTCTAATAATTCATCTTCATCTTGAATTTAATGTTCTTCTTCATCCTTCTAAATTTATTAGAGCAAACATGTATATGGATTTATTTTTTTTTTCCTTCGATTTTTGAGTCTATCCTTCTGATATTCAATATATTTGATTTCTTTTTCAAGTAAAATTTTAATTTATTTTCCTAATTCTTATCCCAAAAATTCAAAATCAAGATTACAGAACTCTTTAGTAATTTATTGAGATCCTAAGTAATATAATCCATTAGAACATTCAACAGTAAAACAATTAACTATCTTAAATTCTTAATTCAAAATAGCCCTTGCTGTATTTCTTTTATTTGGTAGAACTCTCCAAATACCACTCCAATATCGAAAAATCTCTGTTGCCTCTGACATTAATTTAGCCAAAACCCGACACTTTAAGTAATTTAGACCAAAAATAGGATATTCAGGTCCATAAATAAATAAATTTTTCTTTAATGAATGACCATGCATATCAATATAAACAAAAGGAGGATTCTTCAATTTTTCAATCAACTTTTTGATATGATATATTTAAGGAGTAGTATTCAAATCAGGATTGCAAAACTATCTATTTAGATCCATTCCTTATAAACAAGTTCGAAAATTACCAGCTATTACTCCATCAGGATTGAGCATTGGGATTACAATTACTTATGAACTCTTGATATGGATATGGTTATTTACTTCTACAATAGATATTCTCCATTAGGAGTAAGGATATACTTCAAAAAGCCCTCCATCATGTGAGAACTATTTGTTTCGCCTGGATGAACTCTAGCTGTTAATATTATAGTTCTTTTCTTGGGCTCCCCAAAATAAAGAATTGGAATATCTATGCCTGCTGGCGTTTTAGTCAAAATATTATATCCCAAAGTTTATATAAATTGCATCATCTAAGTATAAGTATAAGGCACGCCATATGCAATAAATATTTTCTATCCATTTATGAGATTTAAATCAAAGCTTAACTTTGATGATTTTTAATTTTTCTGATCAAAGACAATATTATGACCTCCCTATTTCCATAAACCATTAATTCCTATGTAAGGTCTCATTCCTCTTTAATAAAGGCTGCGATGTTTACTGAAATTACAAATATTAATTCTTATTGTTTATGTTCTTTCCGAAACTATGCTAAAATGATACCAATTATGACTGCAACGAGAATTTGAATCACATCGCATATAACAATTATATTCATTTATTCGAACTTAGAAAGCAAAATCTAAGTTTCCTGATTCAAAATCAGAATCAAACTATAAGAAATGTTTCTGTGCTTAAGGTCTGTTGATAAATAACCGAAGTTAACGTTACTTTTTGAGAATTGCCTCCATCATATCAGTTTAATTCTTAGTTGGTTAGTCTTCAATATAAAGAATTACTTACAATTTGATAAATATTTATTGTACATCTCCATTGAATCTACATATCGTGGTCCTACATATACTAATTAATCTCTTTACACAGACCATAGGATGTCATCATTCATTTCAAATTTGAGCCTTATAGGGTATTGTATGTTAGGCATCCAACTAATGCTCAAATAGATATTACCCGTTAAGCATGTCCATTTCTAAGGAAAGCTCTTTTAAAATTGGTAGCGATTCTGGCAGCATCATTATTAATTAATATGCTATACTAATAGGATTCATAAGAATGTGAAAATTCTCAGTACAACTCATTACATATTGAAGAAGAATGTATCATATCATGTTATTACCTCTATTTGATAATACCGCTATCAATTCTTCTATACAATACAACACATATATGTTTTATTTAATACAAAAATAATATCATTTATCACATAATTTTACATTTTTTACTACTTTATTGATTTTGATAAGGACTTCTACTAAAATTAGATTATTTTGCAGAAAAGCTTTCTTTTTAAAAAAGAAACATGCCGAAAACCTTCTAAAATCAGTTATCTTACAAATTTTAATGCATTTATTAGAATTTTTCTATGGTAGATATATGATTAATTTATTCCATTAAAAACCTTTCAAAAACCTTTCTTCTAAAAGAATTAAAAAAGGCTAAATTAGACAAGTCTCTATTTTTCATGACAAAGGAGCAAAATTTAAAACATTACTTATTGATCATTGTAAGCAATAAAATGTGGCAAGTATTATAAGGTTTCATTAAGTGGATTTCTATTTGAAATAGGGATCATTGTTTTCTGGAATAACAAGGTTTTATTGACTCCAGTCTAGAAACTTATAAAGATCAATTAAAAAGATTTTGATTTAATAAGATCTCTTTTAAATTGAGAATTGTTTTATTTTATGTAATCATTATTAATTTCAATCATACTATTTAACATTTGGTAAATCCCATGGTCCTCTTATTGTACTAAAAATTTTATATTAAAGTGATACTTTTTGTATTAATATAACCAAATGATTTGGAGAGGGGAAACAAAAGTAATGAAAAACACGCTAGAAATAATAATTTAGAATGTGATTACCATCCAAAAAATAGAAGAGTTAAGAAATATGAAAAAAATAGTAATGATAATCCAAGTCCAATAGTGGAAATTAAATTGATTAGTCTAAAAAAAGAGCCGTATTTTTGTTTGATGCTTCTTTAAAGTATAGGAACAAATATGAACAATAAGTTGGATGCAAATATCATCAAAAAGACTTAGAGTTCATTGTGTAATCTTGAGGCTAGTAGACTTGAAAATACTAATGATGCCCATTAGGAGACATCAAGTTCTGTAAAATCTTTTTCGTAGTCATAATCCTTAAGAAAAATGTAAATAAGTATAGCTACACTTGTAAGTACATAAATAGTATTATCAGCATAAGTTTGATTGACTGTTTGCATGACAGGAGCAAAGAGTAATAAAATAGATATATAGATTCCAATGCTTTTAAAATTGCTAAGAATTTCTTAAGTTTTCAATTTTTTGACAACAGAATACATGATTAAACAAGTGATAGTTGCTGTAAGCCAAAAGTATAGTTATATTTAATCACTAAGTAAATCATGAAGCATTAAGAAATAACTTAAAAGATAGAATACAACACAATTGACAGCAAAAATTAAATCTGAGGTTTTGCTAATTAATTGTTTGTAATCAGGTCCATGACTAGAGTTGTCTTGTTTTTATACACTTTGTAGAAATGTTTCATCTATATAATTGTCATCATAAGGTTATTTTTCATACAATATTTTTTCCCATTTCTTTTATTCTTATTCCTCTTGGATATAAGACTTAAGTAAAAGAGAAATGTATTACAGCCAATTAATACTTGGGTCGTCTGCAAATAAAACATTAGACATCATTATCTGAGAAACGATATCCATCCCATGGACAGTATTTAAAATAATCCATAAAATTTAAAATAATACTCATTTTCTTGGTGGTGGTCTTTTTTATTATTGAGTGGGTTTTGCTGAGGTTGCTTTTTGTTATGGTTTAGTTTATGGTTTGGATTAAGGTTTAGATTTATATTTACGTCTATGTTTATCTATATTAATAAATGTATTAATTACCAGAATCAGAATCATCATCATCATCATCATCATCTTGATCGCTAATCTTATTGAGATCAAGAACATCTGATAAATCTTCATCCTCATCATCTTCATCATCACTTCCACCATCATCATCATCGTCATCTTCTGTGAAATCGGAATCATCATCATCATCTCCACCCTACATTATAAGAATTACTAAGATACAGATTATTCAGGAGAGAATTCACTATCTCCTGCCTCTGGATCATCATCTTCACCTTCTTCTTCTTCACTCTCAGCCAAAATATTTGTCCAACCTCCATCTTAAACAAATCCTGGAATATCTTTTTATATTTAGGCAAGTACATTCTTCCAGACCAAATTCTAAGCTACTTCAAAAAATAGTAAATTCATCTATAATTAAATACCAATAATACCCTATCTAACCAATTTTTAACACCTTCCAAATCTTTTATATCTATACTTTCAATCCTCAAAACTTATTTATCATAATTCTTAAATACAAACACTAGATCAAATGATTTTATCCCTGGAATTATACGTTCAAAACAACATATCTCAACTTCAGATAAAGTCAGAATAAAGAATGGACTTTCTACTACATTCATCAAGGTATTATGAGTTGGTTATAAAAATAGCCTTGCTCTATTCCAATTACCTTCAAATCCAAGATCTCTAAATGGCTTCTCAAATTATATTTTATAATCTGCTCCCATCTCTTCAATAGTCTTAATGAAAACTTCGAACTCTCTTGCCATCTTCTTTCTATGGACACGTAATCTCTCCTCTTCTTCTATTTCATCATCATCATTTCTATTAGTTCTCTTTCTCCCTTCCAAATGTTCCACAGCTCCTCCAACCTCACAATAAAATTATACATCATGTGTTTTTCTCTTACCCAACACTATTGGAGAATGAAGATGGAAATGCAAGGCAGCAATGATATCTTATTCTGGACTTTAATAAATGTAATGTTTAACATTCTTAAATACAATATCCAATTGTTCCTTATTTGAATGAATATATCTAAAACCATTAGTATGCACTTCCAAAATGCCTGCAGCTTTACCTGAACCAAATGTAGGTCTCACTTTTAAATCCTTAAAAATGGGTTTTCTTCCTGACTTACTAACCACTAAAGGCTCTAGTTCACCAACATGCTATTTTTCTCTCTCTACTTGCTATTCTGCTTTTACCTTTTTCTATAATTATTTTATCTACAAAATCAAATTCTAAGGACGATCACTCTTTTTTGATCTATATTATAACTCCTTAATAAATATAGTTTCTCCATCTATTTGAGGGAATTGAATCTATCCAGCTGTTGTCTCGGAGGTAAAGAAATTTATTCTAATTGAAGAACCAATTTTTCCTTCATCAATTTTACTCACATTCTTTATGCATGAAACATGAAAAGCGACATGAGTGCCCAACAATGGTACCAAAACTGCACATTTCTAGTTGTCAATATATATCTGTCCTTTTTATAATTCTTTTGGATAATTTTCTACTTTCTAATAACACTATAATTTATCTAACTCCAGCGCTTTTATTTCTTGCGAGTTCTACACAAATTAGTCATGTTCTAGTCTTTATTCTAATTCATTCTATTTATCCTTTGCTAACTTTTCTTAATGAATCTGTCTTTGCTTCTCATTTTCTCTTTGTATTTGAATCTATTAATTACGAGGTCCTCTTGTTCTACCTTCTTTTGGAGCATCTGATTATTTAGTTTATTATTTAGGAGCTGGCTATTCATCCTCTTCTTACAACTAATATGAAATCTATTTATAAGCCTTTGGAATTTAATTAGTTGTCACATTAGCTGCTCCATTTGTAACAACAATAACATCTCCTACTGTTATTGTGTAACTTATTCCTTTTTACCCATTAGGCAGATTCTCTAATGTTACTTAAACAAAATAAACTTCATTCTTAGCAACAACATGAGTAGACTTTTCAGAGATAGCAAGGTAAGGTTCTTTTAATTCAAGTCCAATTCCATATCCAAATGAATTTGGAAATTAAAGATTGTTTATACTCAATTCTGTAGTCTTCTGCTATAGCATAATTAAAGCTTCCTTATAAACTTAACTTAAAGGAGTCCCAATAGTTAATGACCCTATTACTTTATTCTAAACTTCTAACATGGTGTTATATAATTTTTTTTATATCTCTGTTGGGTTAATGAACAGTGTTCTAATACAATTAGTGTTATATTCATTAACTTATGTACCAAGAGAGATAATAATAACATCAGAAGAAAGATATTCCTTATTTGGACTGTCAACATGTTAATAATTACCACCACTCTAAATGATTGGCGTATATGCAAAATCATATAAACCATCTTGTAATCCTATATCTTTGATGACTTTTAGCTTATCATTTTCTAATGATTATTCTACTTTCTTAGCTAAATCTTAATGAGTAATACGGGTTCCAACATCAATTGAATCCTCTATTTATTTAATGAGTTTCTTAAATAGACGAGTAGTCAATTGTGAGGATTAATTGATAAAGGCTTACTCTTAATCATCCTTGACTGCAAGTATATCGCTTATCAATTAACTTGCATCAACAATTTAAGACCATCCTTTATAGTCATACCATTCTGTGGCTAGACTACCTGCTTGTTGCTCTGTTGAAGGCATTCCTAGCTTGACATTCCCTAATTTCTAACGAATTTTTTCAAAGCTTTCACGATTATCACCAACTTTCTTATAGAAGTGTACCTCGTATCTCCCGCCTAATCGTTGCTTAGTTTCATCCATCATTTACACTATTCAAAAGTAAAAATAACATATTTACACTTCTTCTCGCTTGCCAAATAGAATATCTGCTTCTTTGTTGCGATGAACACTGTCTCAATCATATCGTATCCAAATAACCATACAAATAATGCCTTTGTTTTAGGTTTGATTGAGCCATCCTCTTTCCCTGATAGAATACACAGTGCTGGTATGTCCTACCTTCTAATTTATTAAACCATACATCATTTAGTCGACTAGTCAATTAATCTAAATGTCTTTGGAATACATCTGCTATTATCTTTTTATCCATTATTAAATTAATATATGTTAATAATTTTCTTATGGTGGTTTTGATATGCCCTCGCTTAACTATACATTAATAGTTAATCATTTATCAAACCCTTTTTTCAATAACTCTTTCCAAAAACAAAACTCAAAAACCACAAAAAAAAAATATAAAAAAACCCGCTAAAAATTTAAACATTTATTCTATATCCCACATATCTACCCCCCTAATAAAGATCATTCCATATAATTTTCATTCTTCTATCAATCACAATCTATATCGGTATCAATCAGATCCTAATATGAGATAAATTTTATAATAAATCCAATTTCTTATTATAAAAATAATTAAATGAAAATCAAGATAGTTTATAATAACGAAATCCATCTTTTGAAATCACAAAACCCAACTCTCTCAGGAATTAGAGAGCACATCATTAAAATATATCCAAACCTTGGTTCCAACTTCTCACTTACCTATAACGACTAAGAAAACGACTAAATCAGTTTAAGTTGTTAAGAAGATCTATAAGTTCTTATTGATGAAGGGATATAAACAATTAAGGTTTTCGTGATAACCTCCTCAAAGCCTAAACAAAATCCTCAAGATAAAATGATCCATAAAAGGCATACTTGTGATGGATGTTAGGTGCATCCAATCATTGGATCAAGATTTAAATGTCTTGAATGTCCTGACTATGACTTATGTGAAGAATGTCAAGTCAAAAATCTTCATAATCATCATAAATTCTTCAAGATTAGTACATAAGAAGAATTAGATTAATTCCGAAAAGAACATTGGACTAAATTTGGTCATTGGGGACATAGAGGATTTGGACATCATCATGGTCATGGACATGGACCTCATGGACATGGGCCTCATGGACATGGATTTGGACCACATGGATTTGGACCACATGGATTTGGACCTCATGGACATGGACCTCATGGATTTGGACCTCATGGCTTTGATGCTTTTAAGCAAATCAGAGAATTTTTCGAAGATCCTGCTTTTAAAGAAATTAAGCAAACTGTTTGTACAATTGCTAAAGATGTCTTTGGTGTTATAAAGACAGAAATTGAGAAACATAGAAACGCTTAATAATAATAATAGGAAAAACCTTAAGAGGAATGTGATGTGAGTGATGAATAAGAAACATAATAAGAAGAACAGCCTTAAAAAGAAGTATAATAAAATACAGAAGACATAGTAGAAAATGATAATTAATAAAATAATGAGGTTGAAGAAAAAATTAGAACTTTGATTTCAATTTTGTAATGTGAAGAGGGAATAGCTAGAGAATATGTTAAATGCTTAAAGGAATTACCATTAAATGAGATTATTGATATTATATTAGAAAAAAATTGATTACGATGAATAATTATTAAATGAGTTTTTCTAATTTAGATAACAGTCTTTGTTATATTTAATCTCTATTTTATTCAAAGAGATATAATTATTAGATTTTTATGATGAATTCTAATGATATGATAATATAAATATAAAACTCTAAAGTAAAAGAATGAGTATCAAACCTATATTGAACAATAAAAATATTGGAGAAGTTTAGTATGAAGTTTTATTGAAAAAAGAATAATATGAATGAATATCTAAGATTGGAAGCAAAAGACATAAGTAAGTAAAGAGAATAAAAATATTTTTATATAATAAAATACAAATGATGAAAGATTAAGATGTGTTAGAATTTCATGATTATAAATAATCAATACTTTTGAAGATGTTGAGAGTATATCAAGAAGTATATGGTGATTGCGATGGAGATAGGATAATAATTGAGGCTTACAACACATAAATTACAAAGCAAGATTTTGACAACTTCGTTGTGGATCCAAATTATGAGTTGAGTACCACAATAGTTATTCTCTACTTAAATTACATAATAAAATATAGTTAAATAACTTAGAAGATAGCTCCTTATTTTTTGATAATAACAAGTGAGGATTACAATGTAAATAATAATTGAAATAAGCAAGCCATCTTTTGGGAATGTTATATTGTATGATGGGTAACTGATTAATTAAGTACCTCTGGCTAAATTCAAGTATGACGGTAATAAATAAAATGCTCCGATTGTCATATTGATGAGATGTAAAAATAAATGGAACATGATAATTTTGGAATTGTAACCTTGGATAATAGATTTTAGATGTGACAAAAATACAAGTTTTAATGCAATATCAACGTTCGCAAGTTAATTTATTTTAGATACTTTTGGGATTTAGATAAAGAACTTCAATGATTTTATGTTGGATTATGAATAGTTAGGAGATTAGGGAGATTTAATAGTCTTTGCATTATATAAAGTATTTATAATGAATTTGGATTTGACAGGAGATTCACTATTGAGTAAGAGTGATTATACAACTGCAAAACGTAAATTATTATGGTTGGCATTATCACATATGAAAGAAAGAAGTAAAGAGGATGATGATGCAGAATTTACAAGAAGGTTAATAAAGAAACAGAAAGAGGATATGCAAAAGTAAATGGAAGAGGAAGAAGAAAGAAAGAGAGAAATAAAGAATAAACTATCTGAGAAAAAAATGTAAGTTTATGGTTTCTTGCATACAGTAGAATAACCATAAGAAATACGAAAAGTTGAAGAGACTGCAGAATAGATATTATTAAAGAAATAATTGGCTTAATTTAATGTGACAAGACCAAGGAATAAGGTTGAAGCATTCCTTACAAGAATGAGAGTTAAAGAACCATTTTAATTTGAATATCCAGAGCCTCCAAAATATGAGGCACCAAAGAAAGATCCAAAGGGATTGGTAAAGAATTTTGTTTATGAAGTTGAATGGCCAAAAATAAGTCCTGGAATTAAATAAATGATAACACCTGCGTCATATTGTGTATCATAAATATTTTCTGATACTCCATTACAATTGGATTAGGGAAGAATGGAGAGAGTATATGATTATGAAATATTGGAATAAGTAGAGAAATAAAAATAGAAAGAATAATAATAATAATAATAATAATAAAGATAAATAGTTTAGAAAAATGGGTCTTATTTTGGATAGATTGGATCAAGAGTATTTGATAGAAGTGATTATACAAATGGAGTTGTAATACCTGCTGGAAGAAAGATAGTGAAATAGATTGAAAAAGTAGATAGTAAAGAGAAGAAACTACATAAGATGGAAATGATGGATAGATGTATTGAGTAATTAGAAGATGAATTATTTTTAAATTATTGAAATAATTATATAATGAACGATTCGAAAGGACCTAAAATAATGAGTTCTCATTCATTCAATAGTATAAAGAATGAAGAGCCTAAGAAAACGGAAGTGATAGATGAACAATCATTATAGACAACATAAAAGAGAGGATAGCCTAAAATCAATATTAGTCGTTTGCCTCCAGCATTTGCAAATAAAAAGTATTAAGAATGGTGTAATTCAGACCATAAAAGAAATAGATTGAACCTTTAGCTTAGAAGAAAGAGTAGAAACAATAAGTACAAAAGAATCTGCAGAACATAGAAGCAATACAAGAGTACAAGTAGGTGAGCCAAATGTTAAGTCCCTTGAAGGCATTAATTATAAATCAAACTCTAGCGTGAACATAATTAGTAATCCAAGAACCCCTTAGCACCATTTCGTTAGTTTATGAAAGACCAAAAGAAAATACATGAAGAATTAGGCTTAAGTATCAGTACTCTAGTCCAAGGTTAAATGAGAATTGAAGATATGATTACTACTGGAACATTAAGATGTTAATATTGATTCTAATCTAATAGCTTATGGCGATTAAAGTCCTGTTAAAAAAATGTTACATGCTCCAACTATGAAACTTTATGTTGTAAAAGAAGTAATTCATAATAATGATATCTAGGAACCTTTACATAACAAAGAAATTCGTAAAAACTTAAAAGATTGGATCTCCTTTTGGTAGAACAAATTTGCCAATTCAAATTTGCATGTTTAAGTCTATGCTACTTTTTGGAATACTCCTGAAGGTTATGTATCTATTGTTATGGAATACATGAATGGTGGTTCATTATAAGTGAATATTATTTCTCATTCCTAGAATCTTCTCGAGAGTATGGGTTTCCTACCAGAAAGAAGTATCAAATAACTTGTTCCACCCATTCTTTAAGGATTATAAAAAATACATCAATAAGGAGCTTAATGTCATGGTGCACTTGGACCATCTTAAATACTTTTTCTTAGAGATGGCACTGTTAAACTTGGATAAGGTTTATAATACCGAGTTCAAGTTTAAGGAAATTAATTATTTAATTCTTATATACTTGGTAAACCTAAAGATGTTTAAAGGTGTTTTATTCAATCTTAATTAATAGTCTTTATGATCCAACTATTCTAGAAACACCTTCATTATGGAGTAAAGCATCAAGCGAAAAGGTACATTTTCCTGCCCAAGATGATTTCATCTTAGAAAGAGCCAATGATATTTGGAAATTAGGATGGTTAATACTTAATTGTGCTATTGGAACACTTGAATTTCATCCTAAAGCTTAATAAATCTATGAAGGATCAAGAATCATTATAGAGGAAATTGCTAAATACACAGATCATCTCAAGGACACTTGTTGTTTATTACATAGTGAAACTAAGATCATTTCATTAGTGGAATAAAATTAAAAAATTGCATCTGAACCTACTAAAATCACTATATTAGAATTACTACCATCTGATAAATTTAGTTAAGAATTTATTCAATTTTTATGTTCCACACTTAAAATTGATCCAAGATAAAGACTTTATACTGAATAACTATTATAACATCCATGGCTAATTGGAACAAAAGAACCTAAAGGTATATGCTTTTAGTTTTATCCTCTAGGACCAAATGTCTAACTCAAAGAACTACTTAATATCTCCAATGCTTGGAATGCATTCCTACCAGAAGAATTTTAAGGTTAAGGAGCATAAAAATTAGAAAGACTTTGTGATGCATTAATTCTTGTCTTGTAAAATTCAGAAAAACCTACTGCCAATAAGTATCTCTTCCATTCACTCATCATTTAGGATGCAGTTATAAGAAAATAGTCCAATTATTAAAGAACTATCTTATGATATGGGGCTTAATGCCAAAGCTGTCAGTGATCGAATTGTGTCAATTTTCCAATCCTTAAACTGATCTAGCATCGCACTATTATATATATATCTAATTATTTAGAGTTATTATTACCATAATTAATATTTCATAATCTCTTTCTCAATTAATTCTTTATTTTCGAATTTTAATTTTATACTCAAAACCTATGATTACTAGTAATTATTCCATATTGATACATCTTATTTATATTCAAATCTTTAACAACTGAGTGAATTTAGAATAACCTTTAATATTCATCGTTTATAATTATCCATTATTTTAATAAAATTAATGGAGCCACGGTCTGATGCCATACTCATTAAATAAAAGTACTTTGTTTGTGATAGAGATTCTATACAAGATCCTTTCATTAATAGTATTGATCAATATTTGAAGAGAACCAAAAAAAGAATTTATGGTTTTACCTTAACTAGTACTAATTAGAATTCTAATTAAGGCCTTTTTTCCTCTTACTTTTAATTCCATCAATAGTTTTATAGTAGGATTTGATAGAACTCATTGTTTTACCATAAGAAGGGGCAAAATTTATTGTTACTTAAACTCTGGATCCTCCAATTACATTGGAAATTATATCTGATCAATCTTGCTCCATTGAAGATTTATAACTTTATTTAGATGGCCATTAAATTGAATAATTTACAATAATGTAAGAAATGATATTGAACTCCACACATTCAATGACAAGCAATAAATCCTTTTAATTTAGTATTAATTTAATGATTGTAGCAGCTAGATTAATGTCACAGTTTACCTATATCCCTACTTCCTACCTAATTGTTTAAATAATTATGCTCGTTTTCTCTCTCCTGTATCTAATTTAAGAAATCTTAAGAAAAAAAAAAAATTGATTATATAACTTTCATATGTACTTACTAAACTGCTCAATTTCATATCCCCTCTACTTATCTAATAAAAATAAAAAAGTTAGCCTTCAAACTTTTAAAATTATTTTGAGATTTTTTTATTAAAATTATATAAGCATACATTTTTTAAAATCAATAAATTTAAAAAAGTCTAATTTTCAAACAGAACAAATTAGATTATAAATATATAATAAATTCAGGATAACTATAAATCAGTTCAAATAATTAATTCTGTATATCATAAATATAAATGACATCTAAACTTTCTTTCTCGTTTAATCAAAATCATAGCAAAACATATGATAATCTTGCTAAAGAATCCGTATTTGAGTACCATATTAGAAGAAAATCGTGTTACTGCTAATTATGCGGATAATTAGGACATTTTTAAATGCAAAATTCTAATTTGCCTACTCTGAGAGAACTTCAAATCAGTAATTAGTAGATAATCAAAAGAAGGTAGAGTTTTGGTGATGATATCAAAACTCAAATTCCTAGTGAATTGAGTTACATTGATAGTGAAAATGGAAGACGAATTCTGTTATCAAAAAGGTCAATTTCAATAACTAATATGAATGTACAGGGATCCTTAAAATTCGAATAAAATTTTCGAGAAAATAATAAAAGAATAAAAAGAGCTAGTTGTGAATGTAGTGAATGTGGAAAGCTTAACTAATTTTAGAAAAAAAATAAAGAATTATCGATTCCAAAAAAAGAAAGAAAGCTTAAATAGTTTTAAATAAAAAGCCAACGATAATTCTAACAATATGGATCAACAGAGTTCTAGATTAACAATAAGAACAATATTTAAAAGGCAATAATGTAATCTCCAAAAAGTTTAAGAACATTCTAAGTTAGATAAATTAATGAAATGAGAAGAACTAAAGATGTTAACAAACTAATAAATAATCGTATATCAACAAGAGATTTAGAACAACCTAAATAAAACTAAAATAAATTTTCTATAATTAATTCATGTCAACAACTAGATTCTCCATTAATGCCGAAAGTAAAATCTCAAAGAGAAAATATACATAAACCAGTAATGTCCTTTTTCTCTAATACAAAATGGAAGTTCTGATGATATATATATCTTACCCTATTTATTATTAAATAATTGAGAAAGATTATTTTGATTAAAGGAGTTTTATAAAATATATTAATAAAATTATTTTTATAATAATCATTAAGTTTGCAGTGTACCTTTAACTTGAGTTATTCTTTCAAATTACTTGTGATTTTCAACTTTAATATTATAGTAATTTTCTTCTCTAAGAGATTTTGTTGATAAACGTATAGGTGCATCACTGAAATTGAATAATGAATTTTACATAAATTTGATTTGCTTTCTCTTTTCAATTTCCTAAAGTTTCTTTGATAATATTAGATTGGAAGCAGTAATTCTTGAGAGCACTTCTTTTTATTTGAAATTCTGACTATTTTGAACTTTTTTATTTGCATCTTTCTCTGTGAATTGATTAGGATGTTATATTTTTACATCGTTATAGAATTTCCTAAACTTGATTAGGGAATTTGTAATTTCTATGCTCAATTTACTCGACCGACTTTTTGTGTTTGGCATATTGTTGTTCCCATTACCTGGATTAGAATTAATTATTATTCATTAATTTAATATGTTAATTGAATAATAATGAGATAGATTTCTGTAATTGTCTGGTTATTAACAATAAATAATATAAATTAATGAATTCCAACAATAATAATAACAATGACAGTTCGAGTGAAGATGATCTATAAGTGTATGAGACACTTACGAAATTGCCACCTCCTAATGAATTATTACCTCGTAAATTAACAATAGACATAGATGTTAAATCATTATATCCTCTAAAGTAATTGAATTATTAATCAAATAAGACCACTTCCCCAATTTTGTAAAACTTATACAACTTTTATCGAGGAGTCCTCTTAGAAACAATGCATTATTCCTGATATATAGGTGACTGATGAGAATAGGACACTACTTGATTATTACGAAGAGAATAAACAAAATTTAGTATATAAACGATTCGATCAGTTGGATTTAGGCAAAAGGACTTCAAATGATAGAACATATTTTGCAAGTCTCTTAGCCAATTTTAAGAGGTATGGACTATTCTAAATGAAGAACATAACCAAGAGTATTTTTCAGAGGAGAGGCACTTTTTGATTAAAAATTAACACCATGTTCTTGTGATCAAATATAATTTGATTCCAATTTTGAATCAGGCAATCTATTTTGTGCATTCAAAAAAGCAGATAATGTTTATGATCTAATACTTCAAAATGATATTAATACAAGAGGCAACACATAATGGTTTTTTTTTAGTGTAACTGGAGCCAAAGCAGGCTAAACAATTTAGTTTAACATTCTCAATCATGTATATAATCAATAATTAATTTTAGCTTAAAACAGGTAGTTTATTTAACGAAGGTTTATAACCAGCTGTATATTCAGTAAAAGAGAATTAATTAGTAGGCACTGAATGGTGTAGAGAAGGATTTAATATAAGTTATTTCAAAAGTGTTTTCATGAAAGAATACCCTCTATCTTTGAAGAAGAAATACTATCAGTTACGATTTCATTATACTTTTAAACATGATGGAGATAAAGTTTACTTTGCTCATTCTTATCCATATACTTATACGAATCTATTGGAATTTTTAAATACATAATTGGAAGATTAGGAAAGAAATTAGTAATATTTAAATATCAATTTTTTAGATACTTATCTCGAAAAGTATTATGTACAACTCTAGGAGGAAATACATGTGAAGTTCTTACTATTACTTCTAATTCGTTGTAGAAGAGAGCATTTAGAAAAGGAGTAGTATTTTTAGCTAGATAACATCCTGGAGAGCCTCAAGGATCTTATGTTATGTAGGGGATTATAGAATTTTTGACTTCAAATAATCCTTAAGCTGATTATTTGAGATAGAATTGCATTTTTAAAATATTTCCAATGATGAATTCAGATGGTGTTGTAAATGGGAATTATAGATGTGGTCTAGAAGGAAGTGATTTAAATAGAAGATGGAAGAAACCAAATAAATATTTACATCCAAGTGTGTATTATGCAAAAAAATATGTAAAAGGATTTAGTAAAGAAAGACAAATATTGTTGGTAGTTGATTTACATGGTCATTCAAGAAAGTAATGAGGATTTATAATTTTAGACAATCATCATTTGTTTATGGTTGTGCTTATTCTTCTTAAGTGAAGACTATTGAAAGAGTATTTGCACTTTTGATGTCAAAAGTAAATCCTTTTATGGATTATTCTTCTTGTACATTCAGAGTAGAGAATGCAAAAGATAAAACAGCTAGGATTCAACTTTGGAGAGAACTCAAAATCAATTGGGTTTATACTTATGAGTGTAGTTTCTATGGCTAATAGAAAAAACATTATTAAATAAAAGATTATTTAAATTGTGGTGTAAGCATATGCAATGCTTTATCTTAAATAGTCAAAGATACAACTAAAGAATTTACTAATTAAGCAAATTAACCAGATATATAATAATAGATGTTAGAAGAATTGGGGAAAATGCCATAAACAGATGATTAAGATAATGGATCAGATTCAAGTTAATCGGAAGCTGAATTATCAGATGATGAAATGGTTTAATTATTTTAACCAAAAACATATTCAATGAAATAGAAAAGTCTATTAAAATAATAAGAAACTAATAATAAAAAAAAACCTTAATAACCAAATAGTAATTTAAAATCAACTCTAGCTTCATAAAAAACATCTATATTGTAGGAGTCTCCATCTAAAAATTCAGAACAAAAACCACCGATGAGTAGCTAAAAACCAAAGAATCCATTATATAGAATTTAAGCACCTTAAAGAGTACGATAAATAGATTAAGTTAAATAACCAGAACTTCCACTTATGGTTGATAAATCGGTATAGACAGATGATTGGATGTATCGTTAATGGTTGATTCAGATGGGCAAACTAAAAAAGTAACAAGAATTCCAGAGTTTTACACCAACTAGAAATATTTACAAGTCATCATCTCAATCAGTGACTAGATTTATCGTTAAGAATTCCACCACGAAGAATGATCGAGGACGAGTTGATTCCATTTCCCTTATGGCATCTGGTTTACAAAATAAATTAAGTAATATATAATTAACAAATAAGGTTCTTCTAGCCAATAGCGCTAAATGATGAGATACTCTGGTAGTAATTTTATGTCTTGAAATTGCTTTTTATTAAATTATAATTCTATTCTTCATTCCTATCATTTCTTTTTTATTAAATACTATTTTCTTACAATTTCTTATAAATACCTTAATATAGAATACATAATTTTGTGTTTAAAAATATATACAATTTTAACATACTTTAATAATTTACAAAATATAAATGTCTGAACGTCTTTTAGATTTCTCTATTTCTTAAGATTCACTTACATTAATACATACAAGAAATCGACATTACAATTATATAATGGGTAGCATTATATTAAATTCAATTACTCTATTAGCATTCAGCATAATATAAGGATACATCTTAAGAAGTCATTAAGATTGGGATGCTATAACAGTATTAATTGTTGCATGTTTTTATTATATTGATTTTTAGGCATTACTATTATATTAGAAGGATTAAGTCTATTACAAGTATTCCATATGCAGACGTAAAAATTAATAATAACAACTACTGTGTAAATATAATTATTTATTTTAGAATAATATTTACTGAGACTTTAATATTAGCAATATCAATTTATCAAACAACAACAGAAGAATTTGAACATGATTCAAAATTTGAGATAACAGTTTAAGTTGTTGCAATCCTTTTATTTTTCGTAATAGCTATTATAAAATTACTATTGGTTATTCAGTTAAAAAAGATTTTAGATTTGACAAAAGCAACAAATTTAATAAAAGAAGGAATTAGGAGTAAGTAGGCATATGAAAATTTTTCAAAAACTTTAAAATGAATGATATTTTTTATCATATTATTTTACTAATTATAAATTATTAGATAATATTTAATATAGATAAGTCTTATTTAATATATATATCATTCTAAATGAGCCCATAAATCATCAAGATAAGGTAATTGTCTTCCCCACATAAAGGAACAATGACCAGCATCATAGAATTTAAGTTCTTTATTAGGTGCATTTATTAATGCTGAAAAAAGATGATTTACATCTTTAGGTGCAGCTAATAAATCATCGTATCCTGCGATGTAAAATATCCTAAATTATATGAGATGTTAATTACTTAACATCAATATTAGATAAATCATAAAAGGGTGCTTTCTTAGTTCCATATCTTCTAACATTTTCTCTATCTCCATAATCATATCTCTTAAATTCTCCTGTTCTTGTAAATTATTACCAATGTTTAAGATTTTTAACACTTGTACCAGCAGGAGAATGACCAGCTAAAACATCATAACGATCATAATTATCAAGTACTGGATCAGCTGATACAAATGATCCAATCAAATCTCCACAAATATTCTCCATTAAACCACAAACTACTCTTCCTATTTCAGATGTTAAAAATGTATCTCCTGGCATAAATTCATGTAATCCAAATGTTGCTAATACTTCTAAAAAATTAGTATCAAGTAAACGAACTAATGGAGAATATTTTGTTGTAACCCAAGCTACAGGTCCCATTCCTATAAATTATATCAAATTATCTCTGACAACACTTTATTTAAAAAGAGACAAATGAATATGCATTTAAGCTGTTCCTTAAGAATGTCCAATATATTATATTTTTTGACCAGTCTTATTTACAATATATTTAAATCCTGCTGGAAGATCATAAATAGCAAAATCTTCTAATGTGAAATCCCAGAATGACCAAAAGAATGGATTCTTTTTAATATGATCTCTTCCATGTTTATTTCCTCTATTGTTACCTAAAATTCATAATTATCTAAATTACCAAGCCATACATCATAACCTTTATTTGCAATTAAGAATGCAGGAGCTTTATCTTCATCATTGATAATGAATGTATCACTACTATCTAAAAGTCCATGTTAAAGAAGGACAACTTTTTTACCAGATACTATTTTTGTCCCTTTGGCTTAAACTCTAAAATATGTTAGAAGATAGCCATCTTCTGTTTAAATAACATGTTATTCGACAGGGTAATTGAAATATTTGCAATATTTAACAAAGTCTAGGTTACCTTCAGGATGTATAGTGGTTAGTGCAAGATATGGTAGCAATAATAAAATAATCTTCATTAATAATATTATTCAATTGCGTTCCCTCACTAAGTAATCTTTAATAAGTTCATTCATTTTCAAGAAAAGGAGAATCACATCCCAATATATAATCACACTTCCTGAGACTTCATCTGCTTAATTAACATCATATTAATCTCCTGAACTAATAATAAATATAATATATATACTTGACATTAGTATATGTATCATAAATAAGTAGGAATGCTAAAAGGAAAGCAAAGAGTGATACAGTGGATAACCAAAAGAGGGATACTTCAGTGAAGATTGTAAAGATTTCAAAAATGAGTAGAATACTAGCTGATATAAATAGTATGGATCCCTAATAAGTGAGTCTTCTTTTGACTGTCAAAGAATACATAAATAAGAAAAAGACCATGCCTAATAATATTAGAAATAAATACTTACTTGCAAGACTGCTAAAAACTAAAAGACCAATAACTGAATCTCCTAAAGCCACTAGAGTACCACATACAATTGAAATAGAGAGAGTAAAAGTCACAAACACAACCCAATTCCATGGAAATGTTGCTACATCTTTTCTGAATATTAATGCCATAGTAGCTGTTCCTACAGAAATGAATAAGCAAAGCCAAAATAGCCATGGCTTACCTTCCAAGTAGGAATCTAGAGAAGCTGAAGCATATACCCAATATATGAATAATGCTAACACTTTAATTCAAATTGTGTACATATAACGATCATTTGTATTAAGAGGTACTAGTACAATTTTCTTGAATAAACAACTCTTGAATTAAATTGATTTTCAAAATTGCATACTTCTCCAACAACATTCTATTGTATTTGGGATGTCTTTCCTGCATACTCCAATTAACTTTGAAACATAATAAATTATATATATTTATGTAATATATCAATTTTTTTTGTAAACAATGTAACTACTCCTATATATGAAAAGAATCTCTTCATCACTTATACGTAGTACTTTACTAGGAGTATCACAATTAAATACTCTTCTCTTCTTATTTATCAAATCATATAGCACAACCTTTTCACCAATCAATACTACTTATGGAGTATCATTCAATAAGTCCATAGAAACCATTTTTGTTACATTAAAGTCTATTTCATATGAACACTTAATCTATCCAAATTCTACATCCCAAATATTAAGGGTTTAAGATGTTAGAGTAATCAAATAGTTTGCATTTTATGATGAACACCAACAAAATTATAAAATTTTTTGATCATCAGTTATTTCGAATACATATTCATCATTTTATAAAGTCCATATCTTAATAATGTTTAGTGTGCTTGAAAATGAAGCTAATAAGGTTTTCCTTTTATTAAATTCAATTAAAGTAGTTTCCAATTCTGCTTTTAATTATAATTATGGTTTATCAATATCAATCTACATTAAATTTATATAATAATTTTGATCCATTACAATAAAGTGATCAAAATGTCTCCATTCAAAATGAATTACATTTTCTAAATACTTCAAAGTTTAACATTTATAAATATCCACAATCTAAGATTATCAATTTTAATATATACTTCTATATCCTTCTCAAAAATCAAAGCAACAACATTAGGCCAATTTAGATTCCAATGAAAATCTAATAACTTAATTGCATTTTTGATATTGAACATTTTAATGATTTAAATTGTTGTATCTATCAATTTAGCGGCTCCATTCTCATAAATAATTAACATATTATTGCCGCTAGATCTATCGAATTTCATCAATTTAACTCTAGAAAAACTCTCACCAACTACTGTAGGCATAATTTGTATAATTTAATTGTTTTGTATGAATTTTATACAATTTGTTTGATATATTGCCAAAATGTTTTTTGATGCATTCCAATCACTTAATAAAACATCATCTTGTAATTGTATTATTTCTTATTACAATTCAACATTTAAATCCATTGTTTATCCATTGCGAGACACAAATTCTTAACTTCTCAATAATGCATTTTGTATCATTATTTCACGATCTCGTCTTTCTTATTTCTCAGCTAATTGTTTTTTCTCAGTAAATTAACAAACATGTTTTTGTATTAATAATTAAGGTACTTTACATTCATAATATTAATTGATTTGAATATGATCTTGTAATTGTTAAAATAACAAAGACTTTTCCAATAAATTAATAAGTTGACCTGGTTTTACATCATCACGATAAAGTTGTTAATCTATTTTCACTTCATTAATCAATGCAAAAGCACTATGTGAATATCCTTATTCTAAAAAGTAAGTATAAATAAGATAATTAAGTTCTTCTGTCTTAATTACAATCATTAATAAATTAAATAAAATTCATTTAATCTTTCACATCTCATGTAAAATCTCTCTTTTTGTTACTGAATTCTCTATCATAATCATAATTAAAATATTCTTCAATCTCATATTTTCTTAATTTACTAAGACTAGACTTCATCCTTTAATTCTAATCGAAATAGAACACTAGATTGATATCTCTTCCATAAGTAATTAATCATAAACTATTCCAATTATAAAGATAATTAAATCCTAACATTTTACTTCTTCAAATAAAATACTTGTAACTACTTTATTACCAATCCCTGTAAAAATTACAATTAATTCTAATATGTTCAATATTTGAATGCTCAAATTTTTTGATGAAGTTTTTATACTGAATAATATTGTTAAAGGTTTCATGTCTCCATTAAAAATGGAAAAACATACTGTTTTCATAATTTCTTTAGCTTAAAATAATCTGTTATTTCCATTATTTCATTAGCCTCTTAATATTTAAGAACACAATTCTTTTCATTTTTAAATTACTTGAAACAGCATATAATCCTTTTCTATAAAATAAAGGAGCAATATATACATTAAGTAAAAAAACATTAGATTCATTATACCTATCAAGTATCCAGTTTAAAAAATCTATAACTAATGATATTAGAACAGTATAGATTACTAAACTAATATTATCTTTTCCTTTATTAGATATCTTATCTAAAATGATTCTCTCTACTAATACTCAATCCTAAAATATAATCAAAAGATTATAATAATGATATGAATGATTTTTATGATGTACTTTTTAAACGCCTTTTTCTTTTTTGGTGTTCTGATTCGGGTCTGGGTGTTTATGATTCTTGTTAGTAAAATGAATTTTAATAAAACGACTTGTAATTTAAAACTTAACTACATTTGATAATACAATTATTAATTCAAATTAATATAATAATTTTAATTGTATCAAGTTGTTCATCAAATTATTTAAAACTCTCTTCTTGTTATATAACCTTACTTCATAAATAAATTATAAGGACAAAATAAATTTATAATTTAAATATTTAGAATAATTATATATATTATTGCATATTAATGATATATAATGAAACAATAAAATCAATTTTTTTTATAAGTGATTCATTTAAGTAGATTAAGCAAATTTGATTTAGGTGTTAATTTTTGATATAGCTTTTCTGAATGTGTACTATTTAATTATTATTTTTCAATTTAGTGAATAATATCTTCTTTAGATTTCCTGACAGAATTTTCAAATGTTTATTGTCCTTTTGAAGTAGTTGGCAATTCGGAAAGTGGAATGCTTAATTAATGATAGCTTTATATTTATGCTTTAACCCATTTGTGTTATTTAATTTATTTCAATGTAATTCTTTTTTAATGATCAGGATTGAATATATCAGTAATAAGACTAATTAATTCTTAAGTCACCTTTTTTGGGATATTATAATTGCCTTCACTTATATTTAAAAGTATTTCTGTATTGTTATCACCTTTAAAAGGATATTGAGCAAAAATCAAATAATATAGAATGACTCCTAATGCCCAAATGTCAACTGAAAAATTAACAGTCTTCAAATAACCATAAAGTATTTCTGGAGAAGCATAATTAACAGTTCCAACATTTAATGGTTCATCAAAAGGAATCCCCGTCCCAGACAAATAAGACAATCCAAAATCAATAATTTTAATCTATAATTAATTTATATTAAATTACTCGTAAATCATTATTATCACAGAGAAGAATGTTATCTAACTTTAAATCTCTATGAATTACATTATTTTTATGACAATAAGAGATGCCGTCCAATATTTGATTAAATAAAATACGAGCAGTTGTTTCATCTAATGCACCATGATCTAAAATTTGATAACAAATTCTACCTAACACATAATCTAATAAAGAACCACCTTTCAAATATTCTAATTCAAGTATTGCCTCTGACTTTTCTGGAAACAATTTATATTAATGGAGTTTTATTATATTACGATGCTTTAATTTTTATAATATCTCTGCCTCCCTAGCAATATATAAGTATTAATTCTCCTAACCTTCACTAATAAACTTAAGTGCTCTCTATTCACATGTAATTTTATGAGAAATTAACATTACTGTTCCTTAACCACCTTTACATAGAACCTAAATTGGATTATACTCAAATAAGACATATCGACCATCTAAACTTTTACCATTTCTTGTTATATATATTTTCGAATCATTTTTTAAGTATTTAAGATCTTCTTCAAATAATTCTTAACATTTATGATCAAAAAGTCTAATTTTCCTAAAACACTACTTTCTACTCACTAACTTAATTAGACTATCAAATGACATTGCTTATGCCAAATTGATCTCCTAAGGATTTTGACCATATTCATATACTGTTACTCTATTTATTTAGGTAGAACAGTTAGATTAGTTCATTGATATACAATTTTACATTTCACGTTTAAAATATTACAATATATATCAATTTTGATTTAAATACTATCAGAATCAATTTATTATTATTTATTTACATTCTATCGTTATCTCTAATATAAACTTAACTCTCTCTTTTCATAATTCTAATTAAGTATTCCAAAACCTTGCTTTTTATTACATTCCCCCAATTATTGTTAATACTCTACTTATACTTAAATTTATAAATTACAAATCTACTTTAGATTTATTATCAAATTTTAAAACTAATGATTTATTACAAATCGAATATAAATCAATATTTATATAAAATTAAATATTCATTTTTAAATCTATCTCAGAAAATTATTTATGTTATAAAAATAAAAAGAAATTTCAAAAGGAAATTTTGTTAGATATTATTTAAATTATTTTATAATGATTTAAAATATTGTAAATTATCAAAGACTCTTTGCTTATGATAATTTTTATGAATAAATAAATTTGAATTTACTAATTTTATTTTTCTGATAAAAAATTTATTTGATTAATTATCTATACAGAGCTGTTTTCACATTAATTTAATTCGTTTTTAATTAATGAGATTTGTACATATCTGCTTAATTCTTTTAATAACAAATGCTACAAAATTTTTAGATGAAACCCCAGTTTTTGAAGAGTAGGCAGAAGTTTAAATTAAATATGATGAACCAAAATCACTATTCACAGAAGAATAATTTGCTTAAAATACAGAGTTCTATTAAAATAAGAATGAACCCTTTGATTACTAATCTGAATAGATCTCACCATTATCAACTGTTGATTAATAACAAATTTTATTAGCTTATGAAAAGGATCTCTAACCTGAAGGTGACTGTGTAATTTTATATGCTGAATGTGAATTTAAAGGAACATCTAAAAAAGTATGCAATGGTGCAGAAGAAGTAATGAGCTTCTCACTTCCTGTATTTTCTATTTATATACCTGAATTGTAAATAAACTATCTATTTTTAGAGAACAATTTTCAACAATCGATATAAATAGTAATACTTAAGTTACATTTTTAACAAGCGATAAATGTTTAGAACAACCAATCGTGATGGCTGATACTTAATTAGATTTTTTTATAGCAAAATCAATGTAAAATTGGATAGGATAAAGCACAGGTATTAAATTGTAAATTTATAAAAGGAATAACTCAATTTATGTAATAAGAATAGGTGATAGAGTCAGATAATACAGATGTATAAGTTGAATAATAAGAAACTGTAGATTAATAATAAGATTAATAGGCATAAGAATCATAGGATGGAAATGTTGAGTAGCAAAATGATTAATAAATTGAATAATAAAATGAATAAGTTATTGAACAATAAGTTGAATAATAACCTGAATAATAATAATAATAAGATGAATAATAATAATAATAAGATGAATAATAATAATAATAAGATGAATAATAAACAACAGAATAATAATAAGAGACAGAAGTTTAAGAACAATAATCTGTACAGAACGAATAACAATCTGATTCATAAAATCAAGAATCTTAATAAGACTAACAAGAATAAATTAATAATGCATAATTGCCAGAATAAGATAACTAATCTGAAAATTAAGAGGAGCAATAATAAGAGGATACAACTATTGAATAAAATTAAGATAATGATACATAAAATACAGATCAACCTCAAGATTAAGTTCAATAATAAACAGAAGGAGAAACATAAAATCAATAATAAGAATAATAAAATGAAGAATTATAGGAAAAATAATTAGATGAAATTGTGGAGACTGTTGAATAAGTTGTAGAATAAGTCTAAGAAAAACAATAGGCTGAATTGGAGGTTGAAAATTAATAATTATAAAAAGAGGAATCATAAGAACAATAATAGACTGAATAAACAGAATAATCTGTTGATGATTTACCATAAAATTAAGAAACAGAATAATAGTATACTAAAACTGAAACAGCAGAACCACTTGTGGGATAATCATAATATACAAAATGATTGTAATCATTATTAAATATAAAATCTTTTATTAACAGAAATCATTTCTAAAATAATTATTTATATAATAAATTATTTTGATATAAATTTATTATTTAAATATTTATAATTAGATAAATATTCTTTACTCTTATTATTGAATTTTTCATTAAAAAAAAAGAACTATTATTTTATCATTAATATAATTATGATTGAAGATAAAAATTAAATATCTTCAATTTTGATGATCTTTAACAAGTTAAAGTCCCTACTAAATAATCTCTTATAACTCTTCATCATTATCAAACAAATCAAATATATCTGATATTTCAAATTAAGTAGGATCAATAATCATTCCTATGTTTATTAAAATAAAGTATACCTACTATATGTCTTATTGTATTTTAATCCTTAACAACCTTCAGTACTTCATGAAATAATAATGCTCCTAATATATTTCTTTAATCTGATTCTGATAAACTTAAGAAATTTTACATTTAAGCTTTAACTATATCTATACTATGAAATTTTTATATTTAAGTTTATATATTTGGAACTACTTATTATAATTTAGATTAATTTTATCTATCATAATTGTGAGGTTTTTATAATTCTGGGATGAATTGATTTTAAATCATAGGTCTATATAACAACTTTTTTTTTTTAATTTATAAATATTCCTCTCTCAAATTTTTTGATAAGAATACACATATTTTTATCAAACCATTTTTAAAAATATGATTTGCTTTTTAAGAATTACTTCTGTCATAAATTTATGATAATGCACATCTAGCATCATTAACTGTTTGATATAGAACAATACAATCTTAAAGTTTTGAAAATTTTTTTTTACTTTACTTCATAATTAAAGATATGATTATTCCAAATTGTGATAAAAACTCTTTCATATCATTTTCATTTATGTAGCCATTAATATTTTAAACATAGAGTTACCTTTCTTCAAAATTTTATTGGATATTCTATTTCAAATTAAAATAAAAATTTTCACTTGCTCCACTGAAGATATCAATTTTATTATCGGCTATTAATTCATAAATAGAAATAATTTCCTATAATGATAGCTAAATATCTGAAATATTCCCTAGTTTTTAATGATTTTCTTTAATCAATTGAATTGCATTATGTATATTTGATTAAATACATGGATGAATTCTAGTGTTTTCACAGATATTATAATTTTCCTTTGCTTTTTCTGGTAATTCAAATTGTATCATAGCCCAAGGTTATCTTGTGTTCTTATCAATTTTTACATAGCAATCTTAGAAATAAGTATTTTATAATTTTGAAAAATAATCCTTTATTATAAGTTACCATCCATATTCAATAGCAATTATAACTTTTTCATTTTAAAATAAATTTTGAGGGATTGGTTATGAAAATCCTCTTAGATATAATTCATTTGATTCTTTTGTTCTTTCTTATGGTGATTTAAACAATTCAAATTATATTTAATTCCCTTAATAATAAAATAAACTCTTATTCATTTATTCAAGAAAAAGCTTAGCTTCTGCCTTTTATTAAAATTAGACATATCCATAACTTTAGAATATATATATATTTATTATACTTTAAATAATTCCCTTATTAATCTCTACGAATTTCTATTGAAAGAATATTCCCATATTTAGAGAATTCTATTTCTAATTCTTCAGCCTTAGCAGAATTTGGAAGATTTTTCATAAATATATTAGCATTTTTCTCAGCATCATTTTTATTAAAATAAGGTTTAATTCTGATAATGTTATTTATTAGTTTCTAATTATCTAAAGTTAATCTTGCTTTATTAGCTGAAGAGGCATCTGAAAATGTAATTAAAGCCTATCCATATGATTTATTAGTATGCTTATCTTTCTTGATTTTTATTCTATCTATGTCCCCAAATTATTTAAATTAGTGAAACAAATAATCTTCCGTAATTCCCTAATTAACAGTTAAATAGCTTACCTTATCCAAATTTAATAAAAAAATTGTATTTTTAGAAAATTAAACTTTTTATTCAATAGGCATACTTATTTTGGCATTTTACATAAAATTATAATTTATAATTTAAATAATTATTTTAAGTAAATCAGATTCTTAATTCTTTAATATGATTCGATAATTATAATTCTCTTTAATTTATTATATTCTTATCAAAGTAATCGAATTAAACAATTATATTTTAAATTAATATCCAATATAATTATAGTATTGAAATAAGTCTAATAAGATAATTATAATAATATTATAAGGTTATAAAGGATTAATATAAATAATAGAAAAAAAATGAAAATAATATTTATAATAATTTGTCAATTATTTAGAAACAAAATATCCAATTATTTAAGTTTATATGAAAGAATTTTATAACTGCATTCAATTTGATCTCAATAAAATAATAAGAATAAAGCAATAAGAATAAAGCTCTATAAAATCATTTGAAGATTTAAAAAATATCATAAAAATTCTGATTTTAGTGCATTAGAGGATTCTCTTCCTTTAAAAAAAGGCAAGAATACTATGAAATACTTAGAGAAAAAGAATGAAAATTGAGCATAATAAAAATTGTCAAAAAAGATTAAATATAATATAAGAATGATTAAAGATATATTGGGCAAGTGAATATTCTAGAACATTAGAAAGAACTGATAAAGTATGCATTTATTATATTTGATTATAAAAATTTCTTATTAAATTGATTATAGTAAGGTTGAATAATTTTATGGATTTAAATAGAAGAAAATAAATAATATAGTATTAAAAGCTTAAATAAAGTTGAACAGTAAAAAGGCAAGGAAAATATAAGAACAAATCAATATAATGACTGAATAAGTATTAAAATATAGCAGAGTAAATTGATAAAAATGTATTCAACAATAAATATAGTATGATTTCATTAATAAAAAGCATAAAGAGATTTGATTATTAAAGAAATAAATAATGATTTTGAATATATTATTAAATATGATTGGGATCAACTTTTTTTATCTAAATTCTCAAATTTACACCAGGATGATCCTGTTTCAATAGATTCTAACTAATAAATATATATATAAAGTACTTCATCAGATATTTCTTATTCAGTATGTCCACTTCTTAAGACACTAGTCCAAAAATTTAACCATTCTTCTTCAGATATTGTTCCACTATTATCAGTATCGACTGATTTGAATAACTCTTCAGTATTGAGTTTTGCAAAATTGCTTTTCCTGCAGTTGTAAAGTAAAAGTGTTACCAATATTTAATTGTTTCTGTTTTTTCAATAGACTTAGAACCATCTACATCGAATTTAGCAAATAATTTAAGGACTCTTTCCCTCATTTATGGAGATAACTAAATTACAAATTAAGTTATACTTCTTTTCCTTGAGTGTTCCCCATTATTAATGTATGATATTTTTAATTATTATTATTATTAATAATGTTTTGGTCTTGATAAATATGAGAAATTATCCTGTTTGAGTAAATAATTGAGCACTAACATACATATTATATATAATAGTCAAAGTTTGGATCTTAAGAAAGCTTTAAGTTGGTCGATTTAAATTGGTTTAACTAAATAACCATCCATTCCATTTTGTAATGCCAATTATTCCTCTTCTTTCTTTGAATATGCTGAACATCCTATTATTTGTATTTTTGGAAATTATTTCTTTAATATTAGAGTAGTTTAAATTCCATTCATTGTAGGCATATCAATATCCATAAAGATTAAATCATACCCATTACAATTCTTGCATCTATTCATTTTTACCATCTGGATTGCAGTATATCCATCAAGAGTGCAATCAAATTAAATAGAAGGGCTTATTTTCATTAATAGAAATTTAAGCACTTCTATATTAAATGCATTATCATCAACAACCAAAATACTAACACATCTACATTTACTTTCACGCTAACTCTTTATATTATTATATCTCCATAAACTCTATCTTCTTTCAGGACTTTCTTCATCTATTTCATCTAACTCTTCTTTTATCTCTGTGTCTTATACATTTTTAGATATATAAAACCAAAATGAAGATCCATTTTGATATTCTGATTAAAACTACAATCCTTTGTCATTTTTACTTAAATTTCTTGCTATCATATTACTTATTAATAATCCTAATCCAACACCTTAAGGATTAAGTCTTTTGCTTTCTTTATCATCTACTTTAGAAAAAGCTTACATTAAATTCTCCTTATGTTCCTCCTTTATTCCTTAACCAGTATCATGAATTTCTAATTTAATTGAATTATTTAAATAATTTGATACTCTTATTTCTATCTACCCTTGCAAAGTAAATTTAAAAGCATTTCCTAATAGATTTATAATTATTTATCTTATTCTATTAGGATCATTATTCAGTAATCTTGGAGCACTCTTTCTATAAATTAATGATAATTTTATTTTTTTTAAACTTGCTTCTAATCTAAATAATTCTAAACATTCTTCTATTAATTTTTATAAATCCATTTCAATAGGAGAAATTGAAAATTTACCTGCTTTTAATTAAGCAAAATCTAACAAATCATTTGATAAATTCAATAAATATTTACAATTTGATAAAGCAATTTTTAAGTATTTGCTTTATAAATTTACATCTTTTTCTTCTTACAAAGCAGATATAAATTATATAATTGAATTTAAAGGTGTTCTATATTCATGACTTACAAATGATATGATATTTGATTTTGCTTAATATGATTTCTTCACCAAACTTATGTAATCTCTATGAGTTACATCTCTTATTTATAATAGAATCATCAATTTCTCATCTACCAAGGTTGCATGAGCATTTATTTCAAGTAATCTCTTTTTTTCTGGCTATTCTAAATCAACACAACATGTATTTTCATACCATTTTGCTAAATAACTACCTACATATATTGTATTATGAGGACTACTTTTAAGGATTTGGAAGAATCTCTTATTTGGTTATATACTACTTAAATCGCTTAGTATTTGCTACAGTAAAAAAATCAAATACATTAATATCATGATGATCTTCTTTTATTTATTTCGGATTATTTATTTTGTATTATTAGAAAGATTATTGAAAACTATGAAAAGAAGGCAGAGAATCTCTAGGATCTCTTGTTTCACTTTTATTCTATGTAGATACTATATCAGTCAATTATTCTAAACAACTTCGAAAATTTGACATATCACTTATCTTAAATAATTCTAATGTAGCAGCATTACAAAAGTGAACTGTCAAATTTTATGCCGTAAGCAATACTAATGAATCTGGAATTAAATTAAAAAAGTGAAAGCATTCTTATAATTCTTATTATTATATTAAATTAGTCGAAGAATGAAATTATTATTATCTTTTATACTCAGGTGTTGGAACTATATTTTAAATAGATTTTTCTTATGATTTTTTAAATATATAAGACTACTAAACATCCACTTCATTTTCTTATTTATATACCCAATCAGTATATAAAGAAAACAACAATAAAATAAGACCAGCTCCAAATATATAACAATCTATTTAATTCCATTCACTAATCCTTACTAAGCTATAAAAGTTAATAACCATCGCAATTTTATTCCATTTACAATCATTAATTCTTACTTGTCCAATTTGAATGCATATGAAATATAAGTAAAAAACACTAATCTTATTTAATTAAACTCCGCATTCTATGAAAAATACACTCTAACATATTGTGTAAATTATTTTCATTCCTAATTATCTTTTTTAATCCCAAAATTTAGAAAGGAATGCGAAAAATTACAAAATACCCATCAAACATAGTAGGATTATCATCAGTCTCAATTAAAAATCGAAGAGTGGTATAAGAATCAAAGGAAGCAATCCTTCAAGAAGCACTTTTATTTTCATTATAAATATATAAATATATATTTAACTTTCAATCAGCTACTTAAATTAGAAAACGTAATCAATTTTTTTGAAAACTATATTTAATAATTGATGAATTATTTGAACCTTTTAGAAAACTACTCTATTTATTTATTATCTACATTGGGTGTTAAAAAATAAAAATGTACAAATGAAAACATTAACAACACTTTATTCAACTATTTATTTGCCTTAAAATTAAATTTATATATTATCTATTATAGTAAAATAAGGTAATAGTTATATTTAGAATGATATTTACAATTTTTTTATGTACAATGAATATTTGCTTGGGTATGATTTAATATTTTAATATAAATAAAATAGGTATATTTTCAATATCAAAACTAAAATTAATAAAATTCGAAAAAAAATAATGCATACTAGAATTTTTTTATTATTTCATCATTTTTTATAATAGTTCTTTATGGTTTGATAGAATAGTAGAAGAATAAAAAATAATTACTTAACCATAAATGAATTTTAAAACTAGAAAAATTTAACAGTTTGTAAGAGGCATTTCTTGCAGAATTAAAAAGAAAAGGTTTAATCTTAAAATTTTTGAGTTAATTCTTAATATTTACTTTAAGAAAGGAAATTGTAGAATGTGAAAGTATGCTTATAAGAATAATATTTAATTAAAAATAAAATCTAACGTATATGAGTTAGGCAGAATAACAAGAATTCAATTATGATAACTAATATCTGGATGTATTTGGATGCATGCATAACATAAGAATCACATTTTCAGGGAAATTGATTTGTTAGTAATGCGGAATATTTATTAACAATGTAATTTATTCGATTAATGCATAAAGTCATCAACAAGAGTGTACAAGACAATAAAGATGAGATATAATGCTTTTTTTAATCCGACAAACATATTGAATAATGCATTGAGTTCTCAAATGATATAGTAACATTAAATAAACCGATAGCCATTTATTGATTTTATTGAATAAGCATCAGAGAGATTGAATCTTAGTGCAAATACCTAATTTTTAGCAATAACTTATTTAGATCATTATTTCAATTAGCAAGGAATAAATGAAAAAGAAATATTTTTATATGCTGCAACTGCTTTAATGTTGGCAGCTAAAGCATAAGAAATAGATGAAAAGATTCCATTTATAAGTAAATTGAAGAGATATTCCTCTATGACATCTCATCCTGAAATAAACAACTACACAACCTAAGAATTTAGGAATGCAGAGAAGTCTATTATTTAATCGCTTGATTGGAAATTACAAAGAGTCACTTTATTAGATCGTATAGAAACTTTGCTTTCTTTTGGAGTTATTGATGATGATGATAGTCTTGCTCAATAACCTGTATCATAACAAAAGGAAAACTAAGAATAATAATAATAATAATAATAATAACAATAATAAGTACATATTAAATTAAGAGATTTAAATGTAACTTAAATATAGAATTATGTCAAAGAAGTTGAAAATAAATATATCGAAATTGCTTTCACTGTTCTTAGAGGTATATTTGAATATTTATTTAGATGATTAAATTTATTTCTCAAATGATTAGTCAATTTTAGCTTCATCATGTGTTGCTTACTTAAGAAAAAAGGCTGGATTATTAAATATTTGGTCTTAATAATTATAGGCTTTAACTGGAGAATCTACATAAAAATTATCATCAACTGTTTCTTAAATTATGACTCTAACTCCAAAAAACAAAGTTTAAAGTGTTCCTAAACCTTTAATCACTATATAGTCTAGTTCTTATTTATAAAATTTCTAGAACCCTCCTTCTCAAACAAGAACTTCCTAAGCCAAATATAGACCACAAATGTTTGACAAATAGTTAACTGGAGATATTTTACAATCATACAATACTACCACTAAAGCCTAAGTAAAAGTACCACTTTTTTAATCTCAATCGACTATGCAATTATCAAAAAATGATATAATGAAACCACATCATTTGAATTAAAGTAAATATACAAGTAGAAATGCTAATTTTCCTACTACTAATAACTATTCTTATTTATCTGACAATATTGTACCTCCTAATTCCTATATAAAACATGTAGATTTAGATAAAAAATATGAATAAGTTCATAAGGTTAGTGAAGCTAAATTTAGAACCAAAATATTCAATCAATGATAAATACTATTTTTTAATTACATAAAATTATTCATCATTTCATAAATTAAACATTGATTTTATAGCTTCACCTATAAATTTATATATGTAAATATATTGCTCTGAAGTATGAACCATTCCCCATCTTTATTCTCTTAATCGACGAACTATTCCAAAGATCGAGACTCTGTAAAGTTCTGGATTCTCTTCAAGTTCTAATACAAATTAACCAAATATTATTACTTTAGTTATCCTCTCCAATATGCTATTTGTATGCCTTTAATAAAATCATCAAATTAGCTAATGCTATTAATGTACCTGTACGACCTACTCCAGCACTAAAAATAAGAGAAAGAAATTACCTGCAATGGAAAACTACTTTTTAATCTGACAAGAGTTTCTCATGAATTATATTCAATAATTCTCTCATAACATCAAAATCACTAGGGGAAGGAACTCCTTAATCAGGCCAACCACACCATTAGATTTGAACAACAGTCTTTTCTTCTTATTCTTAAATTAGTTTAACAACTCTTTTGATGATATTATTTCCAAGATCATCTTAATTCATTAAATTAACTTAGACATTTCCACATTGGATAGATTCTCCAACATTTTTTGGCCAATATTATTCACATTATGTCTAGATTATATAAAATGGGATTACTCTTTAGTTCTCTCTTAAATTACAAAGCATCACAATCATACTGATATCTTCTTAAATAATCATTCTCCAGAAATGGGAAAAGGTTTAATTCAAAGGTCCCTGAGTAGCAATAATCATTTTCTCCTTACCATTAATAAGCTGTAGATACTATAAAAATATCATTAATACATTTATAAAATTTGCATTTATATAAGTGTCTTTAAGATTGTCTTCGTCATCTCCTTCCTATTTGAGTTTAACAATTGAATGTTTGACTGTATATAAAATTATTTATATACATGGTATTATGTTATTATATCTATTCAATTTCTAGATATCAGGATAAAAATCATGTAGGTTCTCATTGTGATATTATGTTTCTGTTAATCTACGTTATAACTATTTTAAAAATTAAATATACTCTAAATTCCATTTCTAAATCTCTTTTTAGCATTTCTTAATTGAAATATAAGATTGATATTCCTTTTTCAATTGCGACTAATTCAGGATTGCCCTTTAACCATTCATAAGAATAATCATTATTAGATTCTTTGCCTTCAACCACATATCCCTGCATTATTTTATTTAATAAATTCAATCAAAATGAGACCTGGAGAAATTTTTCAAAAGTTTATAAGTTAAACTTAAGATTTTATTCCTCAAAAGAATTAATCTTACACACTTTAGGAGGATCTCAAAATAATTCTAGCGCTTAAAGATATTGACATTGTTCAATCTAAAAATTTTAAAGAAATTGAAGAGAATTAAACAGTAAAAAGAACTTACAATTCAATAAAAAATAGGTAGAAATAAAACTTATAATAGATATATGGATTATCTTTAGTGCTTAACTGAATAAAATATGGAATAAATAGCATAACATTTAAATTAACAAGGATTGGTAGGATATATGTTATTTAGTAACACTTAACCTAGGGAATTCATAAAAATAGTTAATTTAGATCCTAAAATGATGGAAAAAGAAAAAAAGAAATTGGATGAAGAACTAGATATAAATAAAATATAAAAAGGTAAAATTGAACATAGAAAATCAAATGATCCTACATTCCCTAAAAATGATTTTGATAAGTTTTCTATTGAAGATTTGGATCAAGTTTTTAGTCTTTTAGCTGATTATAAAGGAGTTCCTAAAGCATATTTAGTTGAAAGATTACATTAATTAAGTGGAAATTTTGAAGACTTAGATGGATTTTTAAAAACAAATGATGATACTTATTGTTTTTTAGAAGAAGAGGATCATCTGTTAAAAGAGGATCATAATAAAGAAAGTCCAGCTATTCGATTATTAATAAGAAAGAAAGGCATTTCAAGAGTTTAAAGAAGATTAAAATACTTAGGGAAATGATTATTAAAATTATTTAAGATGAATATTATAATTTAAATTTTAAATTTATTAATAAGGTGGCATTTTGTTGTATTTATTTTTTATTAAATGAACAACAATTTTTTGTAAATCAATAATATATTATATAAATAAAAAATGTAATAAAAGAGAAATCAAGAATAGTTGAGAAATGCCTTATAATAATAACTATTTCCAAAAATGTAGAAAAAGATTGAATACTCTAGAGTGAAACCTAAAAGGTATTATAAATGTCTGATAAAATAAGGGCAATAAGAATTGAAGATGGCAATAATAAAATTCTTAACGCATCTCCTTAAATTGAATAGATGGAGTTTGATTTCTAAACAAAATACAGATTAGGAGAGAGAATAGGATAAGGAGCTCATGGATTAGTGAAATAAGCTATAAAGGAAGATACAGGGGATATAGTGGCAGTCAAGATTTCTAGTAGTGGAGATCCTGAATTAGTTAAGACTTTTACTGAAGCATACAAAAATGCAAGAATATTGGATCACTAATATATAATTAAAGTATATGAGTGTTTCATTGATGAATAATCAGAAACTCTATTTTTAGTTATGGAATACTCGAATTTACGTTCATTAGAAGAATTAATGCGTCATTCTAAATTAACGTATTTGTATTTACGTCAATTAGAGAAGAATAAATCAAGATTTTAATTAGACATATTCTATTTGCATTGTAACATATTCATGAAAGAGGAGTTGCACATAGAGATCTCAAACCAGATAATATATTAATTGATTAAAATTCATTAGCTATTAAAATTATAGATTTTGGAGTTAGTAGAAGATTTAAAAAATATAATGGTAGAGAATTCATTGATGTGGATATGTGGACAAGAACTGGAAATGTATATTATACAGCTCCTGAAATTCTAATTGGAGGTGGTTATAATGAAAAAGTAGATCTTTGGTCTTTAGGTGTGTGCTTATATCGTATCTTGTCTGGAAGCTTTCCTTTCTTTAAGGATAGTGTCTTAGGAACAACTAAGATGATTTTAAAAGGAAAATTCTAGTTACATCATAGTATTTCGCTATTAGCTTGCGATTTAATTAAGAGACTTCTTAATCCAAGTCCAGATCAAAGACTATCTGCCAAATGTATTTTTAGAGATTCACATCATAGTGGCCTTGCAGCATCCTTGGTTGTATCATCAACAAATTGATCCCTTCTCTTTCAAAAGTAATTAAAATCATCAAACCAATTTCAGAACTAGTGATGATATTAAGGACTTTAATTAAAATGAAACCAAAAACTCTTATTATTGTAGAAATCTGCATATGAGAAGCAATACATTGACAAAAAGTCCTGTTACCCAGCATGATCGTTAAGTATCACCTAAATCGCCCCTTGAAATCTTGAAAAATGATATTGATGGAGAAATTTAACAATCGCCATTGATTAAATTAAAAAAAATTCAAAATGAAATGAACAAAGAAATCAACATAATAAAAAGAAATAATTAATTTGAATAAGGCTTTTATAGATTTAAAATGATAAATTAAAATGAAAATTGAAATCTTATACAAGATCATTAATGATTAATAACTGTTTATAATTATTATATGTAAATTATATATTCCTTCAACTTTTATAATTATATATCTATCCCAATCAAATATTAAAGTATTCCTCAGTAAAAATATTTAATGATATCAAATAAGTAATTAGGGGCCTTCATTAAATAATACTAAAATCAAGCAAGAATAAATAGATGATGTTAAAAATTAGTTCATTAGAATTATCAAATTTATATTCTAAAATTAAAATAGTTTTTTAAATAAACATATAAGCAATTACTTTCAAGAAACTCTTTATTCATTTGATAATAAAAAAGATTTAAAGCTTTCCTTAGACTTTAAATTTGAATTTCATATTTGCTATAACAATTTACGAGAATGGAGAATTTCAAGAGATTAAGTGGAAAAAATTCAGTAATTAAAAATAATTTTGTGTTACTTAGTTTATTTATTACTTTGCTTATTATACTTAATTGATTTGTAAGGAGAGTTAATAAAAATATAAATTGGTATTACAATCTCATAGATTCTTTGAAATAGAATAAATTAATATATTTATATTTTATAAATGTAAATGATATTTAGTATCTAAAAAATCTTTTTATAGAATTGTATGATAACCTATGATATGATTTGAATGTATATTCATCACGTATTTTATTCTATAAATACATATAGAATAAATTGAATTTTAAGCCTTGTAAAGTATTTTGTTAAATATTAATTAAATAAATATGGGAAATGATTAAAGAAAGCCTGAGGCCCCTAAGCCTTCAATAGATGATGCAATTTTGGATATGAAATTGGCATCAAAAAGATTTGCAAATGAATCAAAGAAATGTGAAAAGGAGAAAGATAAATTAATGAATTAGGCGAAAATAGCCTTATCGAAAAACAATGAGGAAGGTAAAAAGATAATGAATACAATATAGGTGCAAAACTATTTTTAACATCAGCTATGAATAAATAAAAAGAAGCTGAAAGTTTGTAGAAGATGGCACATAAGATGGATTATATGCAAGGTATAATAAAGAATAGTACAAATTAAACAAAAACAGTTGAAGCATTAGCAAAAATAAGTCCAATAATGCATTAATAAGTATATATTTATTATTAATTAGGTTTAAAACATGCCTTTAGAGATGGTTTATTAAAATATTAATTAATTTGAAAAAGCAATGGATGAAATGTAAGTGTAAGGAAACATAATGACAGGAATGCTTAACCAAAATAATAATGTTGGTTAGGATCTTGCAGTAGAATAAATGATGGGATAATTAAAATAAGAATTACACAGTGAAGTAAATCATAATGTTAATTTTAGGTGGCTAACGATTTAAATGCAAATCCCAATGTTCTTTTTAAAGAATTAAATTAATAAAACCAATAATAAAATGCCTAAGCAATTAGTAATAACTAAATTAAATGATTTTATGAAGATTTGTATATTGAATATATTGGACTTCATAATCAAAAGACCTCTTCTCTAATTTAGAGGAATTCTGATGCAGCACTCATTTTTTAAGTGAGAACTTCTTATAATCTTTCAACAACTTCTAATTATTATTCTCTTTCGAAAGTTTAAGCTTCATATTAAGCTTCTTATTCAGCAGCCCATCTTTATTAAATAGCTAATGAATCTTCAGCATCTTCAAGGAATAGCTATAAAATAATAAATATAAATAATTACAGTTTGATCTTCTAAATCTTCAACAGCTTCTTAAATGGTAACTTTGAATTAAACAATAGAGTTTTCTAAGAAAGCTTTTCTTTCTACTAATCTCTTGTGTTCCTCTTACAAATGAGAACTTTAAACTTCCCAATTAGCAGCTTATCTTTCTTCAGTAGCAAGTAATGAAGCTCTACTGGCAACCAATTATTATCTAATTTATGCTAAGAGTTCTAAAATTTTGATGATACTCTTGTTATCAACCTTAGAAGCTAATTAAGTCAATGCATTAATAAGTGGCTATTATTAATAATTAAAAAAAATACTTTGAAGAGTGCATGTTTAGATTCCATCAATTTAGCTTAAACTTTTTCAAATCTACTTTTAAGTTAAGCAAAGGCTACACCAGCTTATAAATGTTAAACAATTTTAGAAGCTTCATCAATAGCATCCATTTAATCAACATGTTCTGCATCTTTTCTAACCCATGTTTCATGTTATGATTATCTTGTTGCAGATTCATCAGCAAAGCTCTTTTCATTATTAGCAATATCTTAAGTAACAACTCTAACTTCAACTTCTGCTTCACCTAATGCATCAGTAGTTTAATCTCTCAAATTTGAAAGAGCAACAATTTAGGTTTAATGATAAGCTATTTCTTGTTCTAAATCAGCAATTATCTATATAAAAATTAATTTATATATAAACCTTTTCAAAAGCTACTGTATCACTTTCGTGAACCTTGTCAGCTTTCTTTTAATCTCCATTAAGTTGGGAAGCAATATTATTTAAGAGAATTTGGATTTCACCTACAGGTCCACCTGTTGCCAATTATAGTTAAAGGACTGACAACACTGAATTTCCAAATGAATCTTTGTTAATTTATGCCAACACTTCTTTTGGGCTCTCTGTCTTTGTTACTCTAGCAGTAGCAACTGCAAGGATAAGAGTCAATACAGGTATGATTCTCATGTTATTAATATTAATGAAATGAAATCATAATCACATTCCAATGCATTAAAAAATACCCGTTTTTCGATTTATTTCCACATCCTCATTAATACGTTTTTCTTTTTAATTAAAAACTCATTCAACTTATAATCTCTAATCAAGTTCATCTCATCAAGATTGTTAGAACTATTATAATCAATATTCCATAAATATCACCTATTCCTTATCATTTCTTTTTTAAATCTTAAACTAGTTATAATTCCTACTCATCTAAAAAAATACTTACAATCAAACTCCACTCTTTAAATAATCACTTTCATTAATACTCTTATTCAGCATATATATTCTCAATATTAGAGATTGATATTACTACAATATCTATAAATCCATTATTTTATATCAATTACTTTTCTATTTTTAACTCTATATTAGTTCAGTGTTCTATCGATAAATCTTTGTGTATCTTATACGTTACAATAAATTAAAAGATTTACCAAGATATGGATACTTTCCTTCCAATTATCCAATCTATTACCAATTTCAAAATAATACTATTTCTAGGTATACTTTTTTCATTTGCATTCCTATCTCTTTATCATTTTATTAGGTTTTAACATTTTTATATAATATCTTGAATCCTAATATTTCAAATAGTCACTTTCAATTTAAGTCTCATTTTCTATTTTTCACAACCATTATTATATAATTAGTGATATTTGTTAACTATTTTTATTTATAATTATTAATTTAAAAATTATGCATTGTACTAATTTGATATTGATGCAAAAAATCTCAAGTTTCTTTTTGAATTTAAAATTTTTTTAAGAAATCAACTACTAAACTAAAAATTATCTATCACAATTAAGATCTTATTTTTCACTATTAAAACTGCTATATATAACTTAATATATATGCTAATTTTTAATATAATTAATTTTCAAAATTTCATCAACCAAAACCAAAAATTATGGAATATTAATTTAGAAAATGTTTTAAAGATGTAAATCTATTTACTAATATAATCATAATTTATAGTTACAATGAATTAAAATTAAATAGATTTGAATAATATTATAAGACTTTAATTTTATAGGTGTGAAACAATGTGAACATCAAGGTATTTCTGAAAAAATTACTTAGTTTAGATGGTTGAATTGCAAGTAAATATTAATTTTTAATGAAAAATGGTTAAAACTAGGAATGAAATTATCAAAAATTTAGAATGATCAGCTGATTTTCAACAAAAAAGATCTTAGTAATTGAAAATTTGAAAAATTACATAAGATAGAAAATAAATTAAAAAGTCACGGTAGCAATAAATTTGTTTTTGGATTGATTTAATGAACAACTAGAAAGTTGATAATTTAGAAGAATATAAAATTGTTAAATTTGAAACCTGATAAAATATAAATACCTTATGGAAAGCAATTGAAAAAAACATTATAACATATGATAAAATAACTAAAACGAATTGATTTGGATTTGAAAAAGTGAAAAAAATTGTTTATTTATATATTATTAAGATTTATTAGATTATTGATTTTTTTGAGGACATAATAGACGCATATGATCAAAATGTACTTCAATATTTAGTCTAATATAATTTAATTAATAATAATAAATTTTGACAAATAAAAATGTCATAAAATGATGACGGGTAACTTCCTGAACTTCAAAGAGAAATTTAAGAGTGCTTGTACGTACTTGAACATATATAAAAAACACCCTATCCATACCCCAATTCAATCTTATAGCTATATTAAGATTTGAATAAATAATTAAAAAAATTATTCAAAAAATCGCAAAGGTTATAGGAGTAGAGCATTATTCCAAATAGTTAAGGTGCCTTAAAGTATTGTGATAGCTCTTTGGAACTCTAATCAATAATTTACAATAATGAAGTGCAATAGGTTGGTTTACTCAATCAAAAAGATATTGAAAAAAAGCAACATAATTTGAAGTCTATGTATACTGATGCAAAAGAACATCCATATCTAGATGAGAAAAAAAAAAAAGGAAGAAGATTAAAGTGAAAATCGATTTAGCTGTTTATAAAATTATTAATATAATTTCAAATGTAAATTATTGAGGTTTTAAAATAAAAACCTTCCAAAAATCAAAAACAAATCATTCTTAACTATTAGAACATTAGGGAGATAGGTTATCATAATTCTTTCAACTTTATTACAACTTTGTGTTTATCTCATAATTGTATTTAGCATTTAGACGGAATTGATTAATTTGTTCAGTTAACAACGCTCTCCCTACATCACAATCTTATACAAAGTGTTAATGAGCTCAACAAAATTAAGCAACCACATCTACTTAAATTACTCAACATTCATCATAATCCATTTACTGTTAATCCAACCTATTCAACTGTTATTTTGTAAAAGTTTTGTTATTTGGAACAACTTGACAACCAAAAATTAAATAAGCAATATTATTAATAATATTTTCATTGGATTAAATGTATAGGATAATTACTTATTCCTTTTTTAAATGAAAATTGTGTATCAGAACAATTAGTTAGTTAATTACATATTGAATTAAAAAAATACGAAATTTGCATTTTCAAAATTAACTCTATCATATATACTCATCTAATAAATTATCATTATTCAAATGATCATAATTACTAATCTCTTTATTAATCTGGAGAGTTAATATTTTCAAAACTATTAAATATTTTAATTGATAACCAAAAAAATAATGATCTCTAAATGTGTTTGATTAATTAAGCTTTATAAGATCAGGAGATAGATTTATTTGAATTTTAATCAAATAACGAATATAAATAAAAATGTTTATATTTGAATTTTTTACAATTAAATGACATTAGTTTCAAGGAATAATAATTTTGTTTTCCTTATTTCCCTTTAAGCTTTGATTATGTTAAATCAATCGTAGAAATAATTAAATTATAATATAAAAGGTAAAATAAATATGTAAATACAAAATTCCAATAGACATCAATGTAATCCTATCGCTAAAATAGTGTAAGCAATCAAGAAAATAATTTATAGTCTATCACAAAAACTAAATCAAGCTAATCAATTGGAAAGATAAAAAATAATACAAATAAATCCATTTTGACTTCTTTAAGTTAGCTAAGTTATAGAATTAATTTGAACTCTCTTTCAATATTTATTAGATTGTTAAATAATTTCACAAATAAGCAGAAAATGCGTCAAAAATAATCAGTATTTGAAATAATTAGAAAAAGCAACAGAATTCATAATATTTTTGATAATATTATGAAGAATAGATAATTAATCTTTATGAAATTAGGTTTTTAAAAACTGAAATAAATAGTAGGCATATATATTCTAACTAAAATTACATCTTCTATTCTCTATGATATATAGGATCAAACATTTTCTATAATTGTTAGACTAAGAAATTTATATGAAACAAAATAGCTTGAAAAAAGCCTTTAACACTTTTCAATTTAAAGGAAAAGATTATTCTTCTCAATGTTGTTATTTAATTAATAATTAATGGTTAAATAAAAATCATCATTAGATAATTTAATAAAAAAATAGAGAAAAGAGCCATTAAGAGAGCATTTTTAAAGGTGGAAAATTTATACAATAAGTGAATAATTTTATGATTAAATCTTTCAATAAAAAAGTAATGAAATAAAATCTTTAGCTTCAATTTCTACTAAAGATCATAATTACATAAAGAACCCCAATAAATCAATTTAAATTTAAGAGAGTAAATCTACGATTTAATAAGGAGAAGTTAAAGAATGTAAAAGAAATTCAGCCACATCAATAAATTAGCATTTACCTAATAATGGTACTAATATCTATTGTGAATATGTTGTCATAAATAAATTGAAGAAAAAAAAAAAAAAAAAGTCCAAAAAATCTAAATCCGAAAAAGAAAAAAAAATTAAATAAAGCAAGAAAAAATGTGGTATTTGTCGAGATTATTTAGACGAAAACGGTAATATCATAGAAAAGAGAGATAAATGATTATTAGTTATATTTTAATTTAGAATTAAAAATCATACTTTTTTCATCTAAAGATATCATTAAACTCTAGAATGGGCTCTTAAATTTATGTTATTTTTTAGTTCATCATTTTATTATTTGGTTTATCAACAAACATCTATAATCTGAATATTATCTTCAATGTTTTTGATTATATTTTAATTGTTATTTTTCACGTGGCCTTATTCAAATTGATTATTTGTTTTTATTTTTAAAATTTAAAACTCAATTTTTTAAGCTAATTAATCATAGAAATTTTAATCTTATTTTTAATCCTAATTATATTTGAGTTAGAAAAAGAAGAATTACTGCAAACAAAAATGACCTAAAAGTAATGTTATTCTATTCATTTACTGAATTTAAAAAATACTATTTGTAAAATCAAGCATCAATTTAATATATATCTTTTGAAGGAAAATTTATATGGATCCATCGTTATAATTTTAAAATAGTGAATTATTAATAAAACTCTTTTATTATAGCAATAGAACTACATTAATACTATCTCTTATGATTGTTCTATTTATTATTATTTATTAATTTTGATAATTATTAAAGTTATATTAAAATTTTAGAAGCGAAACTTTGGATGGCACCGTTTTGAATACCTTTTCAATACATTTTTTTTGATCTATCAAATTCAAAAATTGGAATAAATAAGTAAAAAATTCTTGACTTATTTTGATAAATAGAAAATCTTAAATTTATGTTTTTATAAAAATATAGTTCTCTAATATAAATGAAATTTTATATATAATTCACAGTTTTATTATTAAGAATTATTTAAAATTTTATTTATAGATTAAAGTTTCTGCGACTAGAAAAAATCATCAAAAGGAAACAAAAATTTTTCTCAAAATTATTATAAACATTTATAATTTTCCTAGGATTAAAATATACATACATATTACATGATATTAGGAGTAATAATCTTAAAATTAATTATGTAAATCTTTGAAAGTTTTTATGATATGATATCAGATATGTGGGGAGTTATGAAAATTGAATATTGCAGATTAATATAAGATTCGAATATTAAATCGAATGTTTTGAAAATCAATCGAAAAATTTTTGATTTTCTAAAAAGAAACTTAAATAGTTTACTTTAGTTATTTAACAATAAAATTATTAAAGATGAAATAAAGAAAAGTGCAATCACCTTAAGAGATTATTGCTTTTCTTAGATCCTTTAAGAATTACATTAAGAAACCTCATTCAATGAGTCCTTAAAGTCGATGTTAAACTAATGTTTAGACAGCCAAAAAGATGATGAAAAATGATCATCTACTGAAATCTCCAACTGAAAGAAAAGAGAATAATGAATTTCATTGTGACGGTATTGAGAAGAAGATTGAGAATTTGGCTAATTAGATCAAAGATTTGTAGTCAAAGTAGGAACAATTAGAAAATTAGCATTATTAATTGAGCAAGAGTGTCAAGAAGTTAAATTTAGATAAAAAGCACTAATTATAAGTAAGAGGGAGAAAAATTAATTTTAGGAGCGAAGTTAGATGATAAAAAAATTAGATCAAATGATTGATATCTAACTAAAATAAGAAGAAAACCTGAATTAATTTAAGTAATTATTTGCTTCTCGAAATATAATTAATTGACTTTTTTAGTTTTTCATTTTCCAATCACATTTATTGTCAAATTATATGAAACTTATTTGCAGGAAAAGTATATGTATATTTTTTTAATAAATGAATATATATTGAAGAATTTCATAATTTCATCATTTATTATTCTCAACAAACAAAATTACAATGAAAAAATAAAGTGAGAATGAGAAGATTGCTATTTATGCATCATAGATGATGAAATTGCATGGGAAAATCTTTGAGAAGAAAATAACAAAAGTGCCTTCGAAACAGTAATTTGAAAGTCAATCCCAAAATATCTCGAATAATAACAGCCCTGCGGTTGGAAGACAGAAGTCATATGAAAATTTATTGAAAGTAAATAGAACATTCATAAACCCAACACTTTAAGTATCATAACAAAAATTAAACAGCATTTTAAATGTGATGGCAGGCTAACAGATGAAACCTAAAAATTAAAGTTTATTTAACAATGAATTAATCGACACAGTGAAGATATCTCATAAATTAAGAAAGAATCAATCTATGATATAAATAGAACAATAATCACCTCAAGTAACAAAAAACTCATCTTTTCATCGTCCTAACTCAAGTGTGAAGATAAAGAATAGCAATAGTATTTCTAGTGATTAAACTTAAATTCAAAAGATAAAAGAAAAAATTAAAATGCTTTTGCAAGATAGAGAGAATAATTGGTAATAGGATTAAAAAGAAATGTCATTCATGATTAAATTTAACCAAGTTCTAAATCAATTATTGGGAATTATGTTTTAAGATTAACAAAATACATAGCCAGCTTCAACTTAAGAAACAAATTAAGCTCTTTAAATTGATCATTTCTTTAAGAGATAAATTCAGATTCTTTAACAATCCTTTTAACAATAAATGGAAAAGAAGAAAATTGAAAATATTCTCGTTTCACTAAAAAAGAAGCATGAAAGTCTTTTATCAGAGCATAATTCTTTAGTAGAAAATAAGAAGTCTCAAGATGAAATAATTATTAATTTATAATAATAAATAGATGGATTATAAACTTAGGTCAAAGAACATAACAATGTGAATTAGAATGCTTCTGGTAAAGCTATATTTTTAAAATAGAAATTTTGGAATTAAAGTATTTGGTGCAAGGATAATTCGAAGCAATACAAAAATTACTTTAAAGAGAGCAATTGACAAAGATCTTCTTAAAACGAGTTGGCGATAGTTCAATTATAGAGTAAATAATTTAGAATAAAGTAGAATGTTCGAATAATTTATCTCAAATGCAGAATAAGGAAATTAAGATGATACAGAAGGAAATTTAAATATTGACTTGAATCCAACAAACTAACCTCCTAATTTTAATAAACTATAAACTCCTAAATAGAAAAGAAATTCTCCAGATTAAAATGCTTACTCTACTTAAGTCTTATCATTATATGAGGATAATTATAAATAGTAACTAAACTTATGTGATTCATTATTGGCAGATGATTCAAGTATTCATAGACAAATCAGCATTAGGAATAAATGATTCTGAAGAAAGCAGTTTTGATTATATAGGAAAAGAATAAGCGACTGAAATAAGTTGTTACTTTAATCCAGCATCTCAATTTGTTTAGCCAAAAATTAAGAAAAAAAACAATTAGATTATTTCTAAAGAGAAATTGAAAATTAATATGATGGATGTGTTATTAGCACAAGCTGCGTATTATATTTTAAATTAATATAATGTAGTTAAAAACATTAAGAAATTTTGGAATAATAATAGTAATAGTAGAAAATCTTGCCAGAAGATATACTGGATGAAGATTAAAATAATCAAGACCAATCTGATGAGGAGGTATTTAAATCTAAGAATTTAGTATTGAAAATTTGAATAAGATCTATTTTTCCTCGTTCTATTATATATTATTAATACTTATTAATATATTATTAGAAGAGATTGAAAATCAAAATTCTTTTTAAAATCAGAGCCAATTTTTTAATTTGCCTTTAGTCCAAAAGCCTTTTTTGGCAACCCCTTCTTTGTATACAAATAAGCCTACTCCATCCTAAAGGCCATGTTTCCATTATCCTTTATATTTTCGACCGTCTGTATATTACATTTCTCCCTATCCATGTTTAATATCATCTTAATATTAGCCTATATATTTGCTTCCTTGGATATATTTATATAAAATAGAATATACCATCACCCCATTTCATTGTACCATCTCCATTTTTTAATCCATTCTTCCAGTAACCTTCATAGATTTTGAGTTTATCAGGCCAAGTCTACTTAATAATTAGGATTTACAAATGAACCATATCCATGAAATAAGTCATTTTCGAATTCTCCTTAATAAACTGAACCATCAGCCAAGTGAAAAATGCCCAATCCACACTTCATTCCATTTTTAAATTTTCCATCATAGGTAGATTTATCCATATAAATCTCTTTGCCTATTCCATGTTAGAGACCCTGTTTCCATTAACCTAAATGTAGGAAGTAGATACCTGTATAAATACGGCCGTCATGATACTTAAATTCCCCTTGGCCATGGAACATATTATCTCGCCATTATCCTCTGTATGATTCATTAGGATTTGAATAGACTCCTTCTCCTTAAAGTTCATTGGAAGCCCACTAAAAAAAATATTGAAATAAAATTACAGTTCCTTCGATGTAACTAGAAAATAAAAATTAGTAACTACCTATCATGGAATTAATATTTTCCTTTCCCATTAGCTTTTCCGTCTTTCCATACACCAGTATAGATAGCTCCATTTTTCATAATTATAGGTTGGTCATTCTCTTATATTGATGCAGGATCAAAACAGAGTTTAGGATTATCTGGTTAAGTCGGAGCAGATGGTTCTGGAGATTAGATAGTAGGCATAAGAGATTTACGGACTTTGTGTCCTCTATAATAAGCCTATATAGTAATGATTTTGTTCTCATCATATTAAGGAGGGATTTCTTCTTTTATTTGATTATCTATTTATTTGCAGGCACTTGAATCCATAGTTTGTAAGTCGTCTACAATACACGGAGCACTTTAACAACTGCCCATAATTAGAATAGGTTTTTTTTTATCAAATTATTTTATATATGAAAATACCTATTTGTTAGTTATTGTAAACAATTATTAAGTATATTATAATATATTAATGAATCAATAATCAGATGATTGGCCATAATGGTGGAATGAAGTCAGAAGATAAAAATTTGGGTATAAATTCTAAATTCATAATTTTTAGAAGTGAAACACCACCTAGAAGATGTAAGTAAGTTCAAATAATTTAGATGAAATTACTGTTCCTTCCATATCTGCACATACTTGGGTTATCCTAGATGCTTAGACTGGTCGATTAATTTGGGGAAAGAATGAACATTCTAATAGAGAAATTGCATCCATTACTAAAACAATGACAGCTTATGTCACTATTAAAATTTGTGAATAACTCAAAATTGATCCTACATAAGTAACTGTTTCCATCTCTGAATATGCCATTTAAATTGGCGGAACATCTTCTAATCTACAAGAAGGAGATACTTTAACATTATTAGATCTTTTGCATGGATTAATGTTACCATCAGGAAATGATTCTGCTTAAGCTATTGCTGAAAATTTTGGAGTCTATCTCTACTTTCAATCTAAATATTTCTAATAAAAAATTGATTCTATTGATAATGAGAATAATACTATACATGTCAATAATCCTGCCCAGTATTTTGTAGCTGAAATGAATTCCACTGCTTAAAAATTAGGACTTTCAAATACATATTTTACTAATCCTCATGGTCTAGCAAATAGATTAAATAGATCAACTGCTTATGATGTTTCTAAACTCTGTTACTATGCCATGAAATTACCTCTTTTTGCTCAAATTGTTAGAACCAAAGAATACTCTTGCACTATAACTAATCTTGGCTAAACTCGTATCTTAAAATGGGAAAACACCAATAAACTTTTAGAATAAGGCTTCTCGGGTATTAAAACTGGTGTTACAAATGATGCAGGTCCATGTCTAGCAAGTCATTTTATTACTAGAAAACACTCCTATATACTTGTAGTACTTAATTGCAATTCTAAAGAATAAAGATGGGTAGACAGTTGTCGTCTCATTGATTGGGTAACTGATATATATGAAAAATAATGATATTTATTGTCATTAATATATTATTCATACTTTTTTTTGAATTTTTAAACTTGTTTACTTTTCTTATAAATATTCTCATGTTTTTACTTATTGAAAACATAGATTTTGTTAATATATCCTTGTGATGGATAAGATTTTTTTACTTCCTAAAATATTACCTAAAGAAAAAACCTTTATAATTTTATCAGTTATATATGCAGTATTTTTTTTTAAATAGTTGATTCTTATTGATTTATCAAATAATTATTTAGAAAAATTATATTTTAATTAAATCTATTGATATATGTTTGATTAATTTATTTAAGCTTTTTGAATCAGCACTTTTAATGGATCCTTTCTAAAAAGGAGTTTCTCAACAAAATTCTTTTTTTATATTTTAATTTATTGAGATATGAAAACTGATTGAAATCAACTTCTTTTGAATTTTAATCTAAATACGCATTTTTTTTATCTCAATCTTTTGAAAAGACAAAGCTTCTATTTAATTCTAAATAAATTAAAAAATGGAGCCAATGAATACTAGTAAAATCTCTTTTATTTTTTCATTATCAAACTACTGATTATTACATTAATGTGTTTGAAACTACAAATAGAGGATTCTAACTAAGTAGTCCTTTTTTATTGAATACTGATTAACAATAATTCTTTTTATTTCTTTCTAAATTGTTAAAAATAATAAGAAAATACCATATAATATATAAGGAATAAGAATTAAAATGAGCGATTATTTAAAATTAATTATAATAATCATTAAATCAATAGAGGATGTACTGATTCGTCATCCATATAATCAAGTACTTGTTCTGTGAAGTAAGCAAAATAGTGTCCACGAGTTTTTTAAGTAATTTGAACTTATTTTTCAAATGATTCTAATGTGATGATATTAGTTGCTATAATTAATGTTTCTTCAAGAACCAATTATTAACTTATCACATTCACAAATTCATTTAAAAATACAGGTAAACTCTACAAATTGTAAATTGTAATTTCATTTTCAATATCTGATAAATTAAATATGCATTTAAGATTTAGAAATACAATTATAAGCTCTTTAGCCTTATGATTATAAGTAACTCTCATAAGGCCTGGCTAATCAGTAATAACTACATCTCTTTCTTCTAATAAGACTATATTATCTTATAAATGTGTTATGGATAATGGCTTAGGAGGTTAAGATAGTTGATTATCAATTTGAATATGTGATTCATAATATTGTAACAAAGAATCATCTGGAGAAAGAACTTGACTAGCAACTTTATAAGCCTAAATGCAAAATTGATTGGATTCATAAGCTCCCTTTTCTAATTAAGCCATTCTTTCGTATAATTTAGCCATTAAGAGATGTATTTTCTTATCTAGCTTTGGTTCCAAAGACTTAATTATAAGTTGTTACAGTTTAAGAATTGCTTATAATGCTTGCTATTTGCTCTAATTTTCTATGGAGCAAAAGTGATAGAGGGATAAGGCTGATTCATAAATTTAAGACACAGTTCCTCCTATACTATAATACTGTTATTCATCAATTAATGCCATCAAACGTGCTCTAGCTTGAGTAATACGATTAATCTTAATTTAATATGCAATTNTATATGTTTGATTAATTTATTTAAGCTTTTTGAATCAGCACTTTTAATGGATCCTTTCTAAAAAGGAGTTTCTCAACAAAATTCTTTTTTTATATTTTAATTTATTGAGATATGAAAACTGATTGAAATCAACTTCTTTTGAATTTTAATCTAAATACGCATTTTTTTTATCTCAATCTTTTGAAAAGACAAAGCTTCTATTTAATTCTAAATAAATTAAAAAATGGAGCCAATGAATACTAGTAAAATCTCTTTTATTTTTTCATTATCAAACTACTGATTATTACATTAATGTGTTTGAAACTACAAATAGAGGATTCTAACTAAGTAGTCCTTTTTTATTGAATACTGATTAACAATAATTCTTTTTATTTCTTTCTAAATTGTTAAAAATAATAAGAAAATACCATATAATATATAAGGAATAAGAATTAAAATGAGCGATTATTTAAAATTAATTATAATAATCATTAAATCAATAGAGGATGTACTGATTCGTCATCCATATAATCAAGTACTTGTTCTGTGAAGTAAGCAAAATAGTGTCCACGAGTTTTTTAAGTAATTTGAACTTATTTTTCAAATGATTCTAATGTGATGATATTAGTTGCTATAATTAATGTTTCTTCAAGAACCAATTATTAACTTATCACATTCACAAATTCATTTAAAAATACAGGTAAACTCTACAAATTGTAAATTGTAATTTCATTTTCAATATCTGATAAATTAAATATGCATTTAAGATTTAGAAATACAATTATAAGCTCTTTAGCCTTATGATTATAAGTAACTCTCATAAGGCCTGGCTAATCAGTAATAACTACATCTCTTTCTTCTAATAAGACTATATTATCTTATAAATGTGTTATGGATAATGGCTTAGGAGGTTAAGATAGTTGATTATCAATTTGAATATGTGATTCATAATATTGTAACAAAGAATCATCTGGAGAAAGAACTTGACTAGCAACTTTATAAGCCTAAATGCAAAATTGATTGGATTCATAAGCTCCCTTTTCTAATTAAGCCATTCTTTCGTATAATTTAGCCATTAAGAGATGTATTTTCTTATCTAGCTTTGGTTCCAAAGACTTAATTATAAGTTGTTACAGTTTAAGAATTGCTTATAATGCTTGCTATTTGCTCTAATTTTCTATGGAGCAAAAGTGATAGAGGGATAAGGCTGATTCATAAATTTAAGACACAGTTCCTCCTATACTATAATACTGTTATTCATCAATTAATGCCATCAAACGTGCTCTAGCTTGAGTAATACGATTAATCTTAATTTAATATGCAATTTCTAAATTCTATAATACCCATAAATTAGAAAAGGTACAAACTTCTTGATTCCAGAGCTGAAGATATTAAATAATTAATTAGGTGCTAGGTAATTAATTCTTAGACATGAATTGATATCCCATATCTGCTAATTCTGAAATGATTGTTTCATAACCTTTAGAGAAATCTGCAACTGAAATCGATTGAAGATGATTAGTAATGTCTGAAAGTAACTCTTCTGAGAAGTCATCAACTTCAAGTGAATTGAGTATTTAAGCATACCACATATTTTAAATAATATCATATTTTAGAAGTATTTTTTGGTATTTTCTTAGGGTGAATACTGCAAGCCTATAATTGATGATATTTTTTGGATAACTTTTATGAATCTTCATCTCCACTAAATTCATTCATACATTATTAAAATCCCCAAGTTGAATCAATTGTTTTATGTCTCTAAAAATCAATATTAAGTTTACTCTGAGTTAATCTTTAGGTTCTATTATTTAAACTCCGCTATGGAAGATTACTGATTGACGTTTAGAAGATTTAGCACTCTTTCTACTTCTTTTACTTTTCTTGCTTTTTGAACGTTTATCATCTTAATTACACATACTAGTATTTTCTACTTAGGAAGGAATATATTTAATCATCATAGATGATAAAGAACCTTAAATAGATGTCTATGTGAGATGTTTAGATTCCATTCGAATAGGAGAACCTCCTGTAGCTCTCATTGCTTCAGGAGGTTTTAACAGATTGTTAGATCCCATGATTTATTATGAACTATTCATATGTGGTATCTTTTATTTCTCTTCAGATAATGCCCAGATCAATTGATCTTTTATTTTAGTTTGCCGATCTGACCATTCAAATTGTTTATCAAGTATTATATGATTAGTAGTAGCAGCCTTAAGTAACAGAGATAACATATATTTGTAATCTGGTTCAGATTTGAATTCTAACTTTTTTAAATAACTAATTGATAAAAAATAGAATACTTAAAGATTTCAGCAAACTCAGATGGAACATCTTTACATAATTCAGAAACTTCTGTTTTGGATTTGACTTCTCCAACAACATCAGTTCTATCTCTATCTCCAATATTTTGTAAATTTTACCAAGGCAATTTACTAATATAAAGAAAGTTCTCTCTACCCTTTTAAGAGATATATCATAACATAAAACATTGATTCTACATCATCTTTTCTACCCAATTCGTAACCTCGATGTGCTGCAATAGATGCATATCTAGTAGTCCCGATAAATGATTTCTTGTCTTTAAGTGGGCTTTGCCTTAGGTAAATTCAGTACATGTGTTTTCCATGATTATCCAAATAGATCTTTGAGACCCCATAATCAACCAAATAAATAGTGCCATTCTCCTATTGATATCCTGTTAAAATGTTTTCTGGTTTGAAATCTCTATGGATAACACCTCTTTCATGTACTAATTAAAGTGTAGAAAGCAATTGATATGAAATCTGTAATACACTTTTCAAACTCAACTTTTTATATTGTTTGATATGCTAACTAAGATCCTTCCCCAAAATTTAGATCACTATTACATTATAGTCTTATTCAAATCCACTCCAATAGAGTTTAGGTGTTCCAGGTACTCCACTTAAACGATTAAGAATAGATATTTCTCTATCAAGAGAACTCACATCTTCATTCTCTTCCTTTTCTATTTTTACAGCCACTTCTTCTCTTGTGTGCTTATCAAATGCCAAATACACGATACCAAATGAACCTGATGAAATCTATTATTTGATTATATATTTGTTGTTAAATATCTTTGGATCTCTATAACTAGCAGGAAGCTTCATCATTTATTATTATTAAAATTTTATATTTCTCTCTTATTCAATTTTTATGTACTATTACTCATATCGCATTTATTAATTTTTAATCTAATGTTAATCTAAACATTAAATTATACAATATATTCATTTTCAATCCTTATATTGAATTATTTATAAATAAATAACTTTCACATAATTTCATCAAATGTTAACTAAGTATCCCAACTTTTTAAGTTCCTCAACTTTTTTCTTAGATTTCGTTGCATTTATTAGAGTTTATGACAGGTAGATATTCTTTGGTAATTATGATTATTTAATCAACAATAAAATTTGATCTAATGTTCTTTCAGTAATCATATTTGAAGATAAATGTAATGAAACTACATTTATGCATTAACTTAAGGCTTACAATAATATACTAGCACCATCATCGCTAATCTTATTTCTTGCTAATTTTAACTATTTCACTTTCTTACTAATTTTCAATTAATCTGCAATTATTGAACATCCTTCATCTCCTAATTCTTAAAATATTTAATAATTTATATTTACCAGCATTTGAGAAATCTACAATTTCTAAATTATCATTTTTGAAAGCCTGCCATATAGAATCAAATTTTTCATTCATCTTAAATGTTTTCTTTCTCTTATCTTACAATTTTGGAGTTGGAGATATACCTTAACGTAATATTGATATTGGTGCTGGAGGTTAAAGATTGTTATTCGATTATTATTATTCTTTATTTGGACTTTTTTATTTTATTGTTTTAAGAGGAGTTATCGAATGATGAGAATTACTAAGATTTTCTGTTCTTAATGGACTTTTTGCTTATATTACTTATGATTATGTAGAAATATGACTCTAATTTTAAGTAACTTAAGTAATCAAACTCTCATCATTATCAGTCCAATCTGCTACTGAATTATCTCTTAATAAAAGAGGTTCCTCTTAATCAAATTTTGTAAAACTATTTTCAACAAGATTATTTTCAGTATGATTTAATTATAATGTTAATGAACACATTGTATCAAAACACTTATCTATCTCTGCTTTTTTAAAGTCAACTCTAATTTTTCTTATTCTAATGTTATTAATCCTCTACTCTAATAATTTTATTGTTCTATCCATTTCTTCTATTATTGCATTCCCTTTAAACTCTTAATTATAAAGTAAATCTAAAGGTAACTCACCATTATCTGTCTTACTAGAAAAATAAAGCAAACGATCTTTTGCTCCAATCTTCCATAATTCGGCTTACTATAAACTCTATTAAATCTAATCTTTTATCTATCTTTTTGTCTATTATTCAAGAGTCGAAGTTAAACCATTCAATTATTCCAATAACTTATTCTCTTTCAAATCTAATTATAAATGTAATTCTTTAAATTTCTCCTTAACAGACATAGAACTTTCTTAAAGCATTACTTAAAATTTATCACTTAAAGGCTCATAAAACTTAGACTCACTCATTTCTTATTGTTTATCCAAGATTTTTTAATAAGTCTACATGATATTTTCAGCTTTAAGAGTAACTTCTCTTACTACATCATCAACTGATTTGACTTCATGATGTCTATGATTTCCAAACAAAGCACATTTAGTACAAATTCGAATTTTATCTGTTAAACATACGATTTCTAACTTTTCTAGATGCTCAGGACATAATTCAATTCGTTCTTAAGCTAAATTATTGAGATGTAACTAATATTCAGGTTATTCAATGGATGGTCTCTATTTAACAATCATTTTCATAAGCTAGCAATTTTTAGGAAATTCTGATATATTGGTTTTGCCTTTAGCCAAAATACTAGTGATAAAATGAAGGTAGAAATAATACTTGTCTTCTGGACATGAGATCTACTAACCATCAGCATTAGATAACATGTATTAGATACACTTTTGACAGATAGTATGGCCACAATCTGGAAGCATGAGAGGAATATTCACGAATTCATTGAATATATTGTGACATTATGGACATATAAGTTCTTCCATTTTAATTAAAATAACGATATATCACTGTTAAAGGTATTGTACTAATTTATTGCATCTCTCTTATTCTGACAAAGATTGAATAAAGGTCTTACACTCTTCCGTAGCAAACAATTATTCTAACTTGTTAGATCCCTTTCTCAATAATACTTATTTTCCATAGTATAACATTTTGGCTATCCAAATATAAATTTACATTCTATCTTTTGATAGTAAAGCAGATTCAATTATTCTTATAAATGAATCACAACCATACACAATTTATCTCATTTCAAATAAAAATGGAAATGAATCTGGAGCATATAATAACTATCAAAATAGAAATATATTTATTACTTCGTCAAAAGGATCAGTAGCCTTAGTTAAAAAGTATTTAACTGATTCCATATCTTTCTATAAACTTAAGTATGGCCAATTTTAAGAATATTAATGTTTCAATTTTATTTTGCCATCCTATCCTTCATCTAATAAATCTTTTATGTATTAAGGTAATTCTTAAATATGAACAAATAATTGTAAAGTTTCCAACAATTAAAGTGATGTCATCTATTCATTTAACTTCAAAATTGAGATGGCTGCATATTAGTATAATTATGTCATTATCTCTTTTTTATTAGGAAATTCTGATCCAGTCTACATCAGAATATTCATACAATAATATGGGTTTTCTATTAAGTCTATTAGGAATATTATCTATTTTTATAATCACTATATATTAATACATCTCTAGTTAAAAAATCTTAATATTTATCAAAATTTTGAAAATCATTCTTCATTCTCAAACTGATCTCTCCAAGTAAAGCTTCAGGTCTTCCAAATAATAAGGATAATTGAATTGAAAACATATAAGAATCAAATGAAACTGTTTATGCAGTCAAAATATGAGAATAATAACCATTATAACTCAATATTGATTCTTTTGATATTTTTTCACATTTTTCCAACACAAACTTTAAGAAATGAAAGTTTATTGTTGGAAGATCATAAACAATACGCAATATATTTGAAAATACATTTGTTTATTCATTCTAATCTACAAATGGATACAAACTTACTATTTTTGACAATGATTCTTTTGATGGTAATTCTGATATCTATATTACAGTCAAATATCCAATCATTTATTAAAGTACTGCATTAACATCAAAATATTTCTTTTATTGTGTTTTTTATTAGATTCTTCTATTATGAGTCACACGAATACATTATAAATACTGTTTCATCAATAAAGGAATATCACTAACTTTATTTCTAAATATTTTCAAAATAAATTATTTCTGTAAATAATTCAATACTTCTACTGCTAGCATAAAATCCATATTCTATGCTAACCAATCTAACATCTAAATATTTGGATTCTCTTTAACATCTATTGTATCTTTTGTTTCCATTATTAGCAGCATTCCTAAAAAATGAACAATAATTAATGTTTATTATTTTTCATTATTTATCATTTATGATAAAATTTCCTCATCTCCAAATATTGGATATATCATTACATGGGAAGCTATGATACTAGTTAATATTTTTGCTATGAATTTAGGGTTATTTTAAGTAATCACTCTTTCCAAATAGAGAAAATATTAATCTAGTAAATCTGGTTTTATTAATTCTTTTCTTACTTCTTTATAAGCAGTTGCTTGTATTAACAAATGATTAAAAACGCTTACATCAATAGCATAATACATTTCTTCTTTGCTTATCTGACTATTTAAAAAAAACTAATTTTTTAATAAAATTTATCCTAATTTAATTAAATGTTCTTTTGTAGATATTATTTAGTAATCAACTAAGATTGTTATGAATTTCTTCTGCAAAGTTGGAGTGATTATTGAGATGAAACGAATAAATGCATCAAAGATTAAACATTTACAATTTTGATTAGAATTGGTATCTTCAATTTTAGAATTAAAGAAATTATCATCACATTAATGTCCAAATCCAATTAAAGGATCATTTATTTATAATTGCCCCATAAGAGCAATACCAAAGAGATTTGATAATAATGGAAACTGTCTTAAAATTAATTCTATTTGATCTAATAATCCTGCTAAAAAAAAGTTTATTTATATTAAAGTATTTTTATCTTCTAAATCAAGGAGAGTTTCTTCAATTAATTTGACTAAATTAATAAATAGAAGATAGAAAAAATTAATAAACTTCTAAGTATTTTCAGATAATTATGGTTATTCTTAATTAAGTAATTTATGTTTGCTAACAATAAAATTAAGACTATTTTATACTGTATCTAAAGAGTTTCTAGATTGTTAAATGATAATTTTACTTTCTTAAATAGAATGAAGTATATTCTTAATTGAATAAATGTACTTATTAATTAACTCCAGCAAATTATTTGAAATAAGGATGTCGAGTGATTTCATCATTGACTCTGTCTATATCAAAAAAACTACTAGCTACTTCATTTAGTAAATTAACAAAGTCTTTTCTATCTTCCAATTTTTTAGATAACTATGATAATGAATAATAATCTAACATTTTCTTTGGTACATTCATAAAAATGATTATCGATGTAGTTTTTAAATTTATGAATCTAATCAAACATCTTCTAATTTAGTGTTTTGTTGTTTTCTTTGAAAAATGAATAAATGGCTGTTGCTGCAAATGCTGCTGCAAGACCACCTAAAATTTTAACTTTTATATCCATAATTAATTAAATGAAGACACCAATTAATTAAGAGCTATTTGAACAATATATTGGAATGGGATTTTCTAAAGAATTGATTTAAATGGCATGGGAAGAAAGTAAAACAGAGAATGATTTAATTAATACTCTACTTACATTGGCAGATAAAAACAATGCTATTTCAAATACACCAACAGTAAATATATTTTTGTATATAAATTCATTAGAAACAAGATGAAGAGATTTAACTAAATTAAGCATTAATTGACTCTTATAAAACTAATCCTTAAGCATATACATCTACTTTTGAAATAGTATCACCTGAATAAAGAAAGAGAAATAATGGTGTTCCATGCGGTCTTAAAAATGTAGGTAATACTTGTTATTTTAATGGATTACTCTAAACATATTTCTTTAATAGTGATTTTGTTAAAATCATTATGAAATTTGAACCACCTGCCTAAATTGAATAAGGAAAATAAGGATAGTCCATTTAATTGGTCTAAAATCTTTAACACTTATTCCTTAGTATGATAGGAAGTGATAAAAAATATGTAGATCCATCTGATGTTGTTAAAAGTATTTGTGATGATTTTGGAAATGTTCTACCTATTGGTGATTAAAAAGATGTTGGAGAATTCAATCATTATTTTCTTAGTAGAATCGGAGAAGGTCTTGCTTATAATGAACATTAACCTAGTAAAATTGAAGATATTTAACATGAAAGTGCATCATCTATTTTAAGATTAAAATCTTCTACTATTCATGATGAAGATGTTGTTTCCAAATTGTTCTTTTGTAAAATTCATCATTTCTTATAATTTGACTAAGCAGGTGTACCTCAAAGCAGAGATAGTACTGAACTTTATAATTTCATTCCTATTGATTTAAAAGATGGAAATCTTTATGATGCTTTTGATAATTTTGTTATTAATTCTATTGAAGATTTCAAAAATGATTTAAGTGAAACTGTTTCTGCTACTAAATACAATTGGATTTAAAATGCTCCATAAACACTCTCATTTCAAATTCAAAGAGTTACTTATAGCAAAGAAAAAAGTGATCTTATTAAATAAAATGATGAATTCTATTTTGAAGAGGAAATCTATTTAGATCGTTTTTTAAATGAAAATAGTAAATTATATCTGGAAATTAGAAATTAAAATAGAGAATTGAAAACTATGCAAAAAAAATTTAAATCAGATTTATAATAATTATCAAAATTTGATGATAAATATGATTTATAAGATATTCTCTTAACAACTGTTAAATTTTTAGAAATGTAAAATAAAGATAATCCTCTCAATCCAGCTAATTTTGGTCACTCTGATCAAAAACAAACCATTGAATAATTATTAAAATATTCATCGAATGTCTCAAAAAGAAAAGAAGTTTTGTAATAATAATATAATAATCTTGAAGAAAAGATTTAAGCTTCTTATAATAATTTTAAAGAAAATAAATATCATTTATAATCAATCTTAATCCATGAAGGAATGGCAAGTATATAATTTATTCATCCCTTTTAGATTCTGGTCATTATTATACCTATATTAAAGATTTCAGATTAAATAAATGGTTTAAATTTAATGACATTCATGTTACAGAAGAAACTAAACAAAAGGTTTTCCAAGATGCTTTTGGTGTCAAACCAGGAATAAATGCATACTTACTGATTTATGTGAAAAATGAAGTAGTATAAGAAGAATTAAAATAACCAAGAAGAATGTACAAAACAAGTTAAGAAAAAGACTTTTTATAAGATAGTTATGGTGGTTTTCTTAGTAAAGTTTAAATTGAAAGTATTACAAAAGAGAATTAATTGTTCTAGAATGAAATTAAAGATTTTAAATAAGCTAGAATAATTGAAAGAATTGCAGAATCATATCAGTCTAGATTTGAATTTGTAAATGAACATTTTCGTACTATTGTTAATAAGAATTAAGCAGTTAAATTTAAACCTCTATTTACTTTAAATTTTCCAATTTACATTAAAAGTAAGGCTACATAATTATCAAATTAAAATACATAACATGATAATTTAGTAAAATGGATTATTTTAGATTCTGCATTACGTGAAGTACAAGAAAACAAAGAAGGTATTTTTGAAGGATAATTAAGTGAAGATGTATTCATTTATTATTAAATCTTAGTTTAAAAATAAAATCATTAACAAATTTTTAGCTCAATTTAATGAATTTAAAAGACCTTCAGCTAAATTGACTTAATCTGAATAGAATGATTTGAATAAATTTGAATAAGAATATCTACAATATGTTAATTTAGGAGCATTGGCTACAATAATTTTAGATAATATTATAAAAAAAGATTTTATATAAACCCTTTAAGTTTTATAAAATTTGACTAAGAAAGTGAAAATGTTAGATTAGTAGAATTACTTTTTCAAATTTGCAAAGAATTTAAAAACTTTATTGCCTATAATAATAATTTGTAAGATGATTCCAAAAGAAAGTGAGGTGAATTTAAAAGAATTATAATTATTGTAAGCATATTTGGTGCATAATCACTTTTAATATGATGATCCAAAGTTTTGGTTAGCTGAAATATCAATTATGTTAAATTCTATAATAGAGAATCATGATTAATAAGAGATTAGAGAAATAATAATAAATGTTGAAGCTGAAAATAAGTAAAAAGAATGGATGGATTTGTTAGAGAGTAATTCTGAGGTATAATTACGATAGATTATTATAGGAAGTTAAAAATTAATAGGCAATGATAAGTTCTTCTTATGAGATATATTTCTGGAGTCCATATCAGAAATAAGATATAATATTTGATAAATTGGTAGAAGGAATGAATAAGCTGAAATAATTATTCGATGTAAGATATATAAAAATTATTTTTAGCCCTATATAAGAATATAAAAGGAAATAAAAGAGGCATATGCACCTCTAATGAAAGAGGAATTAGAAAAATTGATAAAATGATATATTATATAAAATATGATTCTTATTGCTGCTGCTACTTTGCGTAAAGATAATAAATCTCAATTCTCACTCGGAACTTAATCAATGAAAATTAGAGAAGAGAATCCTAAAGAAATTGTAAAGACTAGTATTTGTGGAGTTATAGTAGGAATGTTATTTAAGATAATATTTGCAATAGTAGGAATTGTAGGTATATTCAGAAACATAGAAAAAGAATCAGAGTATATATGGATGTTAGTAGTATTATCTGTCACTTATATTCTATTTATATTTTACTTTATCTAGCTACTTTTAGATTTAAGGATGATATTGGCTGAGTTAGAATAATAATAATAAGAATCTGTATATATGAATCAATACGCATTTGATTCCAGTATGAATATCATTTATGCAATCACAAATACTGAAAAATATAATCCTTTTAAACTATTAAATACTTAGTTCTACATAATTATTTTAATACTAAGCGCTGAATTAATTAATTCAAATATGGTAATAGGTTAATTTTTAGCAATAGTCAATTATATAATTGCAGCTATCATTATACTTTATATTTCTAGAACATGTTGGTTGTGTTGTTGCAAAAAAAAATTTGTTACAAAAAAACCAAATCGATATAGTTATCAATCTTGCCTTTGTAAAACTATTATCTATATTTTAGCTCCAAATTATGTTTAAAAGATAGCTTTTCTTTTTGGAATTTTAATGCTTCTATATTATGTATTAAAATGTGGTTTGTATATTATATTTCTTTTGATTCAAAATGAAGATTATAGATTCACTTTTCTCGCTAGTTTATTCTACTCATTTATTATATGCATTCAAATAATCTACGTTCTCTATTTAATTAAATAGATTGACATATCTTTATATTCTGAAAAGTATTTCAAATGTTACATGACATTATTTCAATCTTTATACCTTTCAAATACTATTTAAAATAACATTTTAAAAGGATTATACTTTTCTTCTATTCTTTGCACTTATATTGCTTTCTTTATAGAAAAGCCTTACAAAAAAATTACAAAAGATACATTATTTGGAATTTTATAATTTTGTTCTTATGAACATTTTATCTACTTCTTTACCATTTTGTAACTTATTTACTTTTTTTTTTTGAAAAGTTATTGTGTAAATGAGGAAGAAGAATAACTCTAAGTATTTGAATTTATTTAAACTTAACCTCAAGAATAAAGACTTTAATCGATTCATAATAATCAAGATTATTCTATGGGTAAATAAAAATAAAAGAATAATTTCTATCAAATTGACGATTTGGATGCTCTTTAAGAAATTTATGACAATAAATAATTTCAACAGTTAGAATTAAAAATGAAACTCAAAAGTGATAAATAAATTTCATTAGTATAATGGATAGAAGATAAAAAAAAGAAATGCTAATAAGAAGGTAAGAATGTTGATCAAGATTATTTTATTAATCTTAAATAATTTATAGAATAAAATGTTAGATAAAAAAAAGATAATAAAGAACAATTAAAATAAGATCAAGAACTAATGAATTGTGCAATTTGCAAAAAAAGTTTAGGTTAAAAAGATATAATATAGCTTGAATGTAATGTTAAACATAGATTCCATACTGAATGTATAACAAAATAGACTCATGCTGTTCATAAATGTCCATTATGTAATTAATCCACTTGATGTTTCATTTGATAATGTTAAATTTATAGATAAATTTTTATAATAGATCTTAATTATTTATTAATATTGTATTCTTATATGACTAAGGATAATATAAATTTTACTTAATTTGATAAATAATACCAATTATATGAATTTGATTAAAATTTAATAAAAATACAAAAATAAGAATAATAGATGCAAAAAGAATAGTAATAATAACATAAGGATTCCACTTTTTTAGGAAAGATTGTGTGGATTCTGATTGGAATTCTTGTTGCTTTTGGAATTAAATTATATATAAGTGAAAATGAAAATGTGAATTGTTTAATAAATGATGATGGTAAAAATACTTGATTATAATAGAAATAATAATGGATAATAATGGAAAGTTTATAAGAGATGCTGGAATTGCTTATCTTTCATCTTAATTAAATCAAAATATTTAAGCAACTAAATTGATAGCAGATTTATCAATTAACTAAATATCTGATCTAACTAGCTTTTTTGAGAGTTTGGGTTAATTGACAAAATTAAAAGAATGTAATAATATTGTAGTATAATATTAGTGAAACTATCTTTTGGAAATAATCCAATAATAAATTAAGAAGCCTAAATCTAGAAATTGGTAGAGAGCTTTTAAAAACTTAAAGAATTACAAAATTTAAATCTTGGCATTGATTCAATCCTTAATAATTAAAGTAGAATGAAAATTATTAAATAAATATCAAAGATTCCATAATTAATAACACTTCGAATTTCACTAATAAATTGTGATTTATCGGAAGATGGGATTAAATCACTTGAACCTATAAAAGATATTAAAAATTTAAGAACTCTTGAATTAATCCTAGTCGGAAGTAAATTAAAAGAGAAGGAAATGGATTAATTATAATTAATACTTTAAAAGCTTCCAAAATTAGATAAATTAAATTTGAATTTATATGCAAATAAAATATAATAGGAAGGAATGAATATACTTAGTAATGGATTATTAGAATAAAGATAAATCAGAGAACTAGGTATTGATTTGTATTTTAATAATATAACTGTAAATGGAACTGAAAGTTTAATGAATGTAATAGGATAGATGAATAATTTAACTAAATTAAATTTAGGTTTGGAATTCAATTATATTAAGGATGAAGGTGGGAAATATATTGGAGATACTTTAATTTAATTATAATAATTAAAAGAATTATCTATTAATGTAGCTACAAAGAATTTTGGATGGATTGGATTTGAAGCTATATTAACAGCTATTGAAAAATTACAACCTTTAGATAAATTAGAATTAATTATAGGTGTAAATAAATGTGGAGTAAAAGGTGCAGAATTATTAAAGAATGTTCTCTTTAAACATAATAAACTTAAGAGTTTAAAAATTAATTATTTAGAAAATTATATTGGCGATGCTGGTGCTACTTTTATTGCAGAAGGAATCTAATATTAAAAGAATTTAGAAGATTTATATTTAAATATAAATTTCAACTCTTTATCAGATAGAGGAGCATTAGAATTAGCAAGAGCTGTTAAAAATGCAAAATCACCCAAAGTTTATTTTATTATAATAAATAGGTTGTTTAATTAAAAGTAAGTTAAAATTAATTGACTGATAAAGGAATCAAAGATATGTTATATCTTTTAGAATAATCCCTCCCTTAATTTAATTCTTTAGATGTAGAACTTTTAAATACTGCACTAACCAATGCTACAAGAGATGATATTCAAATCAAGTATGCTAATATTCAAAAATTAAATCTAAAATTAAACACTATCCCACCTAGTAATTGGGATTGATCATTTATTTAATTTCAGTTTTCAAATAATAATTTAAATTAGTATAATCATATATTTTCTTTCAATCCTTTCTTTTATTTCTTATATTACTTGAGTAATTCTCTTAAATAATCCTATTCACATTCTTTCATTTTTTCATATGCATATCTTAATCCTTCACTACTAAAATATTATAAATTTCTCTCTATAAACTAAATTACTTATTTCAGATCCACCTATGATAATTCTCTTAATAACCAACCAGTTCCTAATTAATTAAATCTTTCTTAATGAATTATATTTTCTTAACAAATATCAAATAACATATTTAAATCACATTTATTTTTATTTACTAAAAATATAAATCCTACACAACTAGATCTTCTCATCCATAAATTATTACTTTTTGACCATTCAATCATTAATTTTGCATTCTATTTATCCTAAACAAAATTTTTTAAAACTCTACTACAATATATATCAGAAGTTCCCCAATCCTTTATAAAACCTTCTAAGAACCATTCTTCAGTCTTCTTAATCTTTGTATAATCAAATCTTATTTTCTCTGCCACCATCAATCCAAATCTTTTATCTTCACCAAATTATTCTTTCATTAAAGAATCAGCCAAATCATACTTTTCATTATCATTTAGTTAATTAATCTCTTTTCTAAACTGCTTAAAAATTGTCTCTATTTAAGGTTAAAGCAATCCTCGAAATCTTAACACATTTTACATATAAGATGTAATCTCAATTCCAAGTTTCGGTTTTGAAATATTATTCAATGCTACTTAAATGGCACTTTTCATTTTATTTGAAAAAATTTGGTTTATAATATTTTATCAACAGATTTTAAATTTATTTGTGGTATTAAAATATTAGAAATGCTCTCTTTTTCAATCATTTTTATTTAAATTTTTTATTTTAATCTCTTTATTTAATCATATATATGTGATCGCATTGGATAGTTTGTACTAATTATTCATTTAATTTAAAGATATTTTAAGAGATTTCTATTTTACTAATGGTTCTAAAATTAAATAATCTAGATAATTTATCAAAATATATTTAATCAATAGAATAGAATTATATTATAGATTATAATTATGACTTGTTTTTTTTAAAAAGAGTTTTCTGTCTAATTGTATATATTTTTGCTTATTAAGATTTCATCTTTTTATTAATTTTTGGATTGATTCAAATTAGATACCTCAATAGGAAATAAAATTAAGTTCTTAATTTCTCAATCAAATATAACTAATTTATATTAATACATCATATTCTTAAATATACTATTTTATATGGGAAATAATTTATGTTTAGGGAAACGTTCTAATAAGAAAAAAAATGATTTAGAACACTAAATGTTTATGCAAGAAATTGATTATCAACTTGATAAATTAAAGGAAATACCATATAGATAATATTAGCCTCCAGAATATGAGAAAAAAACCATTATTGATTTATTATAGGTAATTGATATAAGAAGCACTCATCAATCAATAATAGAACAAGAATAAGAAAAGGAAGTTGAGAATGTAGATGAAGCAAAACCAGATTAATTTAATTAATACTAAGAATTGGGAAAAGAAATCATAACATAAATTTAATAGAAAATTTAAGAGTTTCCATAGGATGAAAAAAATTGGAGTTTATTGTTAGATGATACAAAAAGCCCTCATTTTTTGAGACTGTTTATAAGATAAATATAATTACCAGATGGAAATAAAATAAATGCTACATTTAGTTAATTTATTGTTCCTTGTAAGGCTGAAAGGTTTATTTAGTTTATGGGAGATTTTAAAGATTAAATAAAATTAGATAATAGGATTGATTAGTTTAAATGTATAAAAAAGCATCCAGAAAAACAAGAACAATTAATTTATTTAAGTTATAAAAGTGTTTCTATTGTATCAGCAAGAGATTTTATATACTTCAAAAAAACTGAATAAATCGATAAAGATAATGATATTTGGTGTGATGCAAGTAGATCTATTATTGATAATTCAATTTGTCCAATTCAAAATAAAATTGTTAGAGGTAATATATAATTAAGTGGATATGTAATTCAACCACTCAGAAATGTAATGAAATAAGAGTATTTTTCTTAAAGGTTATATTAAACATAAGTTTTTAAGGTTTTCTACAATAGTTTTTAAAGTTGAAAGTTATTCAATAGTATAATTATGTTCAGAATGTGACTTTAAATTATCAGTTCCACTTTATTTAGCGAAAGGACAAGTGAAATAAGAAATGGCTAATTACATAAATCTTGTTTATCGTAGTTTATTATGATATAAATAATTCAAAAATCTTAATATGATTCTCTTCTTTCGATTGAAAATTCAGCTAATTTAGTTAATCTAAGTAATTTCAAATAATCTCTGTGAATATAAAATATCATAATTTTTTTAAAAGTGGCAATAGTATCATTAGAAATCCCATTTTTTTACTCAAAAATATATGTATAATATTAAATTACATTTGAAGATTCTTTATTTCCAATAATCTTCTTATTTTATTGCATAGCTAACAAATTCAAGAAATTATGAAATTGTTATAAATTAAGACCTTCATCTTCAATTTAGCTATAATAAAAATAGTATCTAAGAGTGGCTTTGGTAATTTTTGATGGACATAATTTGATTTTCATAAAAACCTTAACAACATCATCAAAATTTATAAATTATGATTATTCATTCTTAGAATTTTCAAAAAATTCAGCTATTAACGGAGAAAATGCTTCTTGAAAATCTGAATAGTATTAACAATTTTATAATTAAAGATCAATAGGTTCATAAATTAAACTTTTATTTGGAAATATATATAATTGTAGAAATCTAATATATATTTTAAATAATTAATTACTTATTAATTTTTTATTAAGGATCTGAATTTTATTCAATTTCTTTTTTACTAAATTTAAATCGAACTTAATTGGCTTCTCTTTAAAATTCAGGGTTATTACTATCAATATCATTTAAAATTGTAGCTAAACTTCTAATAACATCAAGAAAATATGAATAGTTCAATCCTTTATCATTAAAAAAGGATTAATCTTCAAGACATTTTTGAAAAATTCTTAATCCTTCATCACTTGATATTTAAATTTTCAAATCTTTAAATAAAGATATGAAACTTTATGAATTCATAAACTAAAATGTTTAACTTGAATCTTCTTCATATTTATTAGAATACTTAAAGAATAATTTATGTAAAATTTCTGAAGTTGAATCCTTTTCTTCATTTGATTTATGAGGGATTATAAAATTTTGTAAAATTTTCGGAACTTATTTATAATTATAACTAACTAAGTAATCAATTACTTCTTTATTTTCTTATCTTTTTATATCTGGATCATTTTTAAAAAATTATTTAATAGTATTAATTCTTCTTTTATTAATCTTATCTGTTACTTCAATTATTCTAGATTTATTATTTTCACTTTTTAATCTTTATTCTCGTGTTTAATAATATCTATTAGAATAATCTGTTTTATTTAATTCCCCTATATTTTTTTTAGTCATTCTTAATTAATTTACTTAATAATGACTGATAAACTATTCTAAATCTTATTTACTATATTTTTAAGATTAAACTTTTATTTTTCTTTATTTTTAATGATGATAGGATTAATTAGTTAATAATTTATCACAATAAAAGGAATCAAATAAAAGTGCTTCTTCAAAAACCTTCCCATATTGTTCATCATTGCTAAGTTCACAAAAAACATTAATTTCTTTGTTTTCAAATCCAAGTATATGATTATTAGGTTCAGGTAATTATTATTTAAGTTTTTTTGTAATTAATGAATTTTAATCTCTAGGGTTATTAGATAATATTTTTTTTTTTTATTCTTATATTTTGATTACGTAATCTTCTGCTTACTATTTGAGAATGTAATCTTCATAAAATAATTCTAAGATTGCATTTGATATCTTATTAATAAAATATTCAAGAGATCGTTGCTCTATCACTATCTTTTTAAGATAATCAATATTTATAGATTTAAAGTATTTGATTGTTATCTCAGATAAATATTTTCTAGTTTCAATTTCTTGTTCTTGATATTTTTATTCTAAATTTGAACAATATTTAAATTGATTAAAAAGGGATAATAAGTATAAGTAATTACCATCTTCTTCATATTTTTTGATGAAATCTTTAAATTTATTGTTAAGTAAAATATTTGTAATATATTTTAGTAATTATTTTGCCAATATTAAACTGAATTCATATTGCATTTATTTAGTAGAATCAGTATAAAAAAAATCATCAGACTTTTATTTTCCATCATCTAATTTAGCAATTCTTTATAAACAATTTTCTAGTCTTTTTTATCCATTAATCCATCTTTATTGTTAATCTAAGAAACCATTAAAATTGTTAAGTTTGAGATTATTGTCTCCTTTATCTTCAGAAAGATTACGTTTTAATTGCAGAATTTCTTTAATTTATTTTATCAGCATTAATAATAATATTTATATTTATATCACATCTAACCGTATTCAAAATGAATCAGACTAATTTAACAGTTAATGGAACTTATCAAATTCTGATTAAATATTGTTTAATTTTTAGCTAGTTTCTTCAATATTATCTGATTGATCTTTTTTTAAATTAATTTAAAATCTTTAAGCATTTGAAGAAACTTTTAAAAGTTCTTAGAGAAAATAAGCATTTTTTGGTTTTTTTTGAGAAAAATTCAAACTTGATTATTATGGAGAAAGATGTAAACTTCGATGTTTCTTATGTATTTATTTTTCAGCACTTTATTATGTTTATCTTTAATCTGGATTGAAATTAAATTTGGAAGGCTGCTTAACTTGCAACCCAATTTTTTAATAAAATTTCTTAAATTTGATAAAAAACGGATCTTATAGTATTTTAGGAATTGGTTTAGGTTAAGAAGGTGTTGGAGTAGTAATATCTCCTAAACGAAGTTCAATGGATTATCTTTTAGATAAAAATTTCATTTTTGGATTAGATGTTGATTTAGATGGTAAAGGAGATGGAGCAATAAATTTAAATTCACTTGGTTTATCAAGAGCAACTCTACTTAATTCAAGTAAGTTTTAACAATTTTTAGATAATACTCTCCATCTTAATTCTTTAACTTCATCAATCTTAACTTCCGGTTCCACTTAAACTTTTTAAAGAGTGCGTTACAGCATCATTTAGGGTTTTCCTTTAGTACTGTAATACTATACATTATGAACAGGAGACTATAGTTAGTCTGAACTTTTGTTTTTCATGAAATATTTAATAACACCATTTTGTTAATCATCTTTAACATTTTGCATTTTCAGATCTAGTTTCTCTCTTCTTATCTGATAAATTAATGATAAATACTTATTCTGGGCTCTTATGAAAATATCTGTCCTTTTCAAATTTCTACATAATATTAATTAAAGAAATAATGAGTAGTACAACTAAAAAAAAGTTGAACATAAATTCTAAACCATTTAATATCGAAGATACTTAAAAGTAATAATAAACTCATCCACAGCTTGTAATTACTTCAAAAGCATATTAACCTAAAAATGAAATTTAAGAATATTATCCTAAAAATAATCATAATCCTTTTGATGATTTGGCACCTGATTTTATGAATAATAATACTCCATAAATATATTAATAACCAACAAAACTTATTTCTTAACCATAAGAAATCAAAGAAAAAAAAATACTAAGAAAAACTCAATATTAGTTTGATATTGATCCTTAAACAGTTGAAAAAGTATTTATTTATGCTAATAAATTAGATTGAATAAAAAAAGAAGGAGGAATAGGAATTATTAAATAAGTAGGAGGAATTAAGAAAAATAGAAGAAGAAAAATAGAGATAAGAAGAACTTAAAAGATAAGAGGAATTAATCAAATTTGAAGAGCTTAGAAAATAATAATTAGAAGAGGAGAATTATTTACCTAAACCATATACAAAAGAGTAACTTGAAACAATTTTTGAAAACATGAATGATTTTTAATATTTTGAAAGTGACAACAATTGGATTAAAATAAAAGATAGAAAACATTTTGATTATAAAGACTTAAAAAGATATGAATAAAGAAAAGATAATAAAAATCCTACATAGAAGAGGGATAAACCAGAAATTCAATTAGATAGACCACCAGTTTAATAAATTGAGCCAAATATAAGAATGCCTTAAAGAGCTACGATTTCTATATAAGAATAACTTTGGAAAGATAAATTGAAAGAAGAAGCTAATGCTTGGACTTAAATTCTAAATACTACTCCTGAATAAAAAAAAGCAATAGAAAAAGAACTGAAATATAGGTTGAATTAATTAGCCCCAGATAATGAAGTTTAAGTTTCTAAATTTATTATAGATATTATTGAATAGAAGTAATTGTATATTTAAGTTTTTATAGTTAGGATTTCGTAGACTTTTTAACAGAAAAAATAATAGAAAAAGCTTAGATGGAACCCAAATATAGAGGTTTATATATTAATTTGTGTTTCAAATTAGTATCACTGCCTTCTTTTTAATTAATGAATCAAGATAAAAGTGGGAAATTAAGATAATAATCTAAATTTAAAACTTCTTTATTGAATAGAGTTTAAAAAATGTTTGATAGTAGGAAAACAATAGATTTGGATACAACTAATTTAAAATAAGAAGAGAAGATTTAATATCATATAATAAGAAAGAAAAAGATCATGGGAAGTATATTTAATTAGTTTATTTAATAGATGTAAGATTTATAGGTGGATTATATTTAAAATCTTTGCTTCCTATATAAGCTTTATCCTATGTATTAATTGAATTGATGGGAGAATACCTTATTAGCTATATACCTAATGGAGATACTGCTGATGAATCTTTGGAAGGATTAATTGAATTAATAGATTAAAGTATTCTTTTTTAAATATATATTATAGTTGGTCAAAGTTTTAATGAAAAAGAAAGAGCTTAAGATGATTCATTCATTTTTAAAATTGCATAAACTTTAGATGGTTGTAAGAAATCAAGAGATCAAATTGAAGCCTTATTTAAAGATATAAAAAAATCAACTGTTTTAGATTTAATGCAAAAGGTTTTTTAAAAATTTTTAGAAAATTATCATTTATCATAAAGAATTAGATTACTAATTGAAAATTTATTAGATAAAATATAAAAAGGATGGTAAGGTGTTTATGCGAAAAAGGAAGAATTAGCAGAAAGTGCCTAAAAAACATATGAATAGGAAGAAGAAGATCCTTTAGAACTTTAATTAAAATAAACTAGACAAAATTCAGCTAAGAAAGAAAATCCATCAAATGAATAAGATTAAAAAATAAGAGCAAAAGATATTACTATGTTAGTGAATAGTTCATTTACATTTGATCCAGTTGATTAGATGGATAAATTAAGAAATGAATTAAAAAGAATCAAATCTGAAGCTCCAGAATTGTTGAAAGTATTTTTTGAAACTTTCTTTTAAAATATGTTATCATGTATTTTTATTTATTATATTTTAATTTAGTAAGATAAGTCAAATAAAATATTGAAAGAGCTTAATTAGTTTTCGATATTCTAGTCTTAGAAGAAGCTGATGAAGAAATTGTTTCTAAAGCACTTTAAGATGTAAATATATACTATTTAATCTATTAAGATCTTGGATGAAGATTTAGTTTATAATATAAGTGAATCTGGTACTTCTTCTAAATTAGTTACAAATGTATTGTCCTGCTTTATTATGGAATAAGATTGGAATGCTTTAAAAAAACTGTATTTAAAACCTCTACTTGATATTGAAGATTTTAATGAATTTTTAATAAAAGTAGGAAATCAATTAATAACCAAATTTCCAGATTAATTAAGCAGAGAATTAATTGTTAAATATTTTAATTTGCTCAAATAAGACTTGAGCACTTAATTGAATTTTGATTGAAATATGTTTCTTTATATCATTTAAGATTTACAATTATGTTATTTATTAATTTTAAGTTTATTCTACTTTCTTTCTGTTTTCTATTTCAACCTTTTAATATTTAATACTCTACAAAAGTAATAAAGAAAAGTTTATAAATATTTAATTAAAATATAATTTTAGTTTTGTATTTGGAGATTTTTTTTCATATTAATATTGTAAAATCAATATTATTAAAATAATTATTTTTATAAATGTTTGAAGAACCAATCATGGAATCAATGCTTGATTATAATTAATCTCTAACTTTAGATTAGAAATTGCAGACCATGAATTTCCCTCTAAAAACTCTTTCAGAAGTCAAAGAGAGATATAAATATCAAATTGATTATTCCACTTTGCAAGAAAGAAAATTCAATCTTAGAAAAACTAGATAGCCTCTCATTATATTTTCATCAACTGATATTAATTTACCTCCAACAAGAACTGAATTAAGAGTCAAATCAGTAATATCTCCAGAAATTAATGAAACTCTCTTATTTGTTTTTGCATAGCCCAATAATTTTAAAAGTAGAAGTTTAAGTTTCAGAAAAAAGCGCTAATGAATTTATTTAAGTAATAGGTAACATCAATATTTCATTTTCTGATTATACCCTTTTATTATCATTAATTATTAATCATTTATAATTTGTCCAGTATTAGTTATCTACATATATACAATTTTATATATTTTTAGAGTACTCTTCTCCAAATTATAATTTTAGTTATTATAATCTCATTTTCAAATATCAAATCTCATTCAATTTTATGAGTTTTACTTAATATTCTAATCTCAATCAATTAGTATCATCAAATAATGATGAAAAAGTACGTTTCAAAATTTTATTATTTGATTGAATTAAGAATATAATCTTAATTTATTTTAATTGCAAAAATATTTTTGAACTAAAAATTTTATTATATAAATTTTCACAATTAAATTTTAGACACTCTAAATATATATTTATATAATAATCTAATAAATTTTGATTATTCTTTATAAATTATTATTGATTAATAATTGATCAAAGACTTATATTTTTATTATTTAAATAACTGAAATTTTTTAAAATCTATGATTTGGTATTTTAAAAATAAATAATTGTTTTAAAATTAAAAAAAAGAAAATAATAATTTTGAATGAAGCACTTTTATTAGATATTTAGTTCATAATTATTACAATAAGTAAGAAATATGTAATTTTTTATAAAATTTGAACATAGATGAAACTTATTTATTTTATATTAAATCAATACTCAAAAGTTTTTTCATGATATAATCTAAATATTTTGATTAAATGGAAAGTTTAAAGTATAAATAAATAATTAGTGAAGAGAGTTTAATGATGAAAATAATAAGATTTATTTGGCTAGATTATCAATTACGATAATTTAATAAAAAAGATTAATAAAAGGTGATATAAAATCAACAGTTATATAAATAATTAAGTAAGAATATTTAAATATTAGATATTAAATAGAAAATGATTAAAATGATTTTCTGTTTGATTGTAAACAGAAGAATTGATTGAAATTAATTTAAAAATAAAAAATATAATAAAAAATGAACAAGGAAGAAGAACCAATTTAAGAACCATTAATAATTGAAAGAATCTAATAAATAGAGATTAAAAGTAACAAAGGAATGTCTTAACTTTCAGCATTGACTGATTAATCTAAGAATGAAACTCATTTATATGAGATTCCAGATCTTTCAAATGTTACATAAAATGTTCTATGTCGTTTAATATCTGTTTCTGTAGTTTGTATTGTATTTTTGATAGCAGAGGTATATTATATTGAGATTAAATGAAAGGTTGTTGGAGGTTTATGGGCATAATCATTAGCAATATTATCTGATGCGGCACATATGTTTTCTGATATGAGTGGATTTTTTATATCAATATTTTCAATTTGGTTAGGTTAACGACCAGCATCATAGAAAATGTCTTTTGGATATCATAGAGCTGAAGTAATTGGAGCATTAGCAAGTATAGTATTAATATGGGGATTAACTATTTTATTACTTTATGAAGCAACATAAAGAATTATAAATAAAACATTAGTAACAAATCCACTTATAATGTTGATTACTGCAGGATTTGGATTATTTTGTAATTTAGTTATGGCTAAAGTATTGCATTCATCTCCAAGTGGTGGACATAGTCATGATCATCATCATGGTCATTTTCATAGTCATGATCATCATGATCATAATCATAATCATAATCATAATCATGATTAAGAACCAAAATAAAAAAAAAAGAAATTTAATGTTAAATAAAAAAGATCTATGGTAAGTGAAAATGGAGTTAGCATGCTTGTTGTTGAATAAAGTATAGAATCTGATTCTAATAAAAGCAATAGTAATCAAACTATTTAAGAAGTTAGTAGTGAAAGTAAATAAACAAGTAATGGTAAACAAATAGAAAATTAAAATTAACATCATAATCATTCTCAAAATTGTGATCATAATCATTCTAAATAAAAATATTCTGATGATTTTGAAAGTTAAACAAGTCAATAAAATAACAATAAACATGATCATAGTAGTAGTAATTATTCTTATGAACATGATGATGATGATGAAGAACATGAACATAAACATGATCATGATAATGAATATCATGAATTGAATAAATAAAGAAAAAAAAAATTAAAAAATCATAATCTATCTGAAATTAATGAACATGATAACTATAATTTAAAAGCAGCTATGATACATGTTATTGGAGATATTTTATAATCAATAGGAGTTTTGATAGCTGCATTATTAATATTCTTTTTTGGTCAAAAAAAAGATGAAAATCATTAAATTATTTTTACTTATTGGTAATATGCTGATCCTCTATGCACTTATTTATTTAGTATTTTAGTACTTTTTACAACTTTTGGAGTTGCAAAAGAATGTTTAAGAGTATTAATGGAAGGTACACCAACAAGTAATTAATTTTATTTTATCTTAGACTTAATTATAGAAGAATTTAGAGATAAATTAAATGCTATTCATAGAGTTAAAGAAGTTCATGATCTTCATATATGGTCTTTATCAGTTGGTAAACCAGCTATGTCTGCACATATAGTTTGTTTGGAAAACCCTGAATATGTATTAAAAAAAGCAACAAAATTATGTAGAAAATTTGGAATTTATCATTCTACCATTTAAATAGAACTATATGATAGGCAAGGAGCAAATGATTACATTAAATGTAATCATAACTTGCATAAATGATTATTTAAATTAAATACTCCAAATAGATTTTAAATTCATTTTACATTCTCTAATTAAATTATCCATTTTTTCTCTTCCATAGGAAATACTTGATCATCACTTTTTTTTAATACCTTTATTGATATCAAAATTAAAAGAATTAAAAGTGCAATAAATACATAAAATTAGATTTCATCTATTTATTAATTAGTTTTGATTTCAAAATTATTCTTTTTTAATTTCTGATAGATATTTTCAAACAAAACATCAAATTTCTGATTAGAAATATCTTAATTATTTAAATATACAGTGAGTGTACTCTAATTATATTATTATTTCATTTCCTAAGCCAATATGAAATTTTCAAGCAAAGCTTAATCTCCTTCTCCTAAAAAGCTATCATTAATGCATTAATTAATTTCAATGGTATCATTATTAAGAAGCTTTTATTCCAAAATTTATTTTGAACAAAATGCATAATCTGGATTATCTAAACAATCTTACTAAAAATAATTAATATAGCTAAGAAATAAGGAAACATCCTTAATAAATAAACATTTTTATCTAATGATTTCTTTGAGTAACAATTGTCCATTAGCATATGTAGAAAATTCTATGATTGATTAAAAATTGATTACAACAATATCTACCTCCTCCATAACAATTTGGTTCAGGTTTAGTAAAATTATGTCTTATTTAACATGAATAACAAGGTAAAATGCGATATAGAATATTTAAGATTACTTAGTAGATTATTAAATACACATACATCCAATTTCTTAAAATTATTGATTATGCTTTTCTAATGTTCCTAAATAATTTAACGAAGTCTTATTTGTTATATCAATTCCAATAGTTAGATTAATTCTAGCAAAACATTTAGAAATAAGAATGAAAGTAAATAGCATATATAAAATTTAATAATAATATTGATTCAATTATTAAATTATTATTCTAATGCAAAAACTAAAGAATCAACAATTTCATGATCTTTTTCTTTTTTTCATTGTGTAATTTCATTAGCTAAAGTATGTTTGATGTTAAATTTGTAAATTATAATATTTTCATCTGATTTCAAATGTTATTGAGGATTAAATATGAATTTATGAGTCACCATCCATATCAGCAAAACAGACAGTCTAAACTCTGTAGATTCCAATGGATCATTTCTTTTAAATACTCTATTATATTGATATTCTCCTATCTGAGCACAATATCCAGTTTCTACTTTAATTTCTCTTAATCTAATCTCAAAAATATTATGTTCAAGGATCAATTAATCCTGATGGAAATACAAGACAAAATTTTATAATTGGAGGTCTGAAATTAACATGAACAATGATTTATAAAGGTTTTATTATTATCTGATATTTGGAATAATTTAAATCCTCCTTTATCTCCTAGGGGTCTTTCTAAATAATGCCTAACCTTTTCTTTATCTATTTACAGTAAAAGTAAGAAATATGAGATACAAGAACTTAGCTTAAAATATAAGTATTTCATCAACTTTTGTATTGAAANTACTCTAATTATATTATTATTTCATTTCCTAAGCCAATATGAAATTTTCAAGCAAAGCTTAATCTCCTTCTCCTAAAAAGCTATCATTAATGCATTAATTAATTTCAATGGTATCATTATTAAGAAGCTTTTATTCCAAAATTTATTTTGAACAAAATGCATAATCTGGATTATCTAAACAATCTTACTAAAAATAATTAATATAGCTAAGAAATAAGGAAACATCCTTAATAAATAAACATTTTTATCTAATGATTTCTTTGAGTAACAATTGTCCATTAGCATATGTAGAAAATTCTATGATTGATTAAAAATTGATTACAACAATATCTACCTCCTCCATAACAATTTGGTTCAGGTTTAGTAAAATTATGTCTTATTTAACATGAATAACAAGGTAAAATGCGATATAGAATATTTAAGATTACTTAGTAGATTATTAAATACACATACATCCAATTTCTTAAAATTATTGATTATGCTTTTCTAATGTTCCTAAATAATTTAACGAAGTCTTATTTGTTATATCAATTCCAATAGTTAGATTAATTCTAGCAAAACATTTAGAAATAAGAATGAAAGTAAATAGCATATATAAAATTTAATAATAATATTGATTCAATTATTAAATTATTATTCTAATGCAAAAACTAAAGAATCAACAATTTCATGATCTTTTTCTTTTTTTCATTGTGTAATTTCATTAGCTAAAGTATGTTTGATGTTAAATTTGTAAATTATAATATTTTCATCTGATTTCAAATGTTATTGAGGATTAAATATGAATTTATGAGTCACCATCCATATCAGCAAAACAGACAGTCTAAACTCTGTAGATTCCAATGGATCATTTCTTTTAAATACTCTATTATATTGATATTCTCCTATCTGAGCACAATATCCAGTTTCTACTTTAATTTCTCTTAATCTAATCTCAAAAATATTATGTTCAAGGATCAATTAATCCTGATGGAAATACAAGACAAAATTTTATAATTGGAGGTCTGAAATTAACATGAACAATGATTTATAAAGGTTTTATTATTATCTGATATTTGGAATAATTTAAATCCTCCTTTATCTCCTAGGGGTCTTTCTAAATAATGCCTAACCTTTTCTTTATCTATTTACAGTAAAAGTAAGAAATATGAGATACAAGAACTTAGCTTAAAATATAAGTATTTCATCAACTTTTGTATTGAAATCTATAATTATAAAAATATTACGTATTATGTATATAAAATAAATGTAATGATGCAGGAGCAAATCCATAAATAAAATAAATATCCAAAAATGCAAAAGTATCTCTAAAAGGCCGTTTGTAATCAATTGACAAGAGCATCAATAGCACATTTTGGTCAATCATAAAAGCCACCTGTTAGAGTTGCCATAACAGGTGCAGCTGGTTAAATAGGATACTCTCTTATTTTCAGAGTTGCCAGTGGTGAAATGTTAGGACCAGATTAACCAGTTATTCTTCATTTAATTGATTTACCATTTGCTATGGCTGCATTAAATGGTGTTGTTATGGAAATTTAAGATTGTGCTTTTCCATTGGTTTAAGGAATTGTTGCTACAGATAATTAAGCTGTAGGATTCAAAGATGTCAATTATGCTCTTTTAGTTGGTGCTAAACCAAGAGGACCAGGAATGGAAAGAGGAGATTTGTTAAAAGAAAATGGTAAAATCTTTACAGAGACCGGAAAATTTATTAATGTATTAAATTTTATTTATTCTAAGGATAATGCAAGTAGAGATATCAAAGTTGTTGTTGTTGGAAATCCATGCAATACCAATTGTTTAATCTTAGCTAATTAAATCAAAGATATTCCTAAAGAAAATTTCACAGCTATGACAAGATTAGATCATAACAGAGCACAATACTAATTAGCTGATAAATTAGGTGTACATACCTCTGACATAAGAAAAATTGCAATTTTTGGTAATCATTCTCCAACAATGGTACCATATATTGATTAAATGACTGCTAAAAGTATATTATAAAAAAGAATTATTTATATAGATCATAAAGCCACAGTTGATTAATAATGGGTTACATAGACATTCATCCCAACAGTATAATAAAGAGGTGCTGAAATCATCAAGGCTAGAAAATTATCAAGTGCTGCTTCTGCTGGTAATGCTGCTATGAATCATATAACCACTTGGGTTAATGGTACTGTTGAAGGTACTTATATTATCTCAATCTAATAGGTGATTATACCTCTATGGCTATTCCATCTGATGGTAGTTATGGTGTTCCAAAGGGATTGATATTCTCATTCCCTGTCACTGTTAAGAATGGAAAATATTCAGTTGTCTAAGGATTACCCATTTCACCATTCTATTAAGGTTTATTAGATAAGACCATCAAAGAATTAGTTGATGAAAGAAATGCAATTGACCATTTGCTTAAATGATATATTAATGAATATATTAATATAAATAAAAATCAATAGTTTTATTTATTTTTCTTTTTTAAATATAGTTTAAAAGTTTAAAAAGATTAATAATCATTTCTTCAATATCATCATTTTCATCTAATGATGATAATGATCATCTACTTTTATTTATTTAATTTTATGAAGGAATCTTCAAATTAGACTAAAGCTTTTTATTTCTAAAAAAACGATTAAAACTCTTAAAATGTTAATCATCTTCAATATTATATGGTTAAGAATAATCATGATCATCTTCAAATACTATTTATTTTTTTGGAAAATATTTCTTGAATAATTATTTACTTGATGATGCATGTGTAATAGCTACTTTAATAACTTCTTCATTCTATATTTGTTATCTATATCCAGGAAATCCTCTTATATATAATCTAATCATACCCATATCTAGCTTTGTATAATTATAGAAACTATCCAACAGAAGGTTTTCTCTCTTCAATCACTAATTTCTTTAATCTAAGATCTTAATTATTATCCCAAATTTCAAACTCCTCATCAACACTAACCTAACTTTCGCTAACAGATACAAGTGACTATCTACAATTTATGCTACTTTATTTTTGTAAAACTTGTCTTGGTTAAATTTAGATCACACTTTTCTAAAATTAACCTATTTATTTTATATCTCTATTTGTCAATGATTTACAAGTTAAACTCATTTATAAAGATCTATATTGATTAGAACTTTATTAGTTTGATTTTATTGATTTTATACGAAAGTTTTATGAACTTTTCATTAATTTATATATTTTAATATTAGCATATATAAAAATACTCATAACTGTAGTCTATACAATTATACTCTTAATCTCTCCATATATGCAGCATCTAACTTTTTCTCATATTGTTCAAGTAACTTTAATTCTTTATCAAATGTTTATAATTCTTTTAATGGACCTCTCTCACATAATCGTCCTCTTATTGGCTCTCGAGATATTTATCCCAAAAATGAATTACTTCTTGGATATCTACATGATCCCTCGGTTTTTAATCTATAAGAAGATCTATTCTCTTTATTTCTTTTTATACTAGGTAACATTTACTGTTAATTAATTATCTTTATTATATAAATGGGTTAACTTAAACATAAACAATTACTTTTTATCTATTATTCACCTTCCATTCCTTCAAATAAACTTATCTAAATCTCAAAGACCTTACACTTATTATTTTAAACAAATTTAGAATGTTCTATACATATATATTATATCTATTTTTTATTTTAGTCAAAACTCATGATTTATTTATTTTCCAATAATAGCCTATTTATAGTTCTATATTATTTATTTCTTTTCTTAACCATATTCATTTTCATTCCTCACATGCTTTTATCGATATAAACTTATTCATTTCATCTAAGAATTTTCTTATTCCTTAAAAAAATAATTTACTTCTCAATTTTATCCAAAGATATTAATATCTAAAATATAAACTTTGCAAAAATCCAATTTATTTGAATTCACCATTTTTTGAATATAATATAAAATAAGAAAGTACAAAACCATAAAATTTAGTAAAGAAATCATGAAATCAATAAAAAAATGATGATAACATTCAATAAGAATTTTAGATTGTAAAATATATAAGAAAATCAAGCTCCATAATTATGTTAATAGAACTTCATTAGAACATCCTTTATTAATTTAGGTTCAAATTTTATTGGAATTTAAGCTTTTGGAGTTGAAGGTGTTAAATTGTCCAAATTTGATTCAGAATCAAGTTTTAATAATGATTACTTTTAGTTGGTTAACCATCTTTCATAATGTTCATTTCTTTTCTTCCCTTTTTAAATTTCATACATAGTATTCGTGTCTGCTGATGTATGTCTCTTTCTATTTTATATTGCTTTTTTATGAAATCTGTTGTTCAAAATACCTAAGCTATTGTTCATAAAAATTGATTATTATTTTATTAAATTAAGTATTTTACTGAATTTGGATCTTTATAAATCTTGCGACAAAAAATAGAAGCACAAAATATCTATTATTAACTTATATAAAATTAAGAAACAATATTGTATAATTTTTTGAAATAAAAGAGAAAAAAATATTTTTTTTAAATTAGTTAAAATTTTAAAAATAAAGAATGAAATGATCCATTTGATTAATTTCATAGAATAAATACAAAATCCCCATCAAAGTATATTTGCTCTGTCTCTATATTATTATTTTTGTTATTTATTGTGGAATCTGTTTAATTTTTTACCAAACCAGCTACTTTTTAAATCTATTATATTTCTGTTTTTTCTTGAATATCTAAAGATTATTCTGTTTATTGATTCTATTAATTTTGTAATTAAGGTGTTTATAAAGTTAAATGATTTGTTTAGAAGCTTTTTTAATCAAAATTTTTTTCGGATGCAGAGTTTTAACTTTCAAGATTAGTTCCTTAAAAATTTACAGCAGTTTTCATTTAAGATACAATTGAAGAAAAATTTTATATTTCTGGAGCTCTAGAGTTTTATTTATTATGACATAATTTTTGTTGAACAATACTAGAACTTAATTTAGCTTATTTAAAACACAAACTTAAAAAATTATTCTAATAATTAAAGGAATTTACATACTTTAGTTAATAAAAATTAATTGCTATTTTATGTTACTGTAAATTCTTTTAATATATTAGCTTAAATAATAAGAACACATTCTTTAATATCATTTAAAATTTCATCGTCTTCTTTTTTTTACATATTTAATGTTTATATAGGCTATTGATTAATATTTGAATTGTTATTATTTTATAAATTTGAAACAATGGACATAATATTTTATTGGGGTTTATTTTACATATCCTTTTACGAAATTGATTTAGCAATTTATTTCAATTTATTTTATGGATTTTCTAGAAATATTGAGTGTTTTAGTAACTAATTTGCAGAAGGTCTTTATTCAGGGAGAAAAGAAAACATAGATATTAGGATATCAAGATTATTTTTTTGGATATTTTCATTTTCTATTAAAAAGAGTTCTAAAATAGAAATTATTTATAAAGATACAATTTTAATAGAATTTCTTTTTAATTTCTTGAAGAGTGAGAACTTTATCATCAATTTACCATGGTTATTTTTTAGTAAGAAGTTCATAAAAAATACATCCTGCACTCCAAATATCAGATGCTTCAGAATAGTCATAATAATCAAATGTTTCTGGAGCACTATAATTTGATAGAGAATATTAACTTTAGATCAATATATCAGAAATTAAGATAGTTCCATTATGATCTACTAAAATATTTGATGTTTTGAGATTTCTAAAGAATAGGAATGTATAATTTTACCTATGTAATTTATTTTAAGAATGTAAATAGTCGAGTGCTTTTAAAATGGATTGAAATATGGTTAAAATAAGTTCTTAAGAAAATTTACAATATTTAGAAATAATAGATTATAATGATCCATTGGATTCAAAATTAGTGAAAACATTGAGTTAACAATTTTTCTTATCAGTATTATTTTAAAAATTCCAACTGAGAATGGATTATAAGTTCTAATGTCTCAAAGTAGTTAACTATTGCAAATTATACTTTATAATTTTAAAATTTTCTTTTTTATTGAGGACTATCTTTTTTATTGCTAGTAATTAAGTTCTATTTAAAAGTAAACCTGAATACATAGATTTGTTTTCAACTAATTTATCACCTAAAACATATTCATCATATTTTTTAGTCTACTCTCTAAATAGGGTTTTACTTCAAACTATTATTCTTCATTCTCACTATCTTCATTAGAGTATAACTCCTCTTCATCATCATCTTCATCATCATCGTCATCATCTTAAGAAATCATTCTTTTTTTAATTATCTAAGATTTCAAGGTAACAATTGAATTAATTATAGATTGTTATACTTGCTAATTTTCAATTTAAACATTATTATTTATTTTGCTTTGTCCACTTCCCATTCTAAGTTTCAAGTAATATTTTTTAATAATTAAATTTATCTAGTTAAGCAATATTAAAAATATAATTCATACTATTTATTTATTTGTTTCTTTTAAAATTCATTAATTGTTTTAGTTTATGTATAAAATTCTTAAGATTTTATATTTTTTATTTGTTATGTGGATTGTTTTTATTCAGGAGAAATTGTAAATAAAATTTGCATTTAAATTTGATTCGGAATTTTTTATTATTTCTGATTGAGAATGCTATAAAAACTCTAATTAAATTAATAGAAGTAATAATTTTAATAATTAATGGAATAAGAGGTAGGATAAGTTTGTTTAGTTGAAGTACCAATAGAAAAGGCATTTCTTTTTTAGGATTAAATAATTATAGAGAAAAATTTAACAACATTAAGAGAAGGATTATCATATAGATTATCTTAAAGTTTCATAAATCCTTAATAAAAATTATTTATTGTTTGTCCCCCTACTTATGCTCTTAAAGAATTGGATATCAAAAAAAATAATAATACATTATTTGATGGAAAAGGTTATATAAAAGCAGTTCCAAAAGATGACTATCCTTTTTTGATAGGATAATAATCAGGAATGAGAAGTGCTATAATTTAATGGAAAGGAAAAAAATATAGATTAAAGGGTTGTGGTAATGGAAATGATGGTTTTACATTAAGAAAATTTGAAGGAGACTTTGATAATGCATTTGAAATAAGAGGATGTTGTTTTGATCATACTGTTAAAAGAGAACTTTTTATGAATAGAAAGGTTGAATAAATATTAAAAAAATACAATATAGAAACAGGCAATATAAGTATTGGATATTGGTAATATGGAGATATTGAATCTATCAATTAAAATTTAGAAAAGAACTTATAAAATTAAATTTCTTTAATTCCAAAATATTGTGGAATTTATGAAACAATTGGAGATTTAAGATTAGGAACTCATTTACTTCAAGGTTTAAGATTAATTGTTAATTAACATATTGTTAATTGGTGTCTTGATGATATTAGACGATTAATTACAGTTAAATCAAGGATTGTTGAAAATAGAAAATCATAATAAGGTAATTCATGGGATATTAATAATACATAATTTAGAGAGAGGCCAGAAGGTACTATTTTATAAGAAGATGATTATATAAATAATAGAGTATTTGATTGGGAAAAAGAAAAAGATAATATTAGTATCACTGAAAATTTAACTAATAATACAATTTTATAAAATATAAGTATACTTTATTAAAGAATTGGATATGAAATAGGTAAAATTAAAAGAATATTAATTGATAATGATATCAGTTGGGGATATTTTAGAGATCATAGTAAATTTTATTATCATAGTAATGCTCACATGGATAATTTTGTTATAATACAAAATGGGTCTAGTGTACTTGCTCCAGTTGATTTTGATCTTGCTTTTTGGTATTTAAAATTAATAGTTTATTAGTAAAGAAGAATTTATAAATATAGATATTGATTTTGATGCTTAGATAAATAATGATTTTTCAGCTTATCAAGAAAATAAAAAGTATGGTAAATATGATAAAGAATAATGGTTATTTTATTAAGATTAAGAAAGAATGGGTTTAGAATTAGCAATTGGAGGTATGGACATGATTTTAGCAAGTAATATGTTTTTGGAAAAATAAAAAACAGATGTTTAAGAATTCTTTGAAATATTACTTAGAGATTAAATGAGAATTGGATATTTAGATGGAATGTAATTAAAAGATGATACTAGTTTATTTTATTAACGAATGGATAAAATATAAGATATAATTAAGGAAGCCTTAAGTTTAACTTAAGATATAATATCATGATATAAATTATAAATTTTATGAATTAAATTATATATTAATTTCAACCAAATCCATATCCTTCAAATCCAATGGTAAATGCAATATCCAATTTTTATTTGAGTTCTGCATAACTTTTATATAGAGGTACTTCTATAGATTTAAAACAAGTATGACTAAGTGGTAATTTTCTATCTGAGAGACTTGATTCAAATCTCACAGTAATAACATAAGAACTTTAATCAAAAGGAATGGAGGATGAACCTAATTTTAATTATATTTATTACCTGTTATGAATTTCAACATATTCTTTAAAGTTTCAGAAGGAGCTTAACTAACATAAGTCTCAAAATATGATTTATGTTATGGTTTTCCTCCAGTAAAATGGAATTTTGAGAGTAGAATTTCTGATTTAATTTCTAATAGTCCTTAAGTCAACAGAGACATTTCTTATGGCAATAACCATTTTTAACAAATCTAAATTTTATAATTAAATAAATATACTTATATATCTAATACTGATGAAAATCCTTCAATAAATGATTTGTATATTTTATCAAATTATTTATGTATGACATATTCTGCAGTTTTATTGAGATATAATTCTAAATTTTTCTTGGAAACATTTGTTTATGATCCTTTAGTAATTAATTCAGCTTCAGTATTTCCTGAAGAATATGTAAATACAAGACAAACAGATTCTAACTCCTCTTCACTAAAAGATTTCAATTTCTCATAATTATTATAAGTATCTTTATCCCAAATAAGACTTAAGTCTGAAAATACAATTCTTTCATCAAATACAACTTTCCAAAATGGCGCTATGATATCTATTCCAATAAGATAAGAATTACATATTGCATTAGCAATTAACTATATTAAAAATATATAAATACTTTTCCAAATAATAATGCATATCTTTCTTTATTTTTTTACTTATTAAATTTTGAATTTAAAAAATATTTACTCTAATTTGATAAAACTGGAGAAAAGAATTTATAATTCTCATCTTTAAGTGTATTACCAATCATATCATAAAATTCTCTTTTTAAACCACCTGCATCAATACCTGGTTCATTTGCAAATTTAATACTAAATGAATAATTAAGTTTCTTTTCTGACAATTCCAAAAGATCTTCTAAGAAATTAACACGACTTATATTTAAATTATAAGGTGTGGGCTTCCATACCTAATTTATATCATTTTAAAAACGTTATTTTCTCTTTTCTAATCCCAAACCTTAAAGTTTCCATATTTAACCTAAAAATATAAATTTTTTATACTTTTCTTTAATTAATTATTTATGAAAAATTCAATTGCTACTATATCTTCCAAAACTAATACTTCAATAGGATCAAATAAAATATTTGCATTTAAACAACCAATCTTAGTTAAATTATTAAATGTCAAATTTAATTTTGATTAATTTCCTGATACCTATTTAACATTACAATTAGATTCAGAAAATATTTAGTTTTCAGTATCACCATAACAATTATCAAATTTATCTTTTAAATAAAAAGATATTTATATTTTTTCACAAAATGGTATTATTTCCAAATTATCCTATATTTCAATTCTTGATTTCTCTAAATCTGGTACATTAGCTAAAATAATAAAACGACCATCAATTTTAACATCATCAATAAACAAATGATAAATTCCTTTAAAAGTAGGAGCCCAAATCAAATTCAATCCTTCTCCTATTTTTTCTTAATCTGGAACATATTATATCTAATAAAATAGAGAATGAACAAAAGTAACTTTCTCAAAAGTAAAATTATCAACAATATTACAATTTGAATCTCTAAATTCAAAATAATCCTTTCTTTATACCCCTGCTCTTGTAGCTACAGCTATATCTTAATTACTAATAATATTTATAGTATTTCCAGTTTATAATTCTTTACTATGTTATTAAGCTTCAACTTATTAATATATATTATGTTCTTTCTAATTTTATTTAGCCTTTTTTGAAAGTAATCTCATTAAAGATTGATCACCTTTCCCATAGGTTGGATGTTCTTCTTTTTCATGTTCCACTTTACAAGTCTTTTAACTATGTTATACTTAAATATGAATGGTTTTCTCTAAATCTTATACTGTTTGAATCTAATAATCAAACCTTATATATTTTGAAAATTAATAATTTTGATAAGATAAACCACCTAATTTAAAATTAATACCAATTTTCATTCTAAATTTACTTTTTATAGTAACAAGCATAAAATTATTTGTTATTAACTATCCTTTACCTAATAAATCCTCTTATTCTTATTTTTGATATATTAATTAACTAAGATTATAGTTTTTTTATTCAAGTTTTCCATAGTATATTTATATTTTTATTTTTTATATTTATTAATCTATTCCAATTTATGGATTTATTGGATGGATTAAAAAACTTATTTCCTCTCCTACTTAAAATTAATTTTTTTATTAATTATTATATTAATTAAGAATTGGATGTTAGAAACTCTTAAAATAGAATAAATTCACATAAAATCCATTTATTATTGGAATCAATATTAATTCCTTAAACTCTAATGGATCTGCTTTTTCTTAATTTTTTATTATAGTACTCATATCTATAATCGATATTAATTCTATCTAATCTTTTTAATTAACACCTGAAAATATATCTTTTGGATTTAATATTAATGGTTTTTATAGTACTTAAGGTCCAGAATAAGAAATCTTATATTCTTATTTATACTTTTAGTTAATTTAATTTCTGTTCAAATAATCTAAAATAAAATCAGAAAAACTAAAATCATTGTATCTAAAATAATTAATTATCATTTAATCATCTATAAATTAATAGAATAAATATTTATTATTGGTAATTAATTCTGTAGTGTTCTAAATATTAATTATTTTTATTTGATTATCTTTATCTACAATACATAGTATTTTATGTAAATATTAGGAAATCAACATTATATCTACAAATGATTTTATATAATCTAATTCTGGGACAGTATTGAAAATAAGTTGAATTTTATTGTCATTTAATAGATAAGGATCTTAATTATAATTTTTAAAATTAATAATTAAATTAAAAAAGAAATTAGCAATTTCTACAATCTCAGGATAAACCATTTTTGAATCTTCTAAAAGTGAATAAATTTAGAGTGTTTAATTTTCCAATCTTATTAAAGATTATTGTTCTTCTTTGAAAGGAGCAAAAATAAATTCAACTTTAGTAATTAAATTTGTTACAATTTTAATTTTGATTGATGAAATAGATTCAACTCCAAAAAACATTTATAAAGAACTATTTATTTAATTTTGATTTTGATTTGTAATAAATTATTCATAACCTTTAATAAAACTGATGATACCAGAATGATAACTTAATATTCTGTCAGATGCTTTATTTGCAAAATGATCAAGTTCATCATCAAATATTAAATATACTTAAGTAAATTCTTCATGCTCTTTTAAGAAACTATTTATCTTTCCTAATAATTTTTAACTCTTAACATTAGATTCAAAATAACAAGCTGTATTTATAGATTAAGTTGGAACAGGATCCAATTCAAATTAATTTTCATTTATTCTAACAAAGACAGTATTTGGAGCTATAGCTGATTATTATCTTTTTAATGAATTGATAGAAATAAAATCAAAGTTGATTTAATCTACAAATGTAGGAGTCATTTATGTTAAAGTAATATCACTATATGATGATGCAAGACCTACTCCAAATAATCTATCTAATTTATCTTATTTAGTATTTTCATCTACTTCATTTATGATTTCAATCACAGCCTTAATGAAGTTTTACTCATTACATATAAATAAATCTTATTCAAAATTAGTAAAAAATAAATTAAGAATGCTATTATTAAATAAAGGATCACTAGGCCAATTCGATTAAAATAAAATTATTGAATGAAGATCTTCTAAATTTATTTATATCTAATTTTAAATATTAGTTCCTCTAATATAAGCTTATTACATTCTAACAATTTCTTCTTAACTTTTAGCTTGATTTTCTGTTACATTATGAAAAATCAAACATCCTGGTTTTGTATTACAAACTACTTATCCATATAATAAATTTAATTTAGAATTATCATAATGACATATTGCACATATATCTCCTAATTTACAATTACTTATATAAAAAGAAGTAACCAATTAAAAACCAAATTTAAAGTATTACTTTTTAGTTATATTTTTATTTAAATTACAAACCTTCTCTAAAACTAATCCTCTTTTAGACTTAATAAATTATCTTACATTTGAATTTAATATTTCATTAACATTTTTTTAATATTTTATAGAATTCAAAAGACAATGCAATCTTATATTAAATATACTATTGAATCTTTCAGTAATATATTAATTTACTAAATAATCATATAGTTCTCTTGTAAAATATCGATAAAGCTCATTTAAAATATACCAAATACTTTCTAATTCCCTAAATTTTGTTTCAGTATTTTTTATTTACATTGCTCTGGTTATTTCTCCTGAAAATATCTATGTTAATTAGGAATGATCTATTGATAATGTTATTGTTTTGTTTATAAACTAACTTATTTTATTTGAAAAATTGAGCAAACATCTATCAACTTCAAGTTTATTAAATATAAATTAAACTAGTTGATCAGCACTAAAAATCTAATTGAAAAAATCATATATATTTAGAATATTGTTATAATACAATTAAATTCTAGAATCTGGTATTATTAAATTATTTTTTATTTCAATTATTTATTAAATATTAGATTCTATTTTAACATTCAATCGAATAATTAAGATCTAATTTTAAAGTAAATAAGAAGTATTTCCAAATAAGAATGTTTTATCAAAAAAACTATTAGTATCTATAAATTAACAATTTTATTAACCCAAATCAGATATTTCATTAAATTCAACATAAACTCCCCTTATAACTTTTAATACTTATTAAGCTTATTCTAAATTGTGATATATTAATGTATTCAAAATAATAGCTAAACTCTTCCATTCCAATAATGAGTCAATTAATGAATAAATTTCAATATTAGATAATTCTTAATTCTACAAATCAATTAATTTACTGATAAAGACTTCTAAAAATGATGTTGCATTTATTCTCCAAATCAATTTCTTATTTTCTTTTTTGTCATTTTCAGTTAAAAACCATACATGTTCAATAAATTTAAAAAGCTTATTAAATATAATTTGAATACTCTATGTTGCAAATAGACATTCTGAAAATTTAATCTAATTATCGAAAATATAGAATGGAAAATCAATAATCCATTCATCTTATTATGTTTGACCTTCTATCAAATTACCTAAATATTCATTATATTTATAAAGATTCGATACTACTATTGATATTACTTTTCGACTATCATATTATTATTAAAATTCTTGTTTACTTAATTTAAATATATTCAACTTTACTTTTGGTTATTAAAATTAATAAAACTCTGAAAAAATTATTTCTTTCTAATTCAATTTTTTATGTCTTTATCTCACTTAATAAGTGTTATCTGGTAGAAGCTCTAACATAAATTGAAAATCTTCTTTTAATTTTTATCTTTAGCTTGTTGAAACTTACTTAGATAATCCTAAAGAACTATGTGATTACCCAATTTAAGAAGATTATTATCTTTATAATACCGGTTATTATATTGAAATTTATTATGTTAATTCTGGTTATCTAATTTATTCATGTTAATGAGGTGCAAATAAATCATCTATTTCATACTATCCACATTTTTCTAAAGGTTTTATTAATTATAATATTTGATTTAAAGAGTCTTCTAAAGGTATATCCTCAAAATCAACTATATCTAAACAATTAAAATCAAATTTAGATAAATTAACTTTATTAATTTATGCAATTTTAACATCCAGTATTTCTTGCATCAAAGCAGGTTATTATTCTAATTATTTTTAGTGTGTTTTAGTTTTTAAAAAATTTAGAACATTATCAACTTTACTTTAATTTAAAATTAGCTAATTATTTTCAATTGTTAAATAGATTTAAAAACAATCTTCAATAATTTATATTTCACCATTTCCAAAGTAAACTTAAAATTTTTGTTTACTATCTTTAACATTTTTTTTGCTCTTTAGATAAATTTAACACTAAGTCTTTAAATTATCAACTATTGCTTCAATTTACTTAATTGATATGATGCTTTTTAAAATTGATGATTCTAAAGAATTTTCATCTGAATTTAATTTTTCAAAAAAATGATCATCTTCTATATTCAATGTAATTTAAGAGAAATCTTTCAAAAATTAATATGTATTACTTGTATATTTTATCTATATTGGGTTTTATTAATTTGAGTATTATTTAAGTAATTCATAAGTTCTTTAAAATAAGGGAGTTGAAATATATGATTAATTCAATAATATTGAATCATAATTATCTTACTTAATACTTTTTAATAATATTAATATGTAAGCAACTGATGGTTTCATATATTCTATTGGTATAGGATTTTCTTCCTCTTATTCAATTACTTCTCCTTCAATAGGCACTCCTTTTTCTGGAGTTCTTATGTAATCTTTATACATTTTTTAGTGATATCTTAAAAAACTGTCAAACTCAGAATTATCCTTTAATTTAATATACAATATCACAATTAATTCTAACGTAACATGTATCGCTTATATTACTTTTAAAAGTAGTAATGGGTTAATTTCAATAATTTCAAATATTAAATTATTATGAATGATTTAATTTTAGAGACAATTTTTAAAGAAATTTTTAAGTTAATTTTAATCAAAGTTTTAAAATTCATTCTTAGTTTTAGCTTCTTAAATTAAATATTTTATCATATGTTCTGGATATTTATATTTTTCTAAGCATTCCAATTTATTATCACTTAATGCTAAATTTAAAAACTTATTTTTTAAATCAATTTATGCCTACAATTTAAATACTGAATTTAAGCAAGCCTACTCAAATAATATTAATTCATTTAATTATTTATCCCTAATATAAAGACTTTTTGATTTCTAAATTAAAATTTCTTTTTTGGTCGGCAAACTTTTTTTCCATTTTTTACTCATCTTTTTCTTTTTTTTTGATGCCTTCTTTTTGTTTTCTTCCTTTTATTTTTCCTATATTTTATCTTTATTCTTTAATCTTTCATATTAATGCCAAGGTAATTATTATTGAGCCAATTGTAATAGATCGGAATATTTTTTATAAAATAAATCTTCTTTAGAATTTTCTTCTATATTTTAAGGTTATTTTTAACATCCAAAAATCAATGGTGAATTTATAAGTATCAAATCATCTTTAGTTATGATTCCATCCAAGTAATTCAAAATATAATAACATTTATTTAATAAAGCAATTTAATAAATCTTATACTCAGTTAATTTTGAAGGTAATTCCAATTACTTTTTTATTAGATCATGTACTTTTTGCTTACCCAATATATTTGTTAAATAATTAAGAAAACATTCTTTAAATACTTTCTCCATTTTTTTGTAAAATACATAATAAAGAATTGGTATGTCATTAAATGATAATAGCTTTTCATAAGCCTTTACTTTACCTTTAATAAATTAGTTAAAATACTTAATTATATTTACCTCACATTATTGAATTATTAAAATTTAAAACAAATTATTTGATAAACCACAGTTGACTGGATCAGCATTAAGATTCAATGCATATATAATAGATGTATAATTATTCCCCATAATTGCAGCTACTAAATGATTTTGTGAAAATTACTATTATTTTGTAATGTGATCATGTCGTCCTTTTCTAAGATATATTTAATTTTTATTTAATTCAGCTGCTGTATATTACAATTTATAAAATTAGGTTTTAATTTATTCAGAATTTTTGTAAAAGTTTAATACATCCAATGGATATGAATTATTTTTCAATATATCTACTTATTTATTTACATAAAATAATGTAGTATTGTTAAATCTTAAAATTTCTAGTTCTGTTAAATTTTTTTAGAGTAATTTAACACATCTTATATTTTCATATTATTATTATAAAATTATATTAGCTATCTCATTTTATGACTCATTTTTAAGATTTAATAAAACTTCCAAAAAAAATTATTTCTAAAACTATGTAAATTTTGATGGAAATTAAAATTCTATTTCTATCTACTTCAAATTCACATTAGCATTATATAAATCTATATAACCTTATGCTCTTGAGGATAAAAAACTATTAGGAAATCTGTTTTTTTCAAATATTGACAATAATGTTTATATAATTGCTTAACTTTTTTCTATTTTTTTATTCTTGGGATTTAATAGATTTAAATAAAATTCATAATTAGCTAAAATTTCTTTAGATTTAATTTTTTTGGCATTAAATTATTTTTATATTAATTCTATACATTTTAAATAATCTGTTTTTTAACCTCCTGTACTCATAAATAAAGCAGATCGATCTTATTTTTATTCTCCAAAGCATTTGCTTTATTAGTAACTTAAATTCTATTTTATCTTGAGTACTTTTTTAACATATTATCTTTAAATAAGATTTATATTATTTGATCTGCAAAAATTTTGAACTATTTTTTAAGCTTCTTATTTGATTTCCAAATCACTCCTTTTGTTTCTCAACTTTTTGAATTGACTCTCATTTGGTTAGAAATCAAAAAATTATATTCTATTTATTTTTTTTATATTTTCGTTTCCATTTTCATCTACATCAACCTATTAAGGATCTTCTGCATCATCTTAATTTATGTTATTATTCTCAAACTTTATCTATAATTGTTACTCTAAAAATTGTTTTACTATTTCAAAATAATTTGCACTATATAATTCAAAATCAAAAGCTGTTTAACTTAATATAAATTACACTTTTTCATAAAGACCATTTTCTATAAATGACTATAAATGTTTAATTTTTTAATCTTTTGTTAAAGGAATCTGTTTACAAAACTCTTAATATTAAGAAAATGTAAAAACTAAATAATATTATTTAGATAAAGCCTTATAATAATTTTCTAAAGCTTCTGGACATTTTAAAGGTACTTTATATATCTAATTATCAAGATTTAATTAATTATTTTCACAATAGTATAATAATTAATTTAATGTTTAGATTGATTAATTCTTTTTCAAAACGAGACCATAAAGATAATATATTTTATTTTTTGATAGCTTTATTTTATGGAGATATTAAAGAGCTTAATTTTCTTAATGTGAAAAGTAAGATACATATAACTTTTCTAACAAAGTTATTGTTTACTCATCTTTATTCTCAATCTTAATTACTTAATTTAGTATCACACTTATTGTGTTTTGATTTTTTGGTAATGATTTGGTACAATTTTTCATTATCATTTATATTTATTCAATAGAACTTTTAGATAGAATATCTTTAATTATTAACTATATTAATTCCTTATCTTTTTCATAATATAATAAATCAATTAAAGATTCCTAATTAATTGTTTTATAAATAGAACTCTTTGTATTTTCTTCTATTTTTTTCCAATTTTAAAGTGATATTAATGATATAATATTAGAAAAGTTATATTAAATGCCTTAATTTTATTCATACTAAGGAATTTTAATTTCTAAAAATTTTGAAAGTAATTAATTGAATTTTTCAACAATCAAATTGTCATGTGAATAGGTTTTCCTTTTTCCATTTATTTCAAATAAAAAAAACTATTTGGCTAACAGTGCTATAAGTTCATCTTAACTTAATTTGAACCAATTACTTATAAATTAAATATTATTATAAGCTTCTGCTTCTATCATTTTAACCAAATTTGGTTGAAAGGGCTTCTTTTAGTTTAAATGGCTTGACATAAAACCTTAAAATTCTTAATTAAGTTTATTTGATTAAGCTAAAGCTTCTACAAATGAAATCTACTAGCTAACTTAATTTCTAATAACATTCTGTTTATGACTTAATTTATCTATTTTGACATGACTAGGTACTTTAGAATGTATAATTTATGCAAAGATTCCCTAAATCTACCAATCAAATGCTAATTCATAATGTTCAAATTTTAAATCAAAAATTGTAAAATATTTTGTTACATCTTATTCAGTTAATATTTCTGGATTAAAATTAATTTTATCTTTTAAAGACCAAAATTTATTTAAAAATAGATATGGTTTAAACTTAAGCATTTCTATAAAAGTTTTTTAAGATTCTTAATATTAGTTCAATACTAAAATATTTTTATATGATATTTATGCTTTTTTAGGGGGAATTTCATTGTCTTTATTATCAGATTAAAGAATCTACTTAATAATAGATTTTTTGAAAGCATAATTTTCTATATCAAGATGAATTAATGTTTAGAAATTTATTGAATAATGTTATTCATTATCTTTTGGTTACTATTGATCATTAAATGTAATCTCAAAAATATTATTATTTAATTTAATCTTAGCTCTAATTTAGATGGAATCGAATATTTTTTTAAGCAAATGGTCTTTAGAATTTAATTATTTCAACTCAAAAGCTGTATATAAAATTGAATATTTTATATTTTAATCCATATCAAATAATAATTATGCAGTCAAACAACTTTCTAATAATTTTTAATCATTTAACTAAATTAGTAGTGAATAAATAGTTTCATGTTCTAATGATCTAAAATCAGAGTTTCCAAAAATTTAGGTGATTAATAGTTTAGGATTTTAATTAATTTATTCTATAACTATTTAATCTATCATATCAAATACTCCCTAATAAGGATATTATTTTTATTCTTTTTTTAAACTAATCAATTATGCTAGCAATTATGCTTTGAAAGAAAACCCTTTTGGAGTCTTAGAATCTAATTTTGAATTTGAATTAATTAATTAAATCATTTAGGTAATAGTTTATTTTACCTTTTCTTAATGCCCATTTCTTAATAAAATATTCATAAAAGTCTATTAACTGGTGCCTATTTCATTAGGAAAATAACTCGTATAAATGCTAAAATTATTAATCCAATCAAAATTAATTTTAAAATCTTTTTTTATTACTTATTTTACTAGTTAAATATATTGCAAATAAATAACATCATAAAGTGTTTATATATTTGATTAAGGAAATTGTTTTATTAAAATTTGTTTTTTCTTCACATAATAAAAGAATTTCTCATGTAATTTTGGAATTTAGTTATTTTTATTTTGTTTAAGATCTTTATATTTAGATTTTTTAATTAATTGTGAAATACTAGAAGCTTAAACAATTAATCTATTAAAATCAAATTTTTTTGTAATAAATTAACTCAAGAATTCACAAACAGGATTTAGAATAGACTTGTGCTAATCTAAATAGGAAATTAAGGGAATTTGATCATGATATGGTTATTCTAGTAATTTTTATGTTGATTCAAAGGATTAGAATTATCCTAAGATTTGAATAATCTCTATTTCATTTTCTTATGAAATATTTTTATTCATAGAAATACAATGTAGAATATTCTTTCCTTAAGTGGTTGAATAATTTATCGCCTATTTTAATTATGAAGGATAAATTGTTAGATATTCTAAGATAATATTTATAGGGGCTTTTTCAATGAAAATCATAAAAGGAGTTTATTCAGAAATATCAGGTTATTAATAATAATTGTTAGCATATTATTTAAAAAGGATCCAATCATTTTTTAATGCTATCCAATGAAATAAATTCATTTTTAGATTTTTTAATTCTATTTTACAACTATATATCTAATTACTTTCTCCTTTTGGTATAGACTTTGGTATAGATAAATTAGTAAAATTAATATCAATTTTAGCATTTTAATAAATTTATTCTAAATTTGATTGAATTTTAAAATTTCTAAGCAATTTCACAATTGAGTTTAATAATTTTATATGATATCTATTTTTGAGATTAAATTCTGATCCAAAATTAGTAAATCCTTTAAATAATATTAGAGCCTCTTTATGTAAGATCAATGTATTAAGTTAATTGATACTTGAGATTGTTTTAATAAAATTAATTGATTATTAAACTTAGATATCATTTTTTCTTAATGGTTTAATTTTATGAACGATTCGAATAGCAATAAAATAGAGATCATCATTGATTGGTAAATTATGTTCTTATAATAAATGAGTGATTATTTCAAAATCTTCAATATAAATTAAAATGAGTTCAAGTAAAGTTACTCCCTAACAACCTTTTAAAAATAATATTTAAATGAGTGATTTATCATACTTGTTAGATATTTCCTAAAAAAAAGTAAATAATTTATGTTACATTCAATTCTTATAGAGTAAGCTAATTAGAAAAAACTAACTATTCAATTTCATTAATAATTTATTTTTCAGTTTCAGAATTATGATGTAATTATTCAACGTATTCCATTCCAAATTTTATTAATTTCTACAATTTTTCATTTCTAGGAATTTAAGGTTTTTAAGGTTATGGAGATTCATGTTGGATGTAGTCATCATCATTCTCTTTTTTTTTTGGTTTAGGATTTTTACAAGGAAGATCAATTTTCTTTTACACAATTTTTTTTTTTCTATCTTGTTCAAATGTATCATCTTAATCTACCTCTATTTGTTGTATAACTTATTGTTATACAATAGAATGAGAAATTTAAATAGGTTTATCATTCTTATGATCAGGTTCTCTAATATTAATTGCTCCACTTACACAACACCCCATTTATTAAATAAAAAGTTTTAATATTATTTTTAAATGTAAGAAATATATTTATGTTGATAGATTCTGATCAATTGATTTCTGAACTTATAATATATAATATAGGGATGATCAAATATTTAGAAGTGAATAAAATATCGAATTATGTAATAAATTAGAAAATTCGATATATTTACTAAATGAATCGATTATAAAGAATATAAAAATTGATTCAAAAGAAGGAGACGTTTTATTTGAAGGAGTAAAATAATTGATTAAGATAGAAATAACCAATTTGTATGCATTCAAGACTCAAAAAAGTGATTTGCCGAAATGGATATTGATTGACAAATTAAGTATAATAAACTATTTGATTACAGATAGTATTAAAAAATAATTATTAATGATTTCCCTTAATGATACTAATAAGCTTTAATGTCAACCAATAGAAACATTTCGTAGATTGATACTGCCTCATAAGAGTGAAGCATCTTTAGGGGTTTAGGGTTTGACAAAACATCCTAATACTACTAGAAATGCATAAAGAAAACTATTTATTATCTAAAAACCTTAGGAAGAAAGTAATTAAGAGAATTTAAATACATCATCAAGTTTTGAAAAAAATATAGCTGATGAACTTTTCAGACATGAAGTTTGTGATTGGCAATCATTTATGTAGAAAGAATAAGACATAATTCATTAGATGAATACTTCAAATGATTTTTCAGAAGAACCAGGATAGAGAGCAAAAACATTAGAATCGACTACAAAAAATAATTAAACGAAAAAAGGAAATGAAAGGTATCCATATTTTCAAAGAATGAAACAAGGAAAGTAAATTATTATGTATAAAAATAGCAAAATTCTTCCAAATTTAAGTACATAAGACTTTCTAAGTTCTGTCAGACACACAACTAAATTAAATGAATATGCTAAAGTATATAAACAATAACCTCAAAATCTTTATTTGAGTTTAAATGTTTCTTAGCCTTAAAGAGTTCCAAAGACTTTTGGTTTGATTCAAAATACTTAATAATTAGTATCTGTAAATACAAATCGATGTTTAAGATCAAGAGAGGATTATAGGGCATTTTCATGTGCTATGTAAACTTAACAGAGTAAAAGTATTACTACTTTGTAAATGAATCATAATATTTTTGATCCAAAGTAATTAAAAGATTTGTTACTAAGTTTTCCAACTACTTTAAAAGATTTAGAATTAATCGACTGTAAATTACACTATCAACATATGGATGTATTAATGAATTACATTAATAAAAATTAAATAAGTAAAATAAATTTAGAAAAAAACAACATTAGAGATTAAGGATGTAAAATAATAGTGAAATATTTAATGAATAATAATACACTATAACATTTGAATTTGAATAATAATCAAATAACTGAATCTGCTTGTTTGAGTTTATCAAATTTATTGAAATAAACACAAAGATTATTAGAATTATATCTTGGATATAATCATTTAAATTCAAGTGCTGGAAACACTATATGGAAAGCAATGTATAAGAATACAAGCATTAAAATATTAGATTTATCACATAATAATATAGCATCTCTTGATTCTGCTACATCAATAGCTAAAGCAATAGCTAGACCATATAATGAATTACTTCATGTAGATCTTTCATATAATAAATTCACTTATTTATAAGCATAAATAATTGCTGATGCATTGATTAAAAATGAAACTATATATGGATTTCATTTTGAAGGCAATTAAACAGAATTAGTTGTCAATTAAAATGGATTTTTAATGAATAATATTTAATTAAAAAAAATTCAAAGTGATAAATTAACCTTACTGTATAAGCAACCACAATATTTTAAGTTATTGGATTAACCTAAGAAGGAGTTTTCTGCAGTAACAAAATAATATGAAGAATTAGTCATGCCATATAGTAGATAAAGAAAAATTAGATCTACGAAAATTAATATTTAAAAAGTTAATTAAATGGGAAAAGTAGATACTTGTTGGATTTGTGAAGGATGGTAAGAAATTAAATTTGAATGGACTGCTTATAAATCAGGAAGTTTATCTAATGAACCAATATTTATTCATTTTGATTTTGAAGATTATAAACCTCTTTTGATGACTCATTTAAATCATGAATTTTTTTTAATCAAAATGTGTCCACCTAATTATGATATTCATTATTTTTTTACAAATCCAATATTAGGTGTATAACAACCAGCACTTGATCAACCAATTATTTAATTAGAAAATCCTTTACCATCTATACCTTTTCTTTATAATGATGAAATTTTAGTAGATGGAAATATAATTGAATGTTTGAATGTGTTAAAAACATTTAATAAATAATAATTATTTGATAAATATATGCCATTAGTTTAATGTAAACCAAGAGAACCTTTAGCTAAATTTGATTTCTCTCCTTATCTAAATATAAAGAAACACTGTTGGTCAGTTGAAAATTCAATATTTCGAAATTTCTAACCAGATACACCTTAATTAATTGATTAATGTTTTGACTTTGATTTTTAGAATTCAAAAGTTACTAGACTTGTGAAAGAAAGTGAAATTACAGATGTTAAAGAATGTCTCAAAGATTTATATAAAAATTTATTTCACATTTATAAATATCATGCTTCAGGATCATTGAATACACCTATTCCTTGTATAATGATATAAGATTTCATTGATTTTTTAGTTCAAACTTCATTGATGGATGGAATGAAAACTAATGATATAGACATTAGTTTTACTTCTACTAGTGCAGCAAAGGATGTAGCATTTCCATAAGCATATGAAAAAGGTATTGTCAGATGTTAATTATTGGAGATCATGATTAGATTATGCAACGATAAATTTATAAGATCTGGAATTTATACTACAATGGTAGATTCAATTGATGCCATTAAACAATAATGTCAAGAATATTTTAATAAATTTGATTAATCTTAACAATGGAGAAAGAATAGACTTTGGAATCAAAAATGTGATATATTGTTGAATGATAGACTTGCTATGCTTAAATCATTATATAAATATTGTTGTAAATTAAGTAAGAAACCACAATAATTTAAATTTGAATATGTATCATATTCAGATTTTAAAGATTTCATAACTGAATGTAAATTAATTTGTGATGATTTAACTGAAAGAGAATGTTATTTAGTTTATCTTCAATCAATGGTTACTTAAAAGGATGAGCTTTTCTCTTCTAAACACTATTAAATGAATTTTCATGAATTTATTGAAGCATGCAGTCGTTTAGCTGAAAAATTATCTATTATAAGAGGAGACAAACCAATGGATATTGATGATAGAAGGGCTAAAGATTTGCATACCAAATTAGATGGTTTTTTATTATATGTCTATTTGAATATTGGAAGTCAAATGAAAGCCTCATTATCTCCAAATGATCCTGATATTAAAGGAGTTGATAAATGTATGATTAATGATTTTAAGTCTCTCAAATAGAAATTAGAAGATTCATTTACTGATGGAGATGAACCCCCATATGATCCAAAAGTTGAATTACCACATCTTTCAAGTTAAATAACTAATTTATTGGGAAATACAATAGGAGGTAAAAAATAAACTCTTAGATAACAAATTAAATAAATGAAAAAAGAAGAACAAAAGTTCTCTCTAATTAATTTTGTTTAATATTTTAAAAGCATTTAACAAATAAACAAAGATTAGGATGACTGATCTTACTTAATCATTTTATTATGAATATTATATATAATATAACAATAATCTTATAAATATCAAAATTATGATTCTGTATTTAACTATCAGCCTTTTTGTTCAAATTTATCAAATGCATATTTATACTTTATATCCTTATTTTTAACTTTAATTACATCATCTTCTACCTTATTTAAAGTATAAAGTTTTTCAAATTGAAGAGCATAAATTCCTGATGAGATATATATTGATTATAATTAATTGAGAAAGTCTTTTCCTTTGACTAATTTTTTCTAATAGACTAAAAATATATTTTTATTAATACCTGTATTATAGATTTTGGTAGCAAGTGGAAAATAGGTTTAAAGAGCATAAATATTTTTGGACATACTTGTTAATGCATAATATTTATCATGTATATCAAGTTATTTATATTGATTAGTACTAAATATTTAATTTTTTGACCATAAAGATAATACTTTTTCTTATCCTTCCAAATAATACTCCCATTCTTATTCTAACTTTTAAATTAATGAATTATCAAATAATTCTATATACTAAATGAAATAGATTCTGCATTTTTCAGCGTTGTTATCTTTAAGTTTTAGTCTCTTGATTCCTTCTAGAATAGATTAACTATTTTGTATCACTGTTCTATCCTTTTAATTTAGATAACAACAAAAAATTGACCATGCTCTTGATAATGAATCTTCATCAGTTTTATAAGATTAAGTCAAATATCTTAAAATTATTGATAATTTTCTTAGCTATAGAAGATGTTTACTATGATTTTCTAAGTAATTAGAAATGATAAAAAAAGAATGATCAACACATTCACATCCTGTCCATCTAACTCTAAAGGGAAACTTTTTAATTCCAATTCCAATATCATCTCCAAAAGTCCATGCTGGTTTTTTTAATTTTCTTCTTTCTTTTTCTTTATTTTATATATCATATTATATTTCTGATCTCATTTCTCCTTTAAAACATTAATCAATGATAATATTCATTTTTGTTTTCAAACAATATTTTTCGCAATTCACTAATTTTCTAACACCATATTTATGATATAATTTAACTCCTAATTCATCTGCATTTTCTGCAAATTACTTATAATTATTATTGAGCAATTCTAATTCTTCGTTATATTTAATTATTTTAATGTTGATTATTTTTATGAAACTTATATTGAATTTTAATAAACTAATATTCTCTCTAGAAACATGGTTCTTCTCTTGAATATTTACTGTCATCTTATAAACTTTTTCTAGAATAACTTTTAACTATTCAATAATGGTTGGAATTATTTATGTAATACTTTAAAGAGATTAAAGATAATCATTCAGAACTTCCCCAAACCACTACAATTTTAAATCACCACACAAACCTAAATGGAAGTTCAATTATTTCCCTAACCAAATAATTAATTAATAATACCATCATTATCAAATTTATAAAATACTCCATTCTAGTTTCCCTCACCCAAATTACAAATTGAAACATATCTAGTCCAAAACCCAAATGCATCTATTAATGTCTGATATGCTGTTAAAGATACCTATTATTATAGCTTTACAAATATACTTTTGTAATTCGTAATAAAATTATTCTATCTCCTTCAACTTACTTATATAGCTGTTATACTTCATTTATTAAATTGTTTGCAACCAAAAACAATTGAGTCAATTCTATAGATTATGTTCCTAGTTTAAGCTATTAAAAATCGTTAAATCCAAAAGGAACTGTGTCTGCTGATGATGTGCATCCCATATTTTATTATTATTTATGCACTCTAAATTATTTAATGAACTTTTAATCACTATTCAAACATTTATACACTCCAATATTGATGTCAGATCAAATTAGGATGACCTGGCGAATAAACTGTCGATCAATTCAACTAAATAATTAAATCAATTATTTTTATATTATCATTTATACTCTCTTTATAGAATAAGTAATATAAAAAACTAGTTCTAGAACCTTTTTAGCAAAAATAAATTTAAATTGCTTAATAATATTATCTTTTGTAATTCAATAGCAAATCTTAAGTAAAATAATGTAAAGAAAAATCTTGAAACTGCAATTTTCTTTTTTTGCAAACAAAGTGTAACTGTCGGATATTATAAATATTTTAATATTATTCTAAAAATCCTTTTTGATTACATACCTAATTAATGTTAAAATATACTTGGTTTTTTTCTAAATTCACTCTTAATTAGACAATAATAAAGTTTTTGTAATATAGGTATCTAGATTTAAGTCATCATATATATTATTATCTCAATAATTGTTATAATAAAAAAATTCTACAATAATATTATAACTAAACTCTCAATGATTATTCAATTACATTAATAGATTCCGTTACGTCTTTAAATTTTTTTTTTAATCAAATGATAATTATTACAAAAATGAAATTTCAGATTCTAAATAAAAAACTTATTTTTCTGATTATTTAGAAAATAAGTAGTAGTATATAAAAAATATATTAATATAATATTAAAGTATATAATTGAACAATGAGAAAACCTATCGTTTAATATTTACAATAATAATTAAATATATAAATACTATAAATAAATTATAAAAATGAGTAAATCATATTTGTTGCTTATTTCTTTAAGCAGATATTTACTTTTAAGTTTCTGCAAAGTTTTTAATTTTTTTAACTTTTGAAACTGCATTTTCTTTTTTGATTTTCTTTTTTTAAATTTCTTAATACTCTTTATTATACTTGCTTTATTATTCAATTTGTTTTGATTGATATCTAAAACCTGCCTTAGGTTATTTAACATCATAATCAACTTAGACAAGTCTTCCATGAACTTTTTTTCCATTCATTTATAAAGCTTTAATGACTGATTAATGATCTTCAAAATCTATATAAGCAAAGCCTTTAAAATTCTTAGTAACAGTATTATAAACCATTCTAACATTAGCAACTTTCCCACAGGGTCTAAATGAGTCTCCAATTTGATCAGCATTTAAATCATAAGAGAGATTTTTAACAAAAATAGTAAGACAATCTGGAGGAGGAACACTTGGTTTTTGTGATTGAATTCCTTTAGCCTCCTTAACATCAATATATCTAGATCCTAATTATGAGCCATTAAGTGCTAAAGCTTTTTTAACAGCTTCTTAATCATTAAATGTAATATGACCATATCCTAAAAGTCTGTTTGAATCCTAATATCTAGGCAATTTAATAGAACTAGATTAATTGCTATGAATTACAGAATTTCTCCACAATCTTCAAAAAGTGTTTAAACATCATTTTCTGAAGCAGTGTATGGTAAACCACTAATAAAGACTTAATACATTAATATTAATATAAAATTGATGTTATTCAATATTGTTTCTAATGGTTTTGAAAAATTATATGAAAAAGATAACCCAACCTATGATGAAGTAATAAGATTTATTAGAGATTAAATGAATATTGTTAATCCATTATTAACATATATAGATGATGATGGAAAATCATATTATGTTAATTGTACAAATGACATCAATGAGATAAAAAAGAAATTATCTATAATAAAGAAAGTTAATTTATATATAACATTGTAATCTTGGACATGTGCATTTTGTACATATGAAGAAAATACTGAAGATAAATGTGAAGTTTGTGGTTAAATGAAAAAATGAATAATCTCAATATCAATAAACTAAATTAATCGGTTCTTTTTTGAATCAATCATCAAAAAATTATCTTTTACATCAAATAAATTATATTTCTTACTTAATGTTTTTATTTAATAAACTTATTTAATTCATATTTATTAATTTATACATTATAATTATCCATTTATTTAGAATATATGAATAATTATTTTTAACTTTATATAAAATGTTTAATAATTTTTAACCATTCTTCCTATATGATTAGTCTGATCTCTATCTCTTCATAATTATCTCTTATTTACTACCTATAAGGTATTTTCATCCTTTTTATACATTACTTTTAATAAATAATGCTATCTAAATCTGAATTTACACTTAATCAATGTAATTTCATCATTATTTAATATTATTGGTAATGCTGTTTGAATTAGTTTTGGATTGTTTAAAAATGAAGAATTTTTAAGACTTTAACATAAAAACTACATTAATTATATTTTTATAATGAAACAAATTATTATCAATTTCTCAGAACTCAATGATGATGCCAAATAAAAATATATCAACTTTCTAGCTCAAAGCAATATAAGTATAGAAAAACAAACAATTAAGAAACCTACTATGCCATAATAACACAGAGCTAGGTTATACAGTACTAATACTGATATTGCTAATTTTAAGTCTAATACTCCTACAAGTACATCAAATGTTATTCTATATTTAATTAGAATCTAAAACTTATATTTCTACTCATCATAAAACAGATCATTCTATTGGGACCAAATTTAATGATCTTCATGACTCCTATCCTACTATCATGAGTTTAATATCCAATTAAGATCTCCTTTCAAGACCACTTAAATTTAATTTTAATGATCTTAATCTTCTCATTGAAGAAATATATTAAAGAAAATTTATTGATGATACTAATCAAATCACTAAATAACAAAATGTATGTAACACACCTTTTGCAGATTATGTCTATAATTTCTTAATTTATAAATTTAAGCATTCCAAAAATTAAGTATTAAACTTCACCTATTATTATTAAGCAAATTATCAATTTCCTTTCATCAGTTGATTTACATTCACTTAAGAAAAAAGAAATTGCTCTTTTTTAATCTTTTTTAAGGTATCATAGATAAGAAGCCTTAACTTTCTATTTATTTACAAGAGCAGTTATCTAAAAAGAACTTAAACTCTCTTTTTATCATCGTATTATTTACATTTTTAATTACTATAGCACTTCGCAAGTAATCTATAGATAGTGAGTTGTTATAATTAAATTAAAAGTAAGTTTAATAAATATTGCAACTTCTATTTAATAGTTAAGAAAGATACTAAGATTTCAAAATGTACTTTAATGGAAATTCTATATCAGTGAGTGATTTTTCTTCAGTAGCATTACATATTTATGAAATTCAACATTAAACACATAAATAAAAACCATTTTAAACATAAACAAAAAATGTTCCTCCACTTAAATTAACTAATATAACACATAATTTTGATTAATTTTAAATGGATTCTCCTTTATTTGCATAATCTGAAGTTGCAATAGATTAAAACTAATAACAAGAAAAGTTCTGTGCATCCACTAGTTAAAGTTAACAGAATAGCAATTAAAAATAAAAAGAAATAGAAGTGTAATTTAAATTTAAAAAAGGCAATGAAAATTTAAATTTAATTTAATAAAGTATAAATCAAAAGTTGGAAATAAAATTGTCAAGTTTTATCTAAGATCTACTTACAGATATGGGAAATCTAAATTACGAATAGAAATTCTAAAGTTTAGAAGACTTATAAAATAGTATAGATGGAATTATGATGACTCTTTTGGATGCTATTTACAAATTTGATAAATTATTATGGTACCCTTAATTGTTGTTATAAAGGTTTAAAAGATTGAACAAACAGCCAGATGAAGTAGGACTAGAATACATTGAAAATCTTCAAAAGATGTATAGAAGTTTGAGTAAAGGAAAATAAGCTTAAAATGATGAGTTAGAATAATTTTGTTGTTTATTGATGCAAGTATTGATATATATTATATGAAGACTCCAGATTTGGCAAAATTAATAGAAAGTGAATTACCTTGGTTAGGAGGATGATACTAAATAATTTGTAATAATATAATTTATGATTGTTATATTTTATTCTAATCTAAATGATTAAACATGTTAAGAGTGATAAAATGCTATTTAAATATATTAATCTGTATTTCAAGAGATAGATTAAAGTGATTTAAAATATATTTTTGGAATTGAATTAATTGTAATTACATCAGGCATATAGAAGGTATATTTGTGACTTAGTATCTTTGTTAGATTATAATGTAGCAATGACTAAAAAATTTAAATTAAGATGAAAGGATTTGATTTCTATATTTTTGTGAAACCGTTAGAATATATGGCATGATTATTGATATTATAATGATTGGTAATGTGCAACCCATTTTATAGTTATCATAACAATTAATTTGATATTTTAAAACATTAATAATTCTTTAAGTGATTATGTATTGTTTTAGATTGGAATTATTATCGTTAATGTTCTTAAATTTGATATTCCATCTTGCTTAATTTAGTATGTTTTATTTTCAATTAATTGAATTATTTAATATGATTATAGGGATTTTTCAATGTTAAAGGGCTACTTACATAAAAATTGGTCATCTTTGAATTTATATCATAAATATTAATTATATCTATATTCAATTCTTATTGCATCAATCTTCAACTATATGAATTAAATTTATTAATAATCATAATACATAATATTAATTAAGTTAAAGTTGTAAAATTAATTCACATACATAATATAATGATCTATTATCAAAACCTAAAAAAACTTAGCTAAACCATTTCTACAATTGTAATATACAAAATTTGTGATGGCCAGCATCAATATCAATACTGTTAACATTGAGTAACAGGGTTTCTGCTTATGTTGTAAATAACTGACTGCTAATGGAACTATTCTGTAAATTTAGAATTTTAGCGATTCTCTCTATACTTAACTCCAAGAAAACAGTTGGCGTAAATCAGGCCAATTATTCTATCATTCTAATCCTAAAAGTTGTTGCCAACAAATTGTATGCAAAGTACCTGTTTGTTAATACAGTTCATCTAAAAAATGTTTGAAAGCTTTAAAGTATTATATTTTAAATACTCTTAGAAAGTTAACTTAAGAATGTTTCGATTCTGAACCAATTAAACAATCCATATATAGCAACCTTTTACAATATGTTGATATTTAACGTCCTGCTCAAGAGACTTTATAAACTAAAAAAGCTTTCCAAAACTTTTTACTATCATTATCCTAACGTTTGCAATTTACTTCTTTAAATAAAAATGGGTTTCGAGAACATTCACATGATTTATTAAAATAACATGTATTATCGTTGAATAATGAATTACATATGTAGGTAAAGGTAGATAAAAAAAATTATTTACATTTTAAATGGCCCAGTGATTTTGTTGCTTTGTTAAAAAAACAAAAAAGAAGCAATTTAGTTATAGTTACTAAATAAACAATATATGACGAAGAAGCTCATCATTTATTCAATGAAAATTATTTTCAAGTTTCAAAGCATAGTTATGAAAAAATGTTTTGTGATTCCTCATCTAATATGATTAAATATTATTGTGATTCTTAACTTTCAGCTGTAAGTTATGTTGAATTTAGATCAAATTCATTGCATAGATTGAGTTTCCATTATACTTAACAAATCAAAGAAATTAATAGAATTGCTATAGATTATGAAATAAAATGGGCATAGTAATTAAATCTAAATAATTATTATTATATCAAAACAGGTTAGAATATAGAAAATTAAAATAAAGTTATCAATGATGAAATCATAGATGAAAATTATCCAATATTTAAAGGATCAAAAATGATTCAGATCAAACAACTAAGATCTATTTATTAAAAATATCTTATCGAATTACTTACTAAAATGAATTCGATTATGGGTCCATAGTTATTTAAACTTTTTATATTTAAATATGAATGATTATATATAGATTAACATATCAAGATAATTTAGACTTAAACTTTTCAATTTTTGAAATTTTTAATTTTGATTTAATGTCATTTTTTTCTTCTGTAGTATATTTTTTATTAGGACTAGAGATCACTTATTTAATCAAATTGAACACTTCCTTACTATGATTAGGATACTTAACTTAAGAACGATTTGTCATCTCTGTGAAATTGGTAGTTCGAGTAATCTTTGAGATTTAAAGATTGCTTTTAGGTTCTGTTCTCATACGCATATTAATTAAAGTTTTAGCAAAATCATCATGTTCATTTGTTTTATCTTCAGATCTCAAATAATCTAGAATCTCTTTCTTTTGAGTTTAAAGTTATTAAGTTTAAAAGTATCTATTCCTTTTCTTTGCTGAATCTTCAATTTATTTTTCTTATTGTTAAATATCCAATTATTATTTTTGATATTTAATTTTTTCATTATAAAATCTAAGTGAATGAGTACTTTTATTAACTAAATCAGGTAGAGAACTTGTATTAGTATTTGTAATAGTATGACTCTAAATTTTAGTAGGATAATATTTGTTTCTTATATAGATTAAGGAGCATTCTCTTAAAATGTTATCAATATTATAAGACATTTATTTTTCTTTAGTAAGTTTATGTTATATGGACTTGAGTAATTCGAGAGCAAAAAGGATGTGTGCTTTAAGTTTGTATGTTTGTGCATTAAGATTCCAAAAATTAGAAGTAGGATTGTTAATTTCAAATTAACATAATACTTCAAATGATTTATTAATAATTTTGATAACATCATTGCAACTTGCAGAAATTATAAGTTAAGTTTTGGTTGAAAAAAGAACTTCAAAGGGATCGATTTGCATATATGATAATTGAATTATCGCATCAGAATGAATGGAGACACTTAAAGGTGTTTGATTAGGAGTATCAAAATGTTGATCATAAAATTATCCAGCCATATTTTTAACAGCACTTAATCTAGTCATTCCAGTTCTAAATTTTTGTTTGATTTTTTAGTTTGGTGAGCGTTGTAATTATATAATATGTTAACTCATATTAATATCCTTGACAAGATATGAATTAATAATTCTATAATTATCAATAAAATGTTCTTAGATAGTATTGTGATATATTACACGATAAGGATTATAATTAGGTTTAGTATTAATGGGATCTTATGCTTGTATTTTGAAATCTGTAATATCATATTTGAGCATATATCCATTGTTCAATCCAACAATAAGATCAGAGTCATCAATTAACATTTGAGTGGCATAATTTTTGTCTACAAGACTAGTGATCATTTGATATCCAAAATCAAAATTAAGAATAGATTCAATAGCACATACATAATGGTCATTTTTGGATGTGATGGATATAAAATATAATTATGCTGAATTAGTAGCTACAATAAAGAATTATTTATTATTAGAAATAACAATACTAGTAGCAATAGCTTATTCCTCTAATTAGATTTGAATAACTACTGAGTAATATTCTAGATTCCAAATAGTAACACACTCATCATTACTTGTAATAAGTAAACCATGAGATAAATTAAAAGTACAAATATTAACTTATGAGTGATGTATCAATTATCTTAATGCTCGTTTATCTTTGGCAATTACATTATCTTTACGTACATTAAGATGTTATAAAGGAAGACACTTTAGAGAAGAGTCAATGTTAAAAATATGTAGTAAATTAGATGTTTCATCATAAGAAATTTTAATGATCTCTTCATTAAATAATTAATCCCATTATTAAATGATTTCTCCATTTTTTATTAAGACTTTAAATACATGTCCTTCAGATGTGCCTAAAATCATATAATTATTATGTTCTATAAGACAAACTGCAGTTATTTCATCTTTGAAATCTTATAAAATGTATTCTATCTTACCATTAATACAATTCTAAATTCTAACATCTGTTCTGGTTACAATAATATTCCTTTGATTCCATTAATCATAAATGAGTTCAATTAGTTTTGTGTTCTTAGGAGTATCATCATGTTATTCAAAACGTAAAGCTTATAATCTAGTTGTGATTAAACATAAACACTTATTGTAGTAGAATAACTATTTGGACATTAACTTAGTTTATAATTTAATATGTTAATGAATCTACTATGATCTTATATCCCATAATATTATTGTATTTTTACAATCAATACTTACTAATAAGGATGTATTTTCAAGTAATTCAATACAACTAATAGTTGATAAATGTCCTTTCAATTAACATTTCAGATTTTAATCATTATATTTAGTATGTAATTAATAGCAACAAATTTAGCTGTCTAATCCAATTGTAAATATTAATTAAAATGTTCTTGAATACTTTACATTCGTAATTATATTATGAAGTGTATAGAATTTGAATAGGAATTTCTATTCAAACATATCAAAACAGTTGACTATGTTTGGATTTGATATAACTAATAGCATTTAGAGATGATCAATTTCACAAATCTCAATTATTTAATTTATTTATTAATTTATGCAAGTATAATTGGCTGTTTCTAAATTCCAAATCATTATTTAATTCTATTTGTTTATACTAATCCATTAATCTTAAAGATGAAGATACTTCATTTTTTGTATTTCCACATTGTTCTCTACTTTATAATCAAATTAATATCCGTCACTTTAATCCCAGAATACAATCGTTAAATCACGCATAACACATCCTAATCTATTATTACCATAACTTATTAATTGAATATAATTTCCTTCATCATTCTTTTTTAATCGTATAAATTTCTAAAATTCAAATCCTATGTGTAAACTAATCTTCTCTTGAAATTACATCAATAGAAATAATTCATTCTAATGATTTATTGCCTATATGATTTATGTCTTACTATTTGTATCTATTGTCTTTAAATCATTTATGATTCTTCGAAGCATATCTTAATTCAATCCCAATATTTCTGGTGGTGATATCTCTGAAGCAATTAGTTATCGCTTTTTTGTTCTCATCTAATGTTTGGGAAGAAACTTCTTATTAAAATGAATATCTAATTATTCTGCACTTGATATCAAATAGTCTGTTATATGCTTTAATTATACACAACATTATATTTAGGAACGTACATCCTGATAAAATTATAATAATCTTGTTATTGTTATTAATCCATCCAAACCGCTCTCCTCCATTCGTTAAACAAAAAAAGTTACAAAACTTTGTAAATCTATCACTTAATTTTAATTATCATCCACCATTTATGCCAATTCAAATAAATGATGCTATACTACGCTGCTGATATCAAAATCATCTATTCTTTCAGCTACTATATTTAATAATTAATCTATATTCATATTATTTTTAATATATAATATAACATCTCTCTAAATTATCAAAATTCTTTTATTCATTCTTCAATCAACCATCAATCAAATTTATATCTACTCTTGAATTAATAATACTTATTTTTCATTTTAATCTCTCTAATTCATACCAAAATATTTAATAAAATCTTTAATTTTATTTATATATTTAAATTTACTAAAATATTTTTTTCATTTAATTTTCACTTTTGCATAATTAAAATATATATACTTATCAATAATCATTTATATTGTTATATTGTTATCCTTCATCTTTATTAAGGTATTTATATTGATTATATCAATCTAAAAACATTATATTGATTTGAAACTGTTAAACTGTTTGTAATAAAATATATTAACAATAAAAAGAGGATGAAATATAATAGAACTTTATATTTAAAGCTAATCACACAATAAAATAGATATTTAATATTGAATTTCACAATGAATTTTATAACGTTAAGTGAATTTTAAAATAAATACATAAAAGTCTTATATTAATATCTTAATTGATTGGCTATAGATTGAAAATAAAAGAGAGAATGAATATTATAATAGTAGAATTAGTTGATATTCTGTTGTTTTTATGAATATTTTGAAAATAAGGTAAAAATTAGAAATTAATGAGTTAATGAGTTTTTATTTAGTTTAATTTTAAATATGAGTGAAACAAAGGTCTGTTAATGCTGGTAAATATTTGAGTTATAATTGAGTTTGGAAGAAGTCTTGAGTTCAAATTATTTACTTCATTCTCTCTATTGTGAGAGAAACATTGTGAAATGTGAAATTTGCGATAAGAGAATGGATATGATTGAAAAAGATAGTCATATGGAGACACATTAGAAAGTAGAATTGTGTATATGATTTAGACTGACTGTCCATATTGTTAATAAAAGTTTGAATAGGGATTATTAGAAATGCATAAGAAAAATTGTTCAAATAAACCAGAGAAGTGTGGTTTTTGTGATTTGATGATAAATATGAGAGAAATACCAAAACATTAAGCAAATTGTGGTTCTAGAACAGAATAATGTTAAATTTGTAAAAAGCATATATAAAAAAGAGGTAAATATATAAGTAAATGTATTTAGAGATGAATTTTCACCTAAGCATTTGTGAAACAGAAGATAAATAATAATCTCCAAAGCGTAATAGATTAAAACGTAATACAAATGATAATACATTTAAATTATCATCTGATGATGATGCATCTGTTTAAGAGATAAAGTAATTACCTAGAAGAAAACCACAGAAATAGATAAAATAGTAATCAAAATAAAAAGAATAAGTCTTAAAGAAATATGATGAAGATGATGATGAAGATTTCTAAAAGGCTTTGTAAATGAGTCTGAATTAAAAATGAATTAATAAAACTCAAGTTTTTGTGTACGTTTTAGATCAATAAAACAACATCGACATCTGTCTCATCCTATTCATTAAACTCCGAAACCATAATTATGGCGAAGTTTTAGCCTACCTAAATTCTTTTCTTTCTCTTCAGTGAAAAAATTATCCAAATTACCCAAATTACCCAAAATGCCTGAAAGAATAAGAAGAAAAAGTTGTCATTGCAATCAATGTGGCAATTTGACCTAATTAGAATATAGAAATATGAGTGTACCATTCATTAAGAAAATTTAAAACTTAAGAAAATTGCCATCTCTAAGTAATAATCGATTGTTGACTCCAAATCATCCAAGTATAGATATATGATAATTAGAAAAAATATTAAGAAAATATTCAGCATCTAGATAAGATACATTAACATGTACTTCTTCTTCTTAACTTATACTTACAAATCTTCGTAGAGCTTCTGCTAGAAGTACTGAAAAATTAATAGAGGATACATAAATTCGTATCTTTGAACCACTTACATCTTGTAGAACACATCTATTAAATACTCAATTATCACAAGAGATTAAAACTATTGCACTCCAAATACCTAAATCTTAAAAAATTATCAAAACTTAACCATCTGATAATCATAAATTTAAATTAATTCATGTTAGAACTTTGCCTAGGATCTATACTAGAAACTTTCTCAACAATTACTTAAGCAAATATAAGAAAAAGAAAACCATTTAGATTTTATAAAAAAATTGACTCAATTTAATAAATTTATTTATGAATTTTACAAATCGCGTCTTTAAAATCAAGATATCAACAATTATTACTCCGTAATTGTAACCAATTCTAATTTATTTAAGGGTTCATAAAGTTTCAGACTCATTAGAAAAATGGACTATTTATAAACCTGAATTCATAGCTCTAGTTATTAATTCTTTAGGAGGATCCCTCATTTAAACTTAAAAATTAGCTATTCTATTAAAAAATTATAGTCAAACTAAAAAGTACATATATTTTATATTCTAGAATTCCATTATATTGTTTTGGAGAAGATATTGTCATTAAAAGTGCATTAGGATTATTAACTATTGGTGATAAGGCTTATGTGAGTTAATAAATTTAAAATTATAGATCCCTATGCTATTGTTGGAAATATGGGATATGCTTAACCATTTTTTGATTTAAGAAAATTTACATCCAATTGGTATATACAATAAAAACACATTGTCACAAATGAGAACATGAAGCTTCTTAATCCATTTTAAGAATTACAATAAAAAGATCAGGAATGGGTTTAATAATAAATGAAAAATTAAGAATAAGAATTGATTAACATGATTGAAATTAATAGGAAATTAGATAAATCTAATTATGAGACTAGATTGCAAGAAATCTATAGAAATGGAATTATACAACCTAATTTATTATTAAAACATGGTATCATAGATGGTTTCACAGGTTTAGATAGCATAATTTAAGGAAAAAAAATTCGCAAATTAGTGTGATTAAATTTTCTGAGTAATAATCTTAATAATAGTAATCATTTTCTTTTCTAATTCACTTTATACAATCTTTTTGTTTCAAATATTATTATTCTGAGTTTCCAAATAAAGTTAATGTATAAAGTTTAAAAAGAATTTACATTCTTCTCTAAAATTAAAAAAAAAAATTCAATAATCAATCATCCTAGTATCTTCCTCGAATTTCTATATTTTATTAACATCATTATTTATATAAAATATTTTTGTAAGTTTTTTTGTTATCTTAATTATTAATCTAATTTCTATTAATTATATTCTAAATCTCATTTTAATTTAACTGATTAAAAGAAAAAATATTTAATATCTATTTATAATATTTAAACAATTAGAAAAAGAGCCATATAAATATCGTTTTTTAAATTCAAAAACTATGTGAAATGAGAGGAAATTAATAACAAGAAATATATTTCAATATATTTTATCTAAGTATATTTAAGGTTTTGTAGAAATTCCTTGTGCTTTGAATTTCCAATAATTAGCCAATCTAAAATAATATAAATTAATTAATAGTTTTATGTTTCTTATAACTAACTACTAATTCCGTATGTAAATTTAGAGAATTTTAAATATTTAAGAAAAATATATATTGTAATTATATAAGTCTAAACAATATAAGATGAAAGAAATAAAATATCATTATATTGATTGCTCTCTAAATTAGACTCTTCTTTATGGTTTATCTTTGCCATTAGTTGAGCTAAATGGTGAATCGGAATAACTCTCATGAGATCTTGTACTTAATATTCCTTTTAAAATATCTGTTTAAAATTGTATGACTTCATCAATTAATACTTTTGGTTCAAGATAAACAATAACATGTTATTACCTAGGAGATAATTGTGGAGGGCATAATAAACTATCTCCATCTTAATATTGATATAATTTGCAATGTTATGAGATAAGCTCTCCAATTTGTCCAATTTAAATTGAATCTGCTAAAGATTTTATTCCGTTATCTTAGCAAATAGATTATTAGATTTCTTTTTAAGATTGAGTATTAGTTTAAGTTTGAGAACAGCATTAATTGCCCATAAAAATAAAAATAATTCATTTTTTGCAAAAAATTTTTTTACAAATTTTCCCAAAAATAAACATTATAATAAAAAATGGATAGAAAAAATGAAAAAGAAAATAACTACACTATTATAAGGGAGATAAATAAATACATATTATAATGAACTTTTTATATAAAAATATAATAATTTATTATAAAATTGATATTTTAGTAATTAAAGAAACGATAGATAAAAATGTGATAATAATTTATCTTTCAATGTTTTATTATAAATTCTTTTTTTAATTTAACTCTTATGATTGATAGGAATATAATATTAAATTGTTTAATTGTTAGTATTTAATAAAATGGTAGGAATTTATGATTAAATCAATTTTAGATAAACTGTTTAAATTAATTATATAACTAAATCATTTTTTTGATTTAAGTACTTTTTCATAAGTAGTTTAAGTTTCTTTTTTGAGAAAAGGCATAGATTTTTTTCGAGACGCTTTAACTGTAGGACTTGAAAATTAAGATATGGGTCTAATTACACTATAAAATGAGAGAGATTTCTATACCTTATATCAGCATTAAATATTTATTGTCCAAGATCAAGAGCTTAACTTTTAGATGCTTTGACTCTATTAGCATTATTAGTATTTCTATTAGAAAGAAGACAGTTTTCTTTATTTTCATTGTCGATACTAAAATCAAAATTAATAGGTGTCGGTTGAATAGAAATGTTATAATTATGATAGCCAAGTTTTTTTTAAGTTGTTTTTTTACGACATTCTTCACAAACTAATTTAAGCTTTTCATCAATAAGTTTATTAACTAGTTTCTTGAGAGTTAATTGATCCATTAACGTAATTATTAATTAAAAAAATTAATTATAACAATCAAATGAGTCATAGCTCTATGGAATAGAGGGTATTAAAATAGAAATATTATAGAATGGATAATTGTTAGTAATGACAATATAAATAGATGATAAAAGAAGCGGAAGAATAGATGTATTTGAAGGAGATGATCCTGAAATATTGGCAAGAGATTTTTGCATTAAATATAACTTAAATTAAAGAGTGGCACCATTACTAATAGATAATATTTAAAAGCAAATTTAAATAGCTTAAAAAGAACGCTTAAATATGGTTCAATACGTAAGTAGTTGGAGTCTAACTTTATATTTAGTTATCTCAAAAGAAGTAGAATCTAAGACCTACAGAGAAGTCTAGTGAAATTCAATCCTAAGAATAAGGTTGTTCTCCAATTATAGCTGAATCTTAATAATCTCCAATAAAATAAGAGAGTATTAGCTAATCTGTATATGACAGACTATATCAAGATGCTCATAATAAAAAGCTTAAAAAACAGTTGCAATTATCTGAAAATAAGTCAAGTAGCTAGATTATGAAATCTTAAGAATCAGAAGTTAATTACGGCTTGATTCTCTATTAAAAAGGAATTCAAAAAAAAGAAGAGAAACTTTAAAAAGCTGAAAGTGCAAGAAAAGATATACAAAAATCTTAACTTGTTGAATGTACTTATAAACCTTAGATTAATACCCTTTCAACTAAAATTGCTTAACGTTCTCTTAAACCAGTTGGTGAACATTTAAATCAATTAGCAAAAATAATACAAGAGAAAAGAGAGAATGCATAAAATTATAAGTTAGAAATGGAATAATAAAGTTGTTCTTTTCATCCTTAAGTTAATAAAGTGTATCAATTACATTCATATTTTAAGGTCTTCTTCTATAGTTGAAGAAAAAAAGAAATAATCATAAATTGCTGTTCCACATTATGAATCATTATATCAGGATATGGATGTTAAATAATAAAAATTAACTGAATTAGATAGAAATTATTTTGTTTAAAAACATACATTCCATCCTAAAATTGATTAAATTTCATAACAACTTGTTTAAGGTCTTAGTTTTGAAGAAAGAAGACAAAAATTTAGAAATAAATCAAAAGAAAGAAATTCTAGTGCTGATGAGAGTAATATGTTTAGACCAAGAACAGGTAGACCACCAGAATAAAGACCAGAAAATCTATTTGATAATCTATATAAAGATGCATAATTATTAGCCTAAAAAAGAGCTGCAGTTCTATCAGATAGTAGGGAAAAAATAATGACTTAATCTAAAGTAAGAGCAAGTTAAAAATCTGAATTTTTAACATAATAAGCTATCATAAATTCACTTGCTAATATTTTTGATTTAATTGATAATGATAATGATGGTGAAATAGATGCTATTAGGATTAATTTAGGAAATCTTAATTCAAATGTCATTCAAATTCTATAACCTTTAATTTCAGAAATGGAAGAAGGAAAACATGTACTTACAAAAGGAGAATTCATTGAATCAGCTATGAGATTAGTTTATACTCTTTCTAACAAAGAAAAACATGATCTATTGAAAAAACCCAACTCAAAAAAATCTGACGTACCTACTTATACTTTTCATGTGTAACATTTTCATTAATTTTTAGCCATCAATAAATTAAAGACCTTAAAAAAATTCTGCATCAAAAAATAAGTGAAACACCTCATAATTTTATTTATTTGAGATTATTTAATTACATATAATATGATTCTCTTACAGTTTTTTTAATTTCTTGTTTATTCTCTTATAATTTTTTTAATTTCTTTTTTTATTAATCAATCAACAAATTTATAATAGTAATAATATAAAATGAAAAGTATTATTTATTAATTTTTATTTAATAATAAAAAAATAAGATTCTAATTTACAATCAAATTATCATATATTTATTTTATTGATCAAACAAATTTACTATTTTTGCTTGATAAATGATAGACAAGAACAATTCTTTTGTAACCTTTCATTTTTAGCTCTAAACTATTCAAAAGTATCTAATATTTATTAAATTAATATATATTTTAATTAATATTTTGAAAGGGAGAATGAATTCCTTAAATATAGAAAAAAATAAATTTATGAAGAGAGCAATTGAACGCAAATCTCAAAGAGAGATGAATTTAAGTCAAAATATTATTTTATCAGACAAAGAAATAGAAATTGAAGATTTTGATTCTCCAACAACCTTAAATTTATAAATACCGATCTTTAGTCCAACTAAAATGATATTTTCTTTACCCAGATCTGCTGGCACAATCAAATGATTTTATCTCTTAAATATCTTATATTAATTAATTCATTTTTTATTCTCAGGATAGACTATTCATTTTATATTTGACTTTAAACTTCAATACTGATCTTTGTGTATATGATGTAAAGATTTTATGAATTATAATACTCATTGATAATAAGGACTAAAAAATATAGTTGAAGTATTTAAACATATATTTTAAGAATTTAACATCTTTTTTTCAGAATATTTATGTAATTACTTTTTAAAAGTTATTTTATATAAAAAAAACTAAATTTCATAGTGATTAAATCAAAGTAAATTTATAGAGTCAATTTTGAAATTCCTCAATTCATAATTTTTGACAACTTAATGAGTTCAATATATACTAAAGTTTCTTTTTCTAGAGGAATCTTCAAATTCTTCTCTAATTCATATTCAATTCCTTCTGTTAAAAATCTTACTATTTATTACTCTTAAAATGTTAACTAAAAATTATTTTGAAATGTATACTTAATGATTCATAATAGATTGTTTTAATGATTATTCTTTTGAAATAGTTACCAATTCTGCTAAAAGGCTAGCTATTTATTCAAAAGCCTATCTATTTTATTTTGCTTACAATTCCAATCTTTTAATATGTGTCTGATATTTTTAGAAAGATGGTAGATTATATGTTTTTGGGTTTGGTTTAATATTTTTTAGATTGTCCTTAATTTGCAATTCATAAAAGGAATTTATTTTAGTAATTCGATTTTAATGTTTGAATAAGATAGGCATTGTTGAAATATAATCTTTCAGTAATAATTATATTCCATATTTAAAAACTATGAACAATCCTTCAAGATCATTATGAATTTATAGCCTTTCAGCTAAATCAATCCAATATGACAAAGCTTCTTATCTTTTATATTTACAAGGACTTTTCACAACTGAGTAAATAATATATTATGAAAGTGTATTAATTCTTTTAAAATACTAGTTTAAAATATAATTTTACTTATTTAAGACCTCCTTTAATGATAATATTTTTAATTTATAAATCAGCATAAAATGCTTGATTGATTGTGCTTAATATTTTGGCAACTTCTTCTGGATGCCAAGGTAAGACTTCATTTTCTTTTAGGACAAAAAGAGGTATAAAATTTTAAATTCCTAATCCCAAATATGGATTTGAATGTTATTCATCTTCAAATTTAAATTTTAAAACTGTTTGAACATATTATTCAATAAATGCAATAAAGATCTTATCATTCTTTAATTCATTATATCGATACTAAAATATGAGATTAAAAAATATAGGTATTGAATTTTAACATGAGACATAATTTGTCATATCCATTTAATTTTCGTTTTAAATCCATTTCCATATTAAATATAAGGAAAAAGTGAATAAGTTTGTAAAATAATCAACTGTTAATACAATACCTTTTTTTATATTACAACCTTCATTTTAAATTTCCTTTTCTATCAATGAATTAAAAGTACATTCTTTAAAAAATGTTTCTAAATCTACACATTTTTAAGCAAAATGTTCTAACCAATCCTCTTAAGTTTTGAATACAAAATTAAATTATTGTTTAGCAGCTTCAGATAAAATGTCTAAATCTAAAATTTAAGTGTCTTTTTGTACCTAAGCATTTAGAATAATTATGTTGCATACCTTCATCTGGTAAAGTTCTAGAGGATTATAAACTAGATGAAGAGCAAACAGAATTGCATTAATGATTTCGTCTCAGATCCATAAGTAAGTCAGTACCATCAGAAAATTATGAATAAAAGCTTGCAGCTATTCTTTATGTTTAAACATCACAAGTTTTTGCTTTTATAATTTCACTCTCTTCTGTTTCTGGGCAAAAGAATAATTAATTTTATTCTTACATTTTTTCTTATTTTTCTATGAGTTTTTTGTTATTAAAAATTAAATAAATTTTCCACTTCGTTTGATAGCAAAATACTAAACAATTAAAATAAATATTTGATTAATCCCAAATAATATCATACTTAACTTTATATAAAAAAATAATTTTAAAAGATGAGAATAACAAATTAACATATCTATAAATATAAAGATCAAAATTTGACTTTCTTTCTACACATATCGATCTGCTTGGAATATGTTTCAGTTTTATCGCTAACACTGTCGTCATTTCGAATTTGATTTTAAATTATTTCATCTTTGTGTCTAATAATATCTTGTAATTTCGCAATCTCCTAATAGCATTTCTGTATCTCACTTTACATACTCTAATTGTAATGCTTTGGTTTATTAGGCTTTTTAATGTTACTCTTTAATAGTTCATTCTCCTATCGTAAAAGCTTCACTTGGGTTTCTGCAATCTCCAACTAATTTTTGATGCTTTCAACTTACTTTTCTAAAGCTAAAAATTCATTTATGGTTTCTCTGCAGTGATCACAATGTTCCATTAATTAAAATTTTATATATAAAATATAATTAAATAAATATAAATGTTTTTGATAATAATAATATTTAAACAAAAGTAATTTTTTATATGATTTCTTATTAGAACTTGATCTAAATATATGAAATTTTTATATTATTGATAGGTGATAATATTGATTTTGATTTTACATAAATAAAAATTTTAAATTTAAATAATCCCTCCCAAATTAATGTAGTTAAGAAGTGGTGTACTAAAGTAGCCTCCAACAAGAAATTATATTTCAGGTTATCAAATATTTTATGCATAAAAATTTCCTGAATTGAAAAAAGAAGGTAAAATTTAAGTAGGTGATGCTGGTCATAAGATATCTGAAATGTGGAGAAATTTAGATGATGATGAGAGATCAAAATTTGAAGATGAATTTCATGAGATGGAATCTAAATATAAGGAAGATTTAATTCTATATTATGGAGGAAGTACATCAGATATTAAAAAATATAAAACATTAATGGAAATTCCAGAAAAGCCAAGAAAACCTGCTCCTGCTTGTCTAGTCTATATTGCAGAACATAGAAAAGAATATAGTTAAGAAAATCCTGATTTTAATACAGCAAAAGTGACAAAAAATTTAGCAGACCAATATAATGTACTTTCAGCTAAAGAAAAAAAAAAGTATGAAGAAGACTTTGAAAAGAAATTGTAATAATATCATAAAGAAATTGAAGTTTGGTAAAAGTAAAGATTTTATTTTAATAAAAATAGAAAATTTTCTGAAAAGTAAGAATAATTTGAAAAATTGCTTGAAGAAAAGTTTAAAAGATCTGCTTCTAAATAAGATTTAGAATATTAGGAATTACCACCTTACAAAAGAGGACCCAAAAAAATGAAAGATGAGGAAGAAACTGCTTCATAAAAAAATAATATGAAAGAAAAAGATATAAAGAAAGAAGAAAAAAGAGATGAAAAAAAAGATGATAAAGATAAGTATTTATAATTAATTAGATTTAGATAAAAAAACACTAAAAATGCCAAAGATGAAGGCAAAGGTGTTTAAAATAAAGGAGAATCAAAAAAATAATTAGATAATAAAGATTAAAAAGATGGATAAATGAGAAGAAAATCTGGTTAGAGAAGATGTTGAAAATATCTTTAAAATATTATATTAAATTTTCTGTTAAAAAATATAATTTTTTAAAGAAAGTAAAATGTGAATGGATTAAATAATACTAATACGATAAATAATATATAAATAATATTCATTTTATCGGAAGGCCTTTGAGACAGCTCTTGGTAAGAAGTTCAATAACTTCTATTTCTTATTCTTTTTGTAATGATGGTAATTTCTCAAACTAGAAGGAAATTAGATTATGAATATTCAAATGATTGTTTTTGATAATGCTAGTAACAATCAATGATCTAAATTAGTATTAAACGATGTGTTAAGTAGCTTTAACAAGAAATTTGCAAAACATATAATAATATTTATAATTTAATTTTCATTCGATTTATTATAGCATGTCTTCTACTTATTATTTTTTTTAATAAAATTCTAATCTATTTCCTTTAATTAATTCAAAATCAAGCCCAACAGTTTATTCGATAGGACCATGTACAAGTTAAATAGCCATTTCAAATTCTTCATTATTTTATAGAAACCAATAATGAAGCTAATATATCATAAAGTTATATACTTTGTATTTTTTATCATCTACATAGTTAATCTTGTTTGCAAATTAACCCATGTTTTCAATAAGCTTTATAAATATAAGATCAGGTTCAAATGGAAGATATACATCTGTTAATTTAAAACGTTTAAGTTCTCTCTTTATAGTTATGTCTATAGGGATTTCCTCATCACCTCTTTTGAAATTTCCAATTCCAACAGTTACTAAATTAGTTGGATCATATACATTAATAATTTTAATTAGCTGCTTATTTTTTTTATTTTTCAAGTAATTTCAACATGTTTTCTTTATCTTATTATGCTTGAATTTTTAATTTACGTGCATTGAGTAATTTAATAATGATTTCATTATTAATGGTGGAACCCTAATACCAAGATGTACTAATAATTTCTGAAAGTGTTGGTCTTTGTAATGGATCAAAAGCCAACATAGAATTAATAAGAGTCTTGAATTCATTTGAGAATCTAGGAATTCCTTACTTCTCTTTATAAGTCCAAAATTAATCAAATCGATTTGTACATATAAGATTATATAATTGATCTTTAGCATTAGCTTGTTTGAATGGTAATTAAGCAGTCATCATTAAAAATAAAATAATTCCAGCTGCAAATATATCAACACTTTATCCAACATACTTTTATCTTACTAATATTTCTGGAGCCATATAACTAATTGTTCCCTTAAATGAAGCTAAAACACCATCTCCTTAATGACCACCTACAAATGTAGCAAATCCAAGATCAGATACTTTAAGTTGACCATCTTTAAATAGAATGTTTTCAGGTTTTAAATCTCTATGAGCAAGACCTTATCCATGTAAATAAATTAACACATTTATTAATTAATGGAAAAAAGTTCTAGCAGTGTCTTCCTTGAATGGACCAGTTTACGAAAGATAATCATACAATTCTCCATCCTTCATATAATCATAAACTAAACAAGATTTTATTTCTTTCTTTCCATTTCTTTTTGTGTATTCCTCATTTATATGAAAATTCAATAACTTAATCAAATTAACATGATTTAATCCTTTATGAATTTCCATTTCTTTTTCAATATCTTTTGAAAATTACACAAATTTCAATGCCACTTCTTTATCTCCTTCTAATCCTAATTTTACTCTATAAAATTTAATTTTTCATTACTTTCCTTAAGCTCCTTTCCCTAGAGTTTATTTCACTTTATAATGGGCATATTGTGCAAATTGTTTTTCAATCTCCATTTATATTTATATAAGAAAATTATTAAATTATTAAAAAATAATTTGAAAATATGAGCGATATTTGCTTTCAGATTCTTTAATGATATTAATTAAGTTCATAATATGGGTTTTCTTCTGCTTCTATTTCAAAACCTGCAACTTCAATATAGGATTTGTGATTGAGCAAAAGATAAGAGCTATATAGATAATTAAGATGGAGTACATAGAAATTAAACAAACAAATATGCCAATTAAACTTAGCATATCAAATTAATGTCCAATTTATAATGCAGCACCACTCATATTAATAAGCATAAATATTGCCAAATTCATTGAGGGATAACCAATTTAAAATCCATGGAGAAACAAAGTACAAGCTAATGGGAATAAAACTCCATTGATAATTGAATAGATAATAAGTTCAATATTAAATGTTCCAAATTAATGAATTGGATAAAATAATCCAAGAACTGTTATGGTGTAGATCATGACATATTATGTAATAGTGTGTGTTCTAACTTTCTTGACTTTTTTTAAATTATGACCTATTATTACCATTGATGCTGCTCCAATCCAACCAAAAAGTATTCCTAAGAATTAAAATGTCCATTCAAAAGTACATAGTATTGCTCCAATTGATATACCCTATAATTTATAATTGATATTTATACAATAAAACATAATAATTCTTTCTTTTAATACATTTCTCCTAAGAGATGAGTTTCATTGATTGCTTAGGCTATCCAACCCTTAATTAAAATGATAGAATAAAATGGCATAACATTATATTTATAACTAAGTAATGCACTTAAAACTAACATTGCAAATCCTAAGGCAATCAAATGAATTTCTTAACTTACATATACTTACTATTAAGAACATAATTTTATTAAGGAATAATTAATCACAATACTAAAACATAATGTGATGGTGACATATTGAAATGGTTCTGCCTTTCTTCATTGAAATATAAATTGTACCCTAATAACAATTCTCCGAAAATAATATTGTTACCCAAATAAATCACAAATATTATTGAGTAAAATATTGGAGCTAGAGTCTTAAGTTTATTGTCAATATGAAATATTGTAATCATGTACAAATCAATTTCTTAATTCATAATTAATTATATAATAATAATTCAAAATTTTACAGGATTTTTTTTGCTCTGAATAGCTTCAAATTTCTCTTTAATTCTAAGTCTATCTTATCCACTTAATTCTTCAAGTCCTGTCAATTCTATATCAGTGACTCCCCATAAATTAGCTTTAGTAAAGCATTTTTCATGATACCATTAAATATTTGTATATCCTCCTAAAATTATAATAATTTAATAAAACCTCCTTTCTTTACATAATATCCAATCCTTAAAGTATTTTCAGCAATCTTCTCATAACAGTTCCTACAACATGATCTATTACTTGGTGAATATGTGATTTAAATTAAAGGCATTATATATTTAATAATAATTCTATGAAAAAGAAGAATATATATTTATATCTAAAATTATTATATTGATAAATAATTTTAAGGAGGATGTATATCTTTTTAAAACTCAAAATAATCAATTGTTTTTCTTTTCTGTTGATATTGATGTTCTCTCTTTTAACCATTATGGAGCAATAAACTATATGTATTATTCATATATATACCTTAATCAATACCCAATTATATAACCAAGAAGGTACTAATTTATACAATTCTGCTTAGATCTCATGATTCCAATGACCATTTGTATTATAACCCATTCTTTTTAATAATCCATCTGCACAATCTGAAGAAGTAATTGTCATTAAATCAGGTTTACGATTAAATGTCATATTTGTAGAAACCTCAGATGGTCTTAATGCAAAGATTTCTAATTCTGGATATTCAACACTCAAAGTTTATGTCAAAAATTCACCATATGATTTACTTGCACTATAAACATTAAAAAAAGGAGTAGGAATCTGACCTGCCAAAGATGTTACATTTACTATTGCAGATTTATTTCCCTTTCTTCTTAACATTTATGGAATCAATCTTTTACAAAGCATTGTTACAGGCAAACAATTCACTATTATTGTCTTATATATTTCTTCATCTGATATTAAATGAAATCGATTAAAAGCATCAACACCAACATTATTTATTAATATACTTATATCTCTATCTCCTACTTCTTACATTATTCTATCAAATAATTTATTATCTATAGATTAACTAAAATCTGCCACAATTATATGTGATTCTGTTTATAATTATTATGCTACACTTTCTAATTTAGAACGTGTTCTTGCTACTAAGATTATTTTAAATCCTTTCTATGAAAATTTTAAGGCTAATTATTTTCCTATTCCATCTGATGCTCCTGTTATTAATACCCAAGATCCATTACCATATTTACTCAAGTTTATACTTGGCCTTAATAATCTCCACAAAAAACATATTATTTTTGTACATTTTAGTAAACCAAACAATCCTAAAATATATATCAGAGTTTGCAATTTTGGATAAGCTTTTATAAAATCCAAAAACATAAATAAATATATCAATTTTTTAATAATTTAGCTGTTAAAAAATACCTATGGATTTATTGCATATTCATCATCGCTTAACATTATTGCATAACAAACTTATATCTGCATTAGATGAAGATACCTTCTTAGGAACATCCCATTTTGGTTCCTTAGAAAACTCAGAAATAGTTATTAACAGAACAAAAAATAAAAAAAATCGTAATAAAAATAAACGATGAATAAATGAAATTTTTAATCTATATTTTTATTTTATTCATTATGGAAAATTTTATTAACAAACTTACTATTAACTATGTTTCAAATAAATATACAATTAATAAAATCCACTTATATTTAACTAAAAAAAATAGAAAAAGTTAAAAACCTAATTGAAAATCTTTGAAAATAAGAGAGAACAGCTTTAGGAAATTTTCATAAAATTATATAAATTATTTGGAAAACTTACAACTAAAAAAAATAAATCTCACTATTGATTAATCTAGTCCAAAATTTAGTAAAACTTATCTATTCAAAATTGGAGTCTATATTTGATAAGAAGTATGTTACAAAAATAGAAAATATTCTTAAACAGTTTAATAAGAATGGTATATAGAAGAATTGATTCAACATTTCATGGAAAAAGCTAATAAAAAAATAAAAACAAAATAAGAAAGCTAAAGGAAAATCATTAGGACAGTTAGGAACATGTTAAGAAGAAGATTTCAGAAAAGAATTGATATTGATTATTGAAAATTTAAATTAATTACATAAAGAAAATTGATATTTTTATTATTTCCATAAGTCGAAATACGTTAAAATGTGTTTAAAGTACTTTTAGTATTAATCCAGAATTGTAGCTCTGACGGCATAAATGAAATCATCTTATTACTTATATAATATAATTAATCTAATTAAATTATTTTTTTTATTATATGCTATCAGAATCAAATAAGGAATTATAAAAGGAGTAAAATGTTGTCCCATAATTAAACTAAACTCCAAGTAGTACATATTTTGTTTACAACTGTTACATACCAGTTGTGCAAGATTTTATGAATCAGCCTCCTCCTTTATAGGTTAGAAACTCAAGTAAGAAAAAATACTTAATATTAAAGGTGAGTCATTTCCTTAATTAATTAAAAACAACGATAGTATGCAAATGTCACATTTGGCTCCTGGAGTATCAATCCCAAGTTTTTAATTTGGAGCTTCTGCACCTTTTGTATCTCCAGATGAGGTTATGAGAAATGTTTAACCAACTCAGAATCACTTTGCTTCTTTTATTTTGAATGAGTAATTGAAGACTCAGAATCAACCAACAAGAAACAGAATAATTGAAGGAACTCAAACACTATGTGATATAGAAATTGTATTAATATCGAGATATTTTGACATGAAAGCTCATGTAATATAATTAATATTACAGGAAGGTATTTTGTCCTCCTAATAATAAATATACTCTTAAAGAGGATACTAATATTACAAATGCTGAATGGTTTAAAGATCGTATGTTATATCGTTATAAAAAACCAGTATGAGAGTATTTATTTATTCAATAGATTAAAGAATCATTCTCAGATATGATTGATTAGTTAGAGAAAGGAGGAGAGAATAATTTTAAAAATATGATTCATCCAGTAAAATTTGCTTAAGGAGGATTTGATAATATAGAAAGATAAGTCCCTAAATCAGTGAAAAGTGAGAGACCATTTTCAGTGTTTATTTTTGAGATATAGTAATTAATTTCATAGTTTCTATTCACTAAGTATTGAATTTATGTTAAAATACTAAATTTTATTTTTATCATTAAATTGAAGTTCTACATGTTGGACAAGTAGTATGTAATAATACCCATTTTATGAGACATTCTTTATGGAAAATGTGAATAGGATGACATTCTAATCCAATTAATCTATGATCTGGAAGAAGCTTTTCTCTACAAATAATGCAATCACCATTCTCATCCTAATTAATGGATTTATCAGGTGATAATTATAATTTTCGAACTATTTCTCTGTGATTTCTCTCTTCTAATTATTATTGTTCCATTTACAAGTATCTATTCAAAACGTTATAATATGGATTTGGAACAATATCATTTAAATCATAGAATCTCAAATCAAATCTTTATTCGTAAGATTCCAAATGACCCAATTATACTTTATTTGAATACTTTTTGAATGCATAGTATATATAGATGAGTAGAGAAATAAGAAAGCAAATAGTATCATTAATAAAGTAAACTTCAATTTTGTATATTGATTCTTCTATATAAATGAAGTAACTTTTAAAATTGAAGATTAAACAAACTAAAACACAAGTAAATGATGATAAATAAATGATAAATTGTAAAGTCTTATTTAAACATGATTCATAGAAAAAGAGTTTGTAATATAACATATAAGCATTTTAAAAGCAACTTAAATGACGTTAATTTACCTTTCTTATCATTTTGAGCAGAATCAAATGATAAAATTGTTTGATTATCATGGTTACACAATAGACTATATATAGATAGATCAAAATTATTGTCTCCCTCTCTGCTGAATCAATAAAACTGGCAATCAATGCTAATTTTATTTTATAATACATCAATAACATAATGGTTAGTTTTATAGTATTCCTTTTCGTTTCAATCAATCCTAAGTCTATTAATGGGAATTACTTGGCAAATTTATGTATTGATAACCTACTTTTGACTTTAAAATTGAACATTCACAATTATCTGGACTTTGTCGAAAACAGGAGTAAATGCAAGCAATCAAATATAGAACCATATGTAAAACATATGATATTATTAAAATTGGATAAATTCGGCTATTACTATTCAAAATAAATAAGAATTAGCTGAACCAAAAACTCCAAATGAAGGAACTGTACATCAAAACATTAATTAAATCGAATTTCTCTTAAAATTTAAACTCTTCCAAGAATTCATATACACTCTTTTCATAAGTTAGACATAAAAGCCTTAAGTTTTCTTTTGGGACATTCAGAATTTCTTAGTTCGCATTTTTTAAATCCAAATAAATTGCTGTATACAATATCATAGTGAATAAATGTGAAAACCATTTACATAATTCTATTCCTACCATTTCTGGATCAACTATACAACTCAAACTAAATACAGTTGTCACAAGCAATAATATTGATGTGGTTATAAGTAAATATCTAATTTTTAATTAAGCTGCTTTTATCAATTTCGTATAATGTTCCTTTAAGCCCTCTATTGATCCATATCGATTTGTATTAACATATTATTAATATTAACTAAGCATTCGTTGTTCCTCATAAGAAAATTATTACTCTGTAATCATCATTTAATATAATTAAAATTTTCATAATGCTCACAATCATTCATTCATTCAGAAATCTCTTCAAAAAATACATCTTTTTTTGAATCATTTCCCTTCAAATTAAATTGAGAATCATGTAAATCTTTTATTTTACTGTTTGTTTTTAAGAATCATAAATTAGATATCAACCTGAATGAATTTTATTTTTAAATGATGTTCAATCATTTAAATAAAACATATGAATGATTATCATTATTTTAGAATAATTATCTGAATGATATATTATTACTTATTCTTGAATAGTCTTTTCTATTTCAGTTTTTATTACCTATGATCTATTGTTCAACTTATATCTAATATGTCTAATAAGTTTTTTATTAACCATCAAACTAATAATTAAGAATTGTATTTTCAATCAAATGATGTTTATCAAACTGTATATATCTCTCAAAATTAAAATTACAATAGATTTCTTATGTTTTATTTCTCTAAAACTTAATAAAATAAGAGAATATTTCATAAATAAATATCCAGATAATATTAATCATTAAATTTTATCGAAAATATATTATTTTATTTTATCAAATATAATATAAACTAATTTGAATAACTTTTAAAAAGAAAATATGGTAATTTTCCGTATAATACTCAAAATGTAGAATGATTGGAATAATAAATTGGTAATTGAATTAAATATGAAGATAAGTGCTATTTGATCTATATTTAATTTATATAAGTAATTAAAATTAAATTATGAGATGACAATATAAGTTTAGAGTAACAAATAATTCTGAAGAAAGAGGAAAGAAATAAGATTATAACTAATTGTGTAAGATAAAATTTGATTATAAATGATAAGAAATAAAATGGAATAGGTATAAGATTTTAATTATTTTTTGACAATTCACTAATAATCATTTAGGGAAATCTTTTTAATAAATTCCTCTTGATTATTCAATTTCTTTGATGTTATTGACATTATAGTAAATATTCATTATGTTATGATATTATCCAAAATCTAAATTGAATCTAGTCTAAGCAGAATCAACTTGACAATAGATCATAATGTCTGCTAATGTTAATTAATCTCCAACACTAAATCTGCCTCTTGTTCTTGAAATACTTTTTTCTAGATTAGAAATTCCTAACATGTTCCAATGAGTCCATTAATCCTTCCATTCCAATTTCTTTTCTGAATGAGTATTAATATATTATTATATTCCTAAATGTTGAAATGGTTGAATAGAGGAATTGATGTATTCAGCGATAGCTCTGTAAATTACATATAAAATATTTATACCTGACTTAAGCTCTTTGAATCCTATTTTAAGGTAAGATTGGTTTTTCAGGATGAATCTCTTCCAAATATTGTGCAATAGCTAAGCTTTCAATTAAAGTATGTCCTTCTGGAGTGACCAAAGCTGGAATAATTTATCGAGGATGTATTTTTTTATATTCTTCTGTCATTTATTCTTTTTTTAGGAAATTGACTGAAACTTAGGTGTATGGAATTTTCTTATAGTTAAGAATGCTTCTTATACGCTAAGTACAAGAGGACATTGCAAATCCATAAAGTGTATATGACATAAATTAAATAATGAGTTTATCAGATCTATTAGTGGATTATGGTGAGAGTGGTCATTCTTAATTTGGTAATTAGATAAATAATACCATAGATGAACATACTAAAAAGTAATTTACAGGTCCAGCTAAATTTGCTACTAAAATTGATCCACTTTAAGAAGGTGATTATACAATAAAACCACCATCAATGACAAGTTTTCATAAAGTAACAGATCACATTAATCCATCACATTCACCAAATTCAGGAGTGATTTAATTTTCTCCAAGAACTTAGTTTCTAGAAGAGAAAAATCTCATGAATACCAATAATAAGGAGCTAATGAAAGAAATAGGTTAAACTAATATAACTAACTAACATAAAGAAGGCATTAATAATTTCATAAAATTGGTGTTAGCAAAGAGCTACTTCAACCGTTTTGTTGAGAATATGCTTTAAAAATCTTATGTTAAGAAATTATCACATTTCAATCTTTACTAAAATACAATGTTAGATGATCTCAGATATATTGATTCTAAACATAAAGTTCGTAAGAATTTCATAGGTAAGATTTGCAAGAAGTTAAGATTTCTGCCAATCTTTGATTAAAGTAGCTATTTAGTTATAGGTTGGTAATTACTTCACATTTTAACAATAATTATTATATTTTTTTGGACTCCATTTAATATATCATTTGGTATCACTTTTGATTAGGTTGTTTTTGGAACCTTAACAGTCAGAGATGTAGAATTCTATTTTTTATTTTCGATTGTAGTAGATGGATTCATAGTGATAAATACATCTTATATTGAAAAAGGAATAATCATCAAATAAAGAGCCAAAATATTTATAAATTATGTAAATACATAAGGAATTTACGATTTAGTAAATAATATCTTATATTTAAGTGTTCATTCGCATCAATGTTAGTTGCTCAATAATTTGATGTAAACAGTTCTACTGAAAAATTAGGATGGTAATTGATTCCTTACGCAATTTACTATTGTAGTAGATAGTTTAAATTATAAGCAAGAGTTCATAAATTAGAAGAGTAATTATAATATGAAAATTGATTAGATTCTTCAACTTTTCAGGTTGGGCTTAAGATTTAATAGAATTAATTAAACTCTTATTTATGGTTATATATGTCGGTCATTTATTTGCTTGTCTATGGCATGGAGTTGCTTTTTATTAAATAGGATTTAGAAAAACTTGGCTTGAAGCTTATGATGTTTCAGATTAAGATATTTTTTCAAAATATAACTATGCTTTTTATTGGGCTGTACAAACAATGATTACTGTTGGATATGGAGATTTAACACCTTAGAATAATAATGAGAGATTATGCGCAAATATGAGCATGTTTTTAGCTTGTGGAGTGTTTGCTTTTTCATTTAATAGTATTGGACTTATGTTGAGTAATTTAAATTCAAGATAAGTACTTTATAAACGTAGTACCAATCTCTTGAATTCATATTTAACGAAAAATTAAATTAAAATTGAGTTACAATCCAGAATTAGGAATTACTATGATTATATTTTTCAAGAAGAACAAGAAATTAATGATGAAGAAGTCTCATAAATAACAACAAAGTTATCAAGTTCCCTTTAAGAAGAATTAAATTTTGAAATTAGATTAAATGTTATGAAAACAAACAAAGTTTTAACGAAATTCTCTTAGAAAACACTAAAACAACTTTCATTAATAGTTGAAGAAGTAAGATATTCTCCTGAAGATTAAATTCTGCTTTAAGGTACTCAAGATGATTGTTCATTATATATTATCACAAAAGGGACAGTTTCTGTTTTATTTCAAGATGAACCTTAAGGTCGTAACACAAGAGTCCTTTCTTATTTAGAAAAAGGTGAATCTTTTGGGGAATATTCATTTTTCACTGGTCTCAATAGATGTGCTTCAGCTAAAAGCATAGGTTTTTCAAGAGCTTACAAAATTCCAAGACAATAATTATTAAATGTTTTGTAAACTAATNTAATATCTTATATTTAAGTGTTCATTCGCATCAATGTTAGTTGCTCAATAATTTGATGTAAACAGTTCTACTGAAAAATTAGGATGGTAATTGATTCCTTACGCAATTTACTATTGTAGTAGATAGTTTAAATTATAAGCAAGAGTTCATAAATTAGAAGAGTAATTATAATATGAAAATTGATTAGATTCTTCAACTTTTCAGGTTGGGCTTAAGATTTAATAGAATTAATTAAACTCTTATTTATGGTTATATATGTCGGTCATTTATTTGCTTGTCTATGGCATGGAGTTGCTTTTTATTAAATAGGATTTAGAAAAACTTGGCTTGAAGCTTATGATGTTTCAGATTAAGATATTTTTTCAAAATATAACTATGCTTTTTATTGGGCTGTACAAACAATGATTACTGTTGGATATGGAGATTTAACACCTTAGAATAATAATGAGAGATTATGCGCAAATATGAGCATGTTTTTAGCTTGTGGAGTGTTTGCTTTTTCATTTAATAGTATTGGACTTATGTTGAGTAATTTAAATTCAAGATAAGTACTTTATAAACGTAGTACCAATCTCTTGAATTCATATTTAACGAAAAATTAAATTAAAATTGAGTTACAATCCAGAATTAGGAATTACTATGATTATATTTTTCAAGAAGAACAAGAAATTAATGATGAAGAAGTCTCATAAATAACAACAAAGTTATCAAGTTCCCTTTAAGAAGAATTAAATTTTGAAATTAGATTAAATGTTATGAAAACAAACAAAGTTTTAACGAAATTCTCTTAGAAAACACTAAAACAACTTTCATTAATAGTTGAAGAAGTAAGATATTCTCCTGAAGATTAAATTCTGCTTTAAGGTACTCAAGATGATTGTTCATTATATATTATCACAAAAGGGACAGTTTCTGTTTTATTTCAAGATGAACCTTAAGGTCGTAACACAAGAGTCCTTTCTTATTTAGAAAAAGGTGAATCTTTTGGGGAATATTCATTTTTCACTGGTCTCAATAGATGTGCTTCAGCTAAAAGCATAGGTTTTTCAAGAGCTTACAAAATTCCAAGACAATAATTATTAAATGTTTTGTAAACTAATCAAATTGATCTAGTAATAGATTTATATTATATTTTAGGAAAGATTTTGTGAGGTTCGAGATTCCATACTATTATGTGGAAATTTTTAACCTGCTAAATTGAGTTGCTATTCTTGCAAAAAATTTAACCATTTAGTTAAAGATTGTCCAGTATTGCATTTTGTAGCCGACAAGGAGAAAGTAATTAAAAAAGAATATTACCCTCTTTTATAAAATCGATGTATTACATATAAGAGGAAAAGATCTGATCGTAACTATTATCCTACTTTGTTGGAAATGAAGAAGATGATTGCATTTATTGGATACTTTCAAACTAAAGAAAATTAAGCTGATAATATTACTATTATTGATGAGGAATTAGATATTTCATATGAAGATAATGATGGATCTCCTAATGAATAAGATTATTGTAAAATATCTTCATTTAATATTAGCTTCTTTATCTAAAAGTTATTCAAAACTTTCAAGACAACAATCTTAAAATAGATCATATTCTTAATATGAAAATAATAATAATAATACTAAAAATCTATAACCTATATAAGAAAGTGAAGATTCACTAGATAGTCCTAGTCCCAATAAAAAAAGAAATATGTAGATTAAATAAACTCTGTAAACTGCTGGTTTTGGAGTTCAGGATTCCTTGTAAAATAAAATAAGAAATGATGATTTAGATTAAAATCTCTCTAGTTTTGGAAACGCTACTCCATCAATTCATGATGAAAATAAATATTCAATAAAAAACGATTCATTAGGATTACCTAGTCCTATTGACATTCCTGGAAGGGTAACCAAAAAAAGAATTACAGTTCTTAGAAAATAAAAAAGAGAAGAATCTTATAAACCATTTTCATCTTAAACTAAAGTAGAAGTTAATTAGGATAGAGAAAAATCTTAATAAAAAAAAATTAAAAATAAAGACCCTTTAATTGATATTCCTGTAACTCCATCTATTTAATCTGTTGATTATAAAAGAGATTCAATTGATAGAAAAGATGATAGAAGAGATTAAAAAAGAAAAACTACCAAAACTAAAACAAATCGAAGTAGAACTGCAAAAACTCATCGAACAACCAAATTAGTTTAAGATAATCCAACCTAAGAGATTTCAATTCCTGTTTTTGAGAGATAGGCTGTTTCTATGGAATTGGAGGATTTCGAAGTCTTAAAAAATTTTACCAATTATTTCAGTTGGAATAATGGCAAAGTTGTTGTTGCAAGAACTATGAAAATTTTATTAAGAAATCTTGAAAAAAGAAGGAATTTTATGAATTAGTTTTCGTTTTATACTTTCAATTCATTAGCAATTGCTAAAATTACAAGAATAAAAAGAAAACTTAAATTGATGTAATTCATTTTTATATTTAAATTATTTTTAGAGAAGATCCACCTTTAGAAGAGAAAAAAGAAAAAAAGTCTGTTCATCCAATTAATAAATCAATGAAAGATAGAAGAAGTAGTAAACGAAGTACTTAAACTGATGATTTAACTGGATTATTTTAGAAAAAGCCTTAATTTGGAACTCAAATATAAGTTTTTTCAGGTGTTACTCTTTCAAGGTTTAGTCGAAATGAATTAGAATATAGATGATAAATAATTATAATCTCTTATATTTTAATATAAACATTATAGAAGTCGTCGTAGTTCTTTTTTTTGAAAATGTAGATTTAAGAATGATTTATAAACAATAAACAAAAATACTTATACTTCAAAATTAAAACAACACGGATTTTTCTTTATGATTAAGAATATATTATTGTTTAGATGTATTAAATTGCAAAAACATTAATATATTTTATATTAAAAAATTTCGGATTAATACTAATGGAAGAAGTATGAAATTATTAAAGGCTAGGATTTGCATTTTAAAATTCAAATGTAGGAGATGCCAACATCACCTCCTAAACCTTTGATATAAACATCTAATGACGAACCAACAAAACTTTCTATAGCTTCAACTTCTGAATCGATTCCTCTTTAAACATCAAACTATGATTTAAATCATGCAGGACATCCAAAAGCCTGCATTTTTACATTTTTGTTTAAAGGCCTTGCTTTATTATTTTATTTCATTTGCAAGGACAGCATTTGGTCATTCATATTGGTAATAATTTTTTCAGCATTTGATTTTTGGACCGTTAAGAATATAACAGGAAGGTATTTGATTTAATTTTAAAGGTAGATTGTTAGTTGGTTTGAAATGGGAAAATATAATTTTGGAAGATGGAACTTCAAAATGGGAATTCTATTCTATACCAAATAAGTAAGTAAATGCTGTTGATAAAACATTCTTTTGGACTGCTTAATTAGGATTCACATTGGCATGGGCCTTATTTACTTTTATAAATTTGCTTTCATTTACATTAATGAATGTATTAATATGATGTTAACATTAGTTTGTCATAGATATAATAGGACTTTCATTATGTTGGACAAATTTATTTGGATACTACAAATGTAATGGAGATCATAAAAAGAAAATGAAAGATTTGTAAGGTGATATTACAAATAAAGTAGTTACTTAATTTGTTGGATAAATGATGTCTTAATGAAAATAATTATATGTATAATTATAATAATATTTGTTTCAGAAATGGATTCATATACAATAATTATAATAGCTTTGATGTTGGGATTTGGCTATTTCATTTATAATGTTATTGCTTGCAATATGAAAAAATAAGATTATTCAGAAATAGATGAAGAAGAAGTAAACCATTTATGAAGTATGCATATATTCATTCGTTTTTTACTTTTTTTTCTATAAAATCGCTTAAATCACTATCCTCATCATCTTCACTATCTGATTCTTCTTCTTCATTACTGTCATCAGAACAAAGTGCAGATTCTTCATCTTCTTAACTCACTTCTTCTTATTCCATATTAGTTTGAGTTTCAATTTCTAATTGTTTTTTCTCTTATTTGGGTTTAACATAAATTTACCCATTTTTATCTTTTTCATCTAGTATTTTTAAATTTTACAAAATTTCAAATGCATATTTTCGAACATCAGAATCCTGAAAATCATTAATAAATGAATACTGGTTTATTTATGCCATTCATAATGTTGAGAACTTCCAGTTTTGTTAAAGATTTAAGACCATCTAAATCTGAAATGTCTCTTAAAAAATTTCCCCCTGCAATCAAAACTTCAAGATTTGGAAATGCTTTAGCAATTTACTGTAAAGTTTTCTGAGTTGTAAAATTGTCTAGATACTCAAGTTGAGTGACTGAATTCATTTACTCTAAATTTTCAAGAGATCTAATTCCACATTGATTTAAACTAAGGATCTCAAGATTCGTGCATTTCTTAAGTTCAGAAACTAATTCATCTGGTAGTTTGTTTAATTATAAATTATTAAATCTAAGTTGCTTTATTTCTGAGTATGCTTATGATCCAATTTATTTTTTCAATTTTTACAACCAGCTCATTTAGTTAATAATTAAAGGAAAATTTATTTTTTTTCATATTTATGTATATTGAAAATTTCAAAATTGGCCTTAGTTTGAAATCAAACTAAGAATCTCATCTCCGCAAGTTTCATCATATCTTTATTCTTATTTTATAGCACTTAAAGCTTAAATAAGTTGAGTAATTTGAAGCTCACTAAGATTGAGTTATTGAATTTATTCATCTCTCATCTACATGAGCACTTTCTCTGATATTTTGAATCCCTGAAGAATTTTATAAATGTACTCTCCCTAAAATTTATACAAATATATATACTTCTTCTAATTTCAAAATTTCTTCATAGAGTTTTTTCGAATAAGTAAGATAAGAATAATTTTGAACATTATTTTATACTTTCATAGTTAAGTTACTTCCCATAAATTGTTTTTAATCTGGAGTAACAGGAGCAGTACGAGGCTTTTTTTGAGATTAGAATTGTTATTACTAAATATTATGTTTTTTCTTTTGATTCTTGGAGCCATCTGAAAAATCAGATCCTCTTCTTGATTAAGAATCAGAAGTTTTGGTATTGGTGATTGATTATTAACAAAAAGGTTACCCAATCTCCATCTTTTCTCTGCTTAAGTAATCTTGAGGAATATAATTGGGAATTATAGGTCCCAAATAATTTGATGTGGTTTTATATGGTTATCTCTTTATTTCAACATGAGTATTGGGTTCTTCTATAACCCAAGAGTTTTCTGCAACTTACTTGCGAATTCTAAATAATAATTATGATTACCTTTTTTCTTATTCAGAATGAAAGAAAGCACATTCTCCTTATTTTTTGGAGCAATTCTATAATGTGCAAGGTTTAGTCTTATAAATCAAAGGATGATATTCATATTCTTTCCATCCATGACAATATTTACAGGTTTCTTAATCAGGACAACCCCCTTTATCATAATTTAAAATTTGATTAGCTTTATTCCAATGAGGACATTCTTTTGGCTATATAGTTTTTGGATCTCTTCTGAAATCTTAAGCATTATGAGCATAAACACAAGATGCTCTGTCATGACTATGATATTGATTTAATATAATAAGTTTACTTAACTGTATGAGGACACCATACAGTTTTATATTAATACATCCAAAAGCTTTTATCTTAAAGCATTCCATCTAATTTAACTGGAATGATTAATTCTTATTCAGAATGAGCAAACGAACAATATGATCCATATTCACAATCCTTTAAATGGGTGCAATATTTAGTTTTATATCTATTTGGATGATAGACTTGCTCAACTTTATTATGAGACCATTAGCACTAATCTCCTCTTGGGCATTTATTTGCTTATGGACACAATTAGCATCTACAAATTAAAAAAATTATTGTTATTGCTTTTTACTAGTATAAATGCTATTTAACATCACGTCTTCGGTCAGATTCATCATGAAAAAAAGGGCAAAACTTTTTTTGATCGATTTGATGTTAATTCTCACACTTAAGAGTTTTAAATTAGTGATGGTTAATGATGTCTACCCTAACTTGACAATTTGGATTATAAGCATCCAAATTTGTTAGTGACGATTCATGAGAACGGACTCGTCTGCTACCAAGCATTCGTTAATAATCTATTTATTATAATAACTTTTTTATGGACCCCTCTTCATCATAAACTTATTTAAAGAATAATGCATTAGATAATTCCAAATCTAATGAAAATAAAGATGGCTCTCAAACTCAAGTTAAATCTTAAACCAATATTAGAAATGGATAAGAAAAAAACGATATTGGCTAATTTAAAGATAGTGAACTCTAATCAATAGAATTTATTGCTGACAATATTAAATATCAACTAGATCCAAGGTATATGTTATGGTCTACTGAACTTTTAAAATAAGATAAACCTTAAGATCCTCATTCTTATAATTACTAATAAGAAAACTAATCAATCAAGAAGAAATCACATAAATTTATGGATCTAAAGAAATTTTATGAGCATAATAAATCAACAATAGAAGGTTTAAATAAAGAACTTCATGATCTTGAGTTGGCTCGTCAAAAAACACTACAAAGATTATATGAGGTGAGATCGGAAAAAGATAAAATGAAGAAGATTTTTAAAGTTGAAAGATCAAAAACAGAAAATTTAAAGGGTTGCAAAGAGAGATTGGATAAACTCAAATAAGAATTAGGTTTTTGATTATTTTATGCTATTTGTTTTAATATCAATTGATTTAGATTAATAATAATTTGAGTACTTCACCGATTCCAACTTTTAAAAGCGAACACTTATTATCTAAACATTAATATGTTTGGGTCATAGCATTCTGTGATCAAGAATTCCCAAATGAAACTATGCAACAATTAATTCATTTCCAGATTCTTACCAAAAAGGTTTTTTTCAATCTCTCAAAAAGTCCATGGATTAAAACGAACTTAGCTCAGAATGGAATTTGGATATATTATTTGAATAATACTATGTGTGAGTTCTAAAATGGAAATTGTGATTAATATCTTCTTGTCTCAAAAAATTATAACATACCCAAACTCAACTTCTTTGAGCCAAGAATGGTACATTATTATTAAAAATCATGAATACATAAATTTCATTGATCATAATATCATTCCTTTTTACCCTTATTCAAATTTCATTTGGAGTAGAGGAAACTTGTAAGTCTGGTTAGACCAATTGTCAATCGAGCAAAGTTTTAAGCTTTGATGAATCGAAACTCTATTATATAAAAAATCCAAATGGATACTTATGCATTAATAAGGGGGTTTTTAGTTTAGGTGAGATTTTCAATTAAGCTCTTAGGTGACCCAAAGAAATAACTAAATAATTGCTTATTTAAATTTAGATACACAGAATATGGCTATTATACAATATAAATGTTTGCTACTGATGAATATATCACTACAGAAAATAAGGGTTTTCAAGATTCATAATCTCAAACATTTAATACTTTTAAGTTCGTATTATTGAATAATGGTTGGTATGAAGTTATATGTAGACTTACATCCAACTTTTGGGAATTAAAAATAAATTCAAATAATAAATATGTATATTATACTTCTTAGAGAACACAAGAAACTAACTAATCGTTTAGAGTTGAAGAATATTAAGAATGATAATAAAATAAGATTATATTCTATTGATTAATATTTTAATAATAGAGTTTGGATATATAAGTTTAAATTAAAAATTATTTTTTTCTTTTTAAACTAAAAAATTATATTTCCAAAACTTATATAATAATAATTATATATCTGTATCCTTAAATTATTCAGAGAAAAAAGATTATAATTCTTTAAGTATTTCAATGTCTATATTTTTGTAATATTGTGTATCATTTTTAGCATATTTATTATTACATGTGCAGTGAGTTAATTTATAATTGATAGAGAGCACCTCTTATATTTTTAAAAGTCAGCTGAAGGTCATAATCAGATATTGCATAATGAGAAATATAAGATAAATTTGACTACAAATCTGAATTAATTAAGTGAAGAACTTAAAAGTCTCAATATTTAATTCTATGTCTAGTAATACTGCTAAAGAAATCTGAGGAAGTTAAAAAAATGAATGTAAATTTCACACATTTATAATGACAGCAGATTGCAAGAATGTATAAATTAATAATTTATAAAAATAATCTTTTAAGAAAGCATAAGAATATTTGCAACTTTTATACAAACTTTTATTAAATAGATTTCTAAATGTAAGAGGTAGGAAAAATTTCAGAAATAAAAAGAAAGACATTTAAAAATGCTTTGCAAATACTATGAAAAGTTGATCTCAACAAGAATCTTAAGGCAAAGCAATTAGCAAAAGAATTTAGAATTTTTGATTAACAGTGGCAAATCTCTATGCTTTACTCTCTAAATTTAATGGATTAAGGGTCTTTGAAACATAAATTAAAGAATGTTAGATTTATAACGAGGATTTACAATAATTTTAATGTTATGTAGATTACTAAAATATCTTTATTTAAACTATCTAAAAGTTAGTTGACAAATAAGTTGTGTTATTTTAGTCATTTTTTGATTTAAAAACAAGATTTTGGGATTCAAAAACAAAGTCAAAACACATTGAAAGTATTTTAAACATATTTTTTAATTCTTACGATTTTAAGATATCTCTTTTCATGCTTCATTAATTTCAAACAATACCAATCATAGCGCAATTTTTTAAACAAATTGAATTATTGAATAATTTTATCAATTTGAAAAATATATAATATAAATTTTTTATCATTAATGTTTTGCTCTTTGCAATAGGTTATTTAATTTGTTTAGTCTTTCATCTATACTATGCAAATCTTCACAACTTGCTTCCATTTTATTTGAAGAAGTAGTTATAATTGTATTTTCCTTATTTTTTTCTCTTAGATCTCTCAATCTTTTTAATAGTCTCTGTTCTTCTGGATCTTCAAACTTTTTGGATTCATTTGTTTATGAAACTTTTTATTTTTTGAATAAATTTGAATTCGATGATTTTAATTTTTAAGATGTCTTACGAGAAGAGTTTGATCTAGCTGAAGGACTTTGTTCAGTTCTTTTTGAATTCGATTTGCGTCTAAAAGATGATTCAGTGTCACTATCAAAACTTTCCTTCCTAAGCTAAATATATCAAATATAATTTATACTCTGATAGGAGTTGTTTTTTCTGCACTTTTTTTTTTAGATAATACTTTATTTATACTACTTGAAACCTTTAATTAATTAGAAGATTTGGAAGTTGAAGGAGATCTTGAAATATTTGACTAGAATTTTGTTTTAGATCTTGTTAAAGTTTATTAAAGTTCTTATTCTAAAGAGGTAATCCTTTATTTATTTTTCTTATCCTAATTTTTTAATAGATGATTTTCATCTATAATTTATTAAAGACAATCTTCTAATTCTATCACCTTTTTGGTCATTTCTGCATTTGTATTTTCACTTTACAAATATTTGGATCTCAACTCCATATATTCTTGTTTGTTTACAGTAGTTGTAGATTGTTAATGAGCTATGTTTTTGAACTCTAAAATGTCTCTATCCTTTTATTCTAATAGATTTTTCAAAAACTCAATTTCTTTATTTTATTCATTTATTAATTCTAAAGGATTAGTCTCATTTTTCTTTGATTCTAAGATAGTTGATAATTGCTTTGCTTATTATTCATTCTCCTTTCTTAATCTTATTATCGTTTGTTTCATTTGTTAAATATTAGGTTACTCATTAAAATTAAGAGGTAAAGGATAATGAACTTTATCGAATTCAACAATATAACTGAGAATCAAGTAACGCTTATTGTTTGGAGTCAAATTTTACTATTAATTTTATTTAGGCCTTTTGTTTTTGATTTACTCTAAATCTTAAAAAGTCAGAATATCAATATAGACAGTCTCAGTTTAATTTTTAATTGCAGATTACAACATCTTTATAAAAGTTGAGTATTTTTTATAATTTCCTGTTTTGGATGTTATTTCCTCAATATAAGATGCTTAAAAATTTGCAATCCAAGAATCTCCTGATTATTTTGATTCTATTTCTATTGTCAAAACTTCGTTATTTGCATTTATATTTATAATGTAGGTAATGTCATGAAAATTTCTTTCCACATTAATGTCAATGAGATCTTCCATTTTAAATTAAAATTCAGTTAAATAAATTAATCAGAATTCAAAAATTCATAAAATTAATTAGGCTTCTAACTCTTAATAATTATTCAAGTAATGAATTAGAATCTCTTCACGTTATCTTAAAAATAATTTTGAGATTTTACAATTCAATAAGAATTCAAACAAATTTAGATATTTATAATATACATTATACATTTTATTAAAAATAATCTAAATAATTTTTATATTAAAGAGATGAATGATTAGCATTTTTATCATGGTTACTAATCCCAAAATCAAATAATTAAGGAAGGATATGCTCATGCAATCTCAACAAAATGGTATTGATTAATATTAATTGCAGGTTTAGAAAATTTTAAAATGCTTTGCAAAATAGAAATGGTGTTGATGTCTCTAAAATTGGTGAGATAGAAAATATAAATATAAGTGATAATAATCACCAAATTCATACGAATTTAGATGGCTATTTAGTACCTCCATAACACAGTATATCATTTTAACGAGTTTATTCATTGAGATCAGATGCTATATATGGTTAAGATTACGAGATTGTTTCAATCGATGTATGGAAATTTCTCAAAATGTATTATAATGCAGGTAATCAATTTGAAGAAAAATGAATATAGATTATGATGTTGTAGTGTTTGTTACAAAAATTCTCCCAAATTTAACAAAATACTTTACTTGTGAAAATTTAGATACTGGACTTTGCATCTGTTAGGATTTGATTAACTTGGTAATGGTGATTATTCAAACTTATGATAAAAGTCTAATGATAGCCTTAAAATTACCAGCTTGTCCCTATCTAGAATTGGTTAAATTTAGAAATTATTTATTTGATATGACAGAGCACAAGCTGGAATCTATAAAATATATAAATTAAGGCCATCTTTATTATGATGGCAAGAAAGTTTCATTTAAAGGAAATAAGACTTTAAATGACTTGGGAATTACAAAAGATATGTAGATAATCCTATCATGCATAAATATGACTATGGCAGATGTTGAGGAAGAGATTGAAACTGATGGAGATGAATAATAAATTGAATAAAGTAAAATTAAAATACACTAATAGATTTGCATACTAAACAAGAATTCTTAGAAATTTTACAACATAATTTGAATCTGTAATCTACTGAATAGTTGACTCTTAAATCCATCTAAGAAATATAGCAATCTTTAGAGTAAAATGATTTCTTTTAAGTTTGAAATTTAATTTTTAAATAAATTAACAATTCTATATTGTTATTTAAACAAATAGATTTTAAATATTGATTAAACATTTTACCACCCATTAAATATTTTCAGTCTTTCTTCATAAATTAATAAAAGGGACTAAAAGGATGATTTCGATAAGCTTATCTTTGACACTTATTATAAATGAATATATTAAATCATTTAAAATAGAATTAGTATTCTATATGTATTTCTGCTTTTAAATTACAATTACATTTTAATTATCAGTATATATTCAAATCGACATAGATTTATTACACTTTGAAAAATTTGATAAATCTATTTTTAATTACACAATATCTTATGTCCAATAATGAGATTTCTTCAAGCTTTTCAGATTTATTAATAAATCTCATAATTATTCTCAAGTATTAAAAAACTTAAATTAATATATAAAAAAAAAAAAGAACCGCCCTCCAAGGGGGTCGAACCCTTGACATTTGGCTTAAAAGGCCAACGCTCTGACCAACTGAGCTAGGAGGGCTAGCTTGATAGTTATTGTTAATGAATTTAATAAATAGACTGATTAGTGATCATTAAAATTTTATTTCATTATCAAATGAAAATTCTCTATAACTATAATTCAAAGATCGACTACTAAGACGATTACTATTAACTTTTTTGATCATTGAATTTTGAGTTTATAGTAGAGCTAAAGATTAAGTAGGTAATTACTATTTAAAAATTGTTCTTGCATCTAGGACAAAAGTTTCATATTTTCTTTGATGTGATCTAAAATTTGATAATGTTATTTATTTTGGTAAGTTAAAGCTAATTCTTGCAAAGATTGATGAACTTTCTTAAGAGTTAGTGTCCACAGTTATTGTGATTGAACTTCCTCAAATAATTTCCAAATAATGAAGAGAGTCACGATGGTAAAATATATCGAAAAAAAAATGATTTCCATTAAATAATTTATTTTAATAAAATGTCATTTGTTTATTGAATTGATTTAAAAAATTTTGATGTTGAGTGTCTCTGATATCTATCTTGCTATGTTGTAGAGGAAATGTATATGGATTAAAAAAGCTACAGTGGCAGTAAATTAAATTAAGCATCCTTCATTAATAAAATTTTGTCCAAGTATTTAACCTGAGATAGTATTAAGTAAAATGACAACAAAGATATAAATTGAATTTAAATATTCTGGTAATTCTTAATTGCTAACATGATTAAGTGCTACAACCCCAACTGCTTTGGACATAGTAAATCCAATAGTGTACATATAAGCCCTTACATGATTCTAGATTACATTAGTTTGAGAAAATAAAATGCTGTAAAGAATAACAACATTAAAAAAGATAAAATATCTAAGCTACTTAAATAAAGATGAAATGGATGTAAACTTTTTAATTTTTAGGAAACTAAAAATAATATAAAAATAATACACTGCAGGCATAGTAATAATAAGAGAAAATATAAACATAAGCATAACAAATTGGTTGATTTGAAAATCGAAGAACCAAGGTAATTTTTGGACCCACATATCACATCCTAAATAAGTGTTGAATAATACCATAGTATGCAGTTGCTGCAAAGACTACAGCCACACTTACTGTACCTTCTGCAGCTGCATTTATGATTGGTAAATTCATTTCATGAGTATAATATTCTTCATGAGCAATTATATAGAATGGTACAGAGGGAATTATGTATAGGATGACAGAGAAAATTGTATTGCCAAATTGCATTGCTGTAGTCATACTTGTGCCTATTTGAAGAACATAAATAGTAGATCAATACCCTAGAGTAAAATTATCATAGAATCAAAATTGTGATCCAAAATCATTCCAAGAGGTGAGGAATTTTCTTATAAACAATTATTTTATTTATACTTGTTCTCCTTGCTTGCTTTCCATCCAGATTGTCGAAATTCTTGCTTAATATACATATATACCATATAAAGCATATGCAAGAAAGCTGTGAACCAGAGCAACCAATTCGGTATGAATCCTGCAAAGTTGTCACCCATGACAAAAAAGAAAAGTATATGAGACAAGATTATGCATGCTAATCCCATCAACGTTAATACATTAGGTCTAAAAATTAATGTTGAAACAAATTCAAATACGCAACATTCATAGGTACAAATCTAAGGCAGAATTCAGCCAAAGGTGAAAGTATGTAATTGTATAAGAGGGACTGATCTGTACCCTTATAACGATAACTCTTCAAGTAATGTAAATGTGTAGGTGCAATAAAGTCGTAATTGAGGTATTTCATAAATTAAAATTATTTATTTTAACTTTTCCACAATTTTCCACAATCATCTGGATTTTTTAAGATCTCTAATGAAGATTCATGCTTCTCATTTTAATAATAATACTTAATAGATTAAAATTAAGAGGCATAATCAAATTATTTAATTCTAACAAATGAATTTGATTGTTTTATTAATTTTTTAATATATGAATATGTAAATTAATTAATATATATTAATTTATGTCAAGCACTTACTTGGAATAGGTGAGAGCAGCTTTTTCTTAGATAGAAGTAATTGAAAAGACAATTGTATTTTGTATGCAGAGCAAATAAGTGATTCCCAATTAGTCTGTGTTATTAGATCATAGAATTAACAATTTAATATAAATGGCGCAAAAGACAGCAGCTGATGCTTTAATATTAATTGATGGAGCAGATGGATGGAAAAAAGAGGAAATGAATTATTTGTAAGGAGTTGGAGGTTCTGGAGATGTTTGGGAAAACTTTTATGAGAGATTCAAAGAAATAAAAGATTATCATAAGAGAGTCACTAATGTACAAACTATGTAGAATAAAGTATATATATATAAAATATATAGGTTGAATTTTACTATGAACAAGCTTTTGCACCACCATTTAAAGAACCATATTTCTCGGGAGAAGAACATCATGGTAGATTTCTTGATATGCATGCTAGCTATAAGGAATTTTTGAATCTTAAGAAGTTAAAAGAAAGCAATAAAATCAAAATTGGAGATTATTTGTGGTATTTACAGAATTTTTAAAATTTTCATGATATTCCACTCTATATCAAAGAAAAAGAAGGAAGTAAATATAAGAGATATCTAATTAATATGTTAGAGTATTTGCGTAGTTTTTATTAAAGAGTAGATCATTAATTTATTTTAGGTAAATCCATTATAAGATGTTAGCAAGATTGAATAAAAAATAGAAATTGATTTTTAAACATAATGGGAAAATGGTTAAGTTAAAGGTTGGGAACATAGAAAAGAGGAAACTGAAGAAATAAGAGGACATCCTCATTATTGTGAAGCTTGTTAAAAGAAATTCTAAAATGAAAATACATTTGTAAATCATTTTGATGGAAAAAAACACAAAGCGTTGGCAAAACTAAAAGAAAAATAGATAGAATAAGTTATATAAGCTAGCAATTAATAAGAATAACCGAAGGAAGATAATGAAGGATAAAAGAAAAAAAAGATGGCATATTTAGAAGTGGGCATATTATAATACAAAGAGAGTTTACAATAACAATTGAATGATACTATGAATTTAGTTAGAAAGAAATAGAGTAGAAGATATGAAGAAAATGAAGATGAAGAAGCAATTCCTGTATAAGATTAATAATTAGGTATTATATATTAATATATATTTATAAATTAGATTAACCTGAAGAAGCAAGTAGTGAAGATGAAAGTCCAATTTATAATCCAAAGAATCTACCATTAGGTTGGGATGGAAGACCTATTCCATATTGGTTATATAAATTACATGGTTTAGGAGTAGAATATAAATGTGAAATATGTGGTAATACATCATATTGGGGAAGAAAAGCATTTGAAGATCACTTTTAAGGATGGAGACATTCTTATGGAATGAGGTTATTATAAATCCAATTATATTTTAGATGTTTAAGAATCCCAAATACTTTACATTTCAAAGAAATTACCAAAATTTAAGATGCTATTAATTTATACAAAAAAATATAGCATGATCAAGAAAGGAGTAAATTTAGACCAGAATATGAAGAAGAGTATGAAGATACAGATGGAAACTTGCTTAACAAAAAAACTTATTATGATTTAAAAAAGTAGGGATTGTTGTGAAAATATAAGCCGTGATATAAGTTAACATATAAAAAAATATTTCTGGTTTTAATGAATCAGTGGAAATTTGTTCGAAATGCAGTTGGATTGTTCGGTTCAGCAGTTCATGAGGGATAAACAAAAACTGGAACAGAATTGGCCCCAAGAGCACTTAGAGAAGGAGGTCTCATCTCTGCTCTTTATAATTTGGGTTGGGAAATCAATGATATGGGAGATATCTAAGGTAAAAATTACAGAATACACAATCACAAAAGTCAATATTTTCGTAATAGCTAATAAGTAGGAATTATCAATGGAGAGATTAATAAAAGGTCATTTGAAATTGCTAAATAAAATAAGTTTATGCTTAATATAGGTGGAGATCATGGTGTGGCTAGTGGTTCTATTCATGGATTACTATAACATTATGGAGATGAATTAAGAGTTGTTTGGGTGGATGCACATGCTGATTGCAATTATGAACTTGGACCAAATAGAAACTATCATGGAATGCCTTTAGCTCATTTATATGGTTCCATTCATGAACCAATCAAAGGCTTTGAGTGGTTAAAGCATAGATTAGACCCAAAAAATATCACTTATATTGCTATTAGAGATATAGATCCAATGGAAAGAGAATTCATTAGAGAATAAAAAATAGTGTATTATGGAATGGATGAAATCATAGAATTAGGAATTGGATAAGTTATGAATAGAATTCTTAAATAATTTGAAGGAAAACCAATCCATGTTAGTTTTGACGTTGATTCAATCGATCCTGAATTTGCACATGGAACTGGAACTTTAGTTGATGGAGGAATCTCATACAGAGAAGCTCACTATTTACTTAGAAAATTAGCATCCTCAAGATAATTAGTAGGAATGGATTTAGTTGAAATTAATCCACAATTAGAGAAGACACCTGAATTTAGAGAAGAGTTTTTCGGAGATTTCTAATAAGTATCATTATTATTAATTATTAGATTGGTCGAATTCAAGGAACACAAACAGTTGCTTTAGGAATTGAATTAATAGCTTCTGCTTTGGGTAGAACTCTTGTCTTGTGAATATTGTATATATATTAATATATATATATATTATATATATTTTATATTCTTTTTATAATTAGTGTTACTTATTCAATTGTATTAATTAAGAATACAAAATTTCAAAATATAATTAGAAGTAAAATCTATATTAAATTTACACTTAACTAGTATAAATAATATTACTAAATTATCAATCTAAATTTTTGGAAAAATTACATGTGTAACTAATAAGTTTTATTTATTCATTTCTTTCAATTTTAAATCATTAAGAAAATGACACTATTTTAAACGATAATTCTCAAAATTTAGGATATATTATAATAAAAATTACCAACTTATTTAAGTTAAAGAATAAAACCTTCAATTCTAAATTATTAAGGAATACTTCTTAATCTTCATCCTATTTTGAAACTACTAAAATGCATCTATTTACTGAAAATAATATAATTAGAAATTATCTTATTCTTATAAATTTTTTTCTCCCCTTATTAAATAATATTCAATATTTATAAATAAAATAAAACAACTAAAATTAGAAGTTAAGAATTACCTATTTTTAGCATTTTAAAATTTTCCATTAAATAAAGAATCTTTTTTTAAATTTTGAATTCTAGAAAAATTTGATTAAATATGCATTAAAAAGGTAAACTTTGTACTCTATTGTTTCTTATATCAAAATTGATGTAAGTATGAGATATTCTAATTCAACCAATCATAAGACAGATTTAATAATTTTAATTATATTATTTTACTTTATATTATTTTAAAAAATAAATTAAGAAAATATAAATGGCAAGAACAAAGTAAACTGCAAGAAAGAGCACAGCTGGTAATAAAAAGCCTACAAAACATTTGGCAACAAAAGCAGCAAGAAAGACTGCCCCAGCAGTTGGAGCAACAGGAGGTTTGAAAAAGCCACACAAATTCAGACCAGGAACTGTTGCACTTAGAGAAATTAGAAAATACTAAAAGTCAACAGAACTCTTAATCAGAAAACTTCCATTCTAAAGATTAGTCAGAGAAATTGCACATGAATTCTAAAAGGAACTCAGATTCTAGAGTTCTGCTGTTTTGGCTCTTTAAGAAGCTGCTGAAGCATATCTTGTTGGATTGTTCGAAGACACTAATTTATGTGCAATTCATGCAAGAAGAGTCACAATTATGTCAAGAGACATCCAATTAGCCAGAAG